AGTCTGTAGGTTTCAACAATGTTTTGACTGCACAGAAAGAGCTTGCAATGACTGATGCAGCAGCAGGCTGACCACCGACCAAGTACAGTGTTACCTGTACTTTACCTACGGGCTGCTGCTCCTAACCACGGTCAATCACTGCCTTGTGTGAAAGGGCCCATGTCATGGCCATTTCTACTGATCATAATTCCATTGTTGAGGTCTACTAGAATAGATTTATATTGTGCAATTTTCCAAACTCACATTGGTTTCTCATACAGCATCTCTGTAAAGTATGTGTATTCACCGGTATTCACTCTCTGTCCTAAACGGCTTGTTGGAGCTCTTGCCCCCCTCCCTGTGAGCCCAGTGTGCTCTAATTGGTCGGGAAGTTGCGAGGCTCGTTGCTGCGATCTGCTGCAAGGAGCGGACAGGCTTCCGGGTCGGCGATACAGCAACAAGCTAAACTCATCCTGAGCACACATGAACACTCACAGCTGAAGTAAAAACAATAAGTGTGGCTTGATATTGAGTAAGAAAAAGGTTTATAACGCTGTGAGAATGGGTCTGCGCGGAGAGCATTTCTCCGCGATCCCAATTTAGCAGCCCGAAAAACGTTTACCCATTTAAACAGTTGTGGTACCTTGTTTGTTTTAAACATCATAAATACACAAACAACAATGAATACTTACAGGTTGTGTACCCAAATCTCCCGCTGGTCCAAACAAAGTAGGAACAGCATCGTTCTTCAGTGCCCTACGCTGTACATATCCGGCATGAATCGCTGAAAGGTTTGGGAAGCTTTGTTTTGTGAAATGCTGGCAGAGGGTGTGGCCTCTGGGTATTCACATGTCACAGTACCCAGGAAGTAAATAATGGAAAATGAGAAATCTCCAACGAGGCGTTTTGGGGCAGCATAGACTGTGTTTTACTTGCTAGAGGGTGTACTTTGAGGGTTTTTGACTCTGCAGACCGTTTACATGCATACAAACCTTCATAATACACAAGGGGACGGGTAATAACCGGAAAAGCATGACATGGGCCCATTAGGCAAGGCAAGGCAAGTTTATTTATATAGCACCTTTCAACACAAGGCAATTCAAGGTGCTTTACAAAAATAAAAGACATTCAGACAAAGGCATTTAAAAACAGTCATTAAAAAGAAAAGATAAAACAAAAATTACTATAAGATTTAAAGCTGAGGAAGGTCAGTTTCACCAGCCCTATTTCACTCACACATTAAGGTTTTCCTATTAGTTCTATCAGCTCTAACCTAAAGAAAATGAATATAATGTTGGCTAATGGCGGTCAAAACTCAAGTTAAGTCAGTGTTTCTACATATTTTAAAATGAGGCTGATTGGATTATTTTGATCAACATCTGGAAACAAACCATGAGTCTATTGGACCATTAATTTATGAATTCTACCGTTTGCTTTTCTATAATCATCTAATCAGGGTTTGACCACAGACAATCTCACAAGAATAACTGCCAAAATAGAAATATATTTTTCTTTGACAACTTGATCTATTCCTGAATGGCCTCTTCTTTGAAATGTGGACTTTGTGCAGACTTTCAATCTGAAATGAATAAAGAGTAAAAGCTCCATTACTTATTTATTTAATTTGAAGCCACATTGAAGCTCTGTTTCCAGTAACATATAATATGATTTGAGTTAATGAACTACAGACAATTAATTTGCTGTTTTAAACATGGCTAATCATCACAATTGTGCCTCACGCAGCCCTTTAACACACAATGTGGACTCAGGAACAAACGACACATCTGACATATGGTTCCCACAATGCCTGTTTGCCAGATAATACTGAAAATGTATAGGACAGAAGATACACACAGAAAGTAAAGAAGAGAAGAAACTATAGGAACATAGAACAAGTTAAGACATATGTAAGAAAATATGTAAATAGATTTGCCAATATTGGTTTGGATTAAAGATTAATATGTGTTGGATTACTATGCAAAATAGATCTCTGCAATATAGTAACACATAACTCAACTTGTGCGTTTTTACTGCCGTATTCTTCACAATATCATTCCAGCCATATGTTCAACACACTAGCTGAGCTCAGCAGTTTGCCATCCTGGTTGCACTTCCTGCGTTTGGTCTGTTTGAGTCCTGGAACCCGTAGGGGAGGAAAGGGTTACGAGAAGGGGGGTACTTTGCTCTTGCAGGAAGAAAGGGGTGTAGTGAAAATCTGTAGGAAATTGCCATTAAGTGGTTCTTGAGGCTTTGTGGTTTGACTCATCAGTGAGTGGATGGTCCTGTTGTACAGGCTTAGAGTGAGGCTCAGATGGGCTGGCCCTGCTGCATGAACACACTACAGTGCACAAACCTTTAATCACACAGAGCAGAGAAGCGTGCTTTAGTGTTAAGCATATCTAATGTGTTTACCTTCGTCAGTTTGTACCACACATTTGATTAGGCATACCCTAATGGTGCGATTTACAAAAACGCAGAGCCTTTGTAGTTAAGTGGTACGGCACCTTTTTACCTCAACATCCCAGATTTTCCAGCTTTGGGACCTATATGCAGGGGTGCACATAACTTTTTTGCCCTGGTTCTCAAAGGAGCACCTGGAGATGTTGCTTGGTGCTCATCCTTAAAATGAAATAAACCGTAACTTTTGAGGGGGTCTTGACTTTATTTGCCAGACACACGGCACTGAACACACATGCAGAGGTGAACACAGAACACACATGCAGAGGTGAACACAAGACAACATTAGCACGACCAGTAATCCTACAAGCTGTCATCACTACCCTCCTGACTGTTCTCCTCACTGTCTTCCTCTCAGACATGGTAGCTGATGATGTAGGCCTACTACTTTCTCTCTGGTTGAGTTTGCGATTAGCTGCTTGCATCCACAAGTCAACAGCTGGTTTTGGGTCAAAAGTCTCTGTTGTCATCTTAGACAAGTGGATGTAATCAAATAAGTATGTGAACATAACCAATAACCTACCATAGCCAATAACAAATTAATGTAACTTATTTTATTGTTGTTGTTCATATCTTATTTTACCTTAACATTTATATATTTATGCATTTTTTTAAATCTTTCCAGTTGTAAAGGATATTTTTGGTTTACTGTCCTATAGTATGCATTGGAATGATTTAAAACCTGTTTATCCCAATAATTATAAAGGAGTGACTTGAAAATATGTGTTTACATAAATTGTGATCAAAACGTTTGAGACCCACTGAGACAACTTAGACTAAAGTGAACTATCTAAACACTCCACAGTCCTTTACCTCACTGAGCTGTAGTTATCAGCCTCAGTCTGACTGGAGAGGACTCTCCCTCCACATTATTGGAGACACATCTTCTTCTTATATCCGTTAGAGCAGCTAGCACCAGATACTAATAACAACAGCGCCGGAACCGGTGCACCCTCCCTCGATCCCACGCTCACTCGCACTTTGGCTGTGAGCTGCGGGCGCCAGATAAGCCAACATCCCCCATCTTCATCACTTACAGCGCCCATCGTACAGGGCAAATGAAACGTGTAACCGGGGTGAAAAGGGTGTTACATTTACTTAATTATGAATGTTGTTACATCAAGGCCGAAAATTAGGATGAGCCCCAACGGTCAAAAAATTGTTTTTCCCTCCCAGAGTTGACAGCGCAGCGCCTCCCCGGATCTGGCGCCCTAGGCAAACATCTATTACGCCAGTGCTACGGAGCCTACCCTGAGTTCATATGCAACTCGCAAATATCTTTCTCTCTCTCCTCTCTTCTCTCTCCTCTCTTTTCTCTTCTCCCTTCTGTCTCTTCTCTCTCTCCTCTCTCTCTCTCAATGTTGGTACGCAAATGCGCCTTTTTTCAAATGACCCGGTGCTCATTTTTTGGCGGAGGTGCGCATGCGCACCTGCGCACCAGTTATGTGCAGCCCTGCCTATATGGCATGTCACGCTCCTTTCTCTCCCTTCCTCATTTTTGCAAGCAGAAAATGTGCAAAAAAGTATTTGTACAACTGACACAAACACATTTGTCAAATGTTTTTTTGTAATGGAATGGGGTTACTAATCATACTGATGGACCCAAACTGAATTATCAACACACTCTGAAGTTCCTCTCGGTTCCACAGAGTGTTTCAGTGTCTTTTAGCTCATTGTTTTGACAACTTCACTCTTTTGGTTTGCTCTTGCCAGAAGAATTGTTACCAGGTGTAGCAGGCGGCTGTTTTTATCCAAAAGCTCTTACAACCCAACTGTATACTTCCTGCCTCGCGGCAAACGGCAGAAAAGGCTAAATTAACAATGAGCTGGTGAACATAGTGGAGCAGTTAGTGTAATATATTCCCTCATAAATGGGTGGAAATCAAAAACAGAGCTTTAAGGAGAGTAACATTTGGATTCTCAAACAAATAGATGCTAATTGATATGGCCATGGTAATATAGCAGTGTTGTGTTTACAGCTTATTCCGCTAACCCAAGTAGCATAAATAATTGTAATAAATGAACAATTCTTTAGAAAAGCACCACATATGTTGCAGCACAACCAACTGTTGGGGAAATATTTTCCAAGGTCCATAGCTTTGACCCAGTTTATCATTTCATACTGTCCTGACTGAGCAAACACACTTGTAACCTTGGCTGCTGTGCTCTCAGTGTTTTGTCTCCCTGTTCCTGCCTGTTGGCGTCAGCTGATAGAGGTGTTATGATTCTATCTTGTTATGCACAATGTTGATTATTCTCTCTGAACTAGCTAAATACATGGGTCTGGGGTAGAGTTCTTCAGAATTGACGTGGCAACTCTCCTGTGAAGTCAGAGACCCTCTGACTGTGTGACTTGTGATGTGAATTCTCCGGCCGAAACTCGTAATAAACCATCAGTGTTTGACATCAAAGCTCCTGCTCTTCCCGTGTTTCCTTCATGAGTCGTCCCACTGCATTGCTACACAGAAGTTTCTCCCACTCCAACCAAACTTTGTAATTGTGAAAGCTATATTTTCAGTGTGAAACCGAATTTTGTGTCTGACAAGTATCTTCTTTTCATTTAGGAACCTGATGCCTCGGACGCTGGACGGCCAAATCACTATGGAGAAAACACCCAGCTACTTTGTCACAAAAGAGGCTCCTAGTCGTGTCTGCACTATGAACTGCCAAACCAAGCTCATTGTGGTGGTCAGAGATCCCGTGACGAGGGCTGTTTCTGACTACACCCAGACACTGTCCAAGAACCCAGGCCTTCCATCCTTCCAGAGCCTGGCTTTAAAAAACTCCACCACAGGTCTGATTGACACCACGTGGAGCGCTGTGCGCATCGGCCTTTACGCCAAACATCTGGAGAACTGGCTTCAGCACTTCCCCTTGTCTCATTTTTTGTTTGTTAGCGGAGAGCGGCTGGTGTCTGATCCAGCTGGGGAGATGGGCCGTGTTCAGGACTTCCTGGGTCTGAAAAGGGTTGTTTCAGACAAACACTTCTACTTCAACCAGACAAAAGGTTTTCCCTGCTTGAAGAAGCCTGAGGGGAGCAGTAGACCACGCTGTCTTGGTAAGTCTAAGGGCAGACCCCATCCCCAAATCCCCTCCGAGGTCCTGCAGAGGCTCAGAGACTTTTACAGGCCTTTCAACCACCGTTTCTACCAGATGAGTGGACAAGACTTTGGCTGGGAATGAACAAGGAGATTCCTACCAGAAAAAGATGACAATTTGACTGTTTAATGCTCCACAGAACTAAGGTTCTCAGGGATGCGGTACAGGAATGCAAAGTCCACAAACTTTATTCTGCCTGAGTGGATTCAACGTGACAAGCAACCTATGAACTGTGACTGTTGTGTTGTAGAGTAGAAGCCGACGTGAACACAAAGCTGCCAATATGCAAGTTACTCACATGGCTTTGTTTTTAAACTATTAAACTATAGACTAAACTAAAGAGCAAAGTGTGTACCAAGGGGGGAAAGACATTCCCTTTGAAAATCATTTTGGATTTTGATCAAATAAGCTGATATTTATAGTTTCTGTTGATTTGAAAAACAACAGTTACAGTTTTTTTTTTATTGAATAAATGTATTTATTTTGCGACAAGGCCAGACATAAAACTGAATATGTCTTTATTGACAGGACATAGTAAAGAAAATGTCATGCCATGATTAACCACTATGTCTTCTTAATTATAAGCAGTGTTACTTTGACTGCATTTATATTTCCATTACATTTGCTGTTTCCAAATGTCCTTTAAAATATTACATGTCTTATGTTGAAGGGTGTTTCTCTGTACATTACAGTTGATATCTCAATAATACCTCATCTGTAAATATCAAACGTATTAAGAAACCACACATTCATTCATTCCATTTGTAGACATATGTAGATAGTTTCTCCTCAAAGCCACACACATTTTAATTGCATTGGCAGTAACCACTCCGCTGTTGCTTAAAATAAAAATACTGTTTTGATCTGTGATGATTTTGAACCAATTAAAACTCCATATATAAAGTACACAAAGCACAGTGGTGTCTATTAAACCTTTTTTCTGACTCTGATCTTTTGTTTCGTATAGTAACTTTTTTTTTGACATGACATCAAATGTTTCCTCATTTTTATATTATGCATTACTGTAATGGAAAACTGAGGCTGTTAGTTTAAAGGCTTCTAGAAGAGCGATATATATTTGCCCTTTCAACAGTAATCCAGTAAACCGTCATAATAAAAGTGTTAACTAATTTCAGGGCTTTCTAAAACTAAAAGACACAAGAGCAAAAGTGTGAGAAATGGATACAACAGGTATTAGCATGTCCGCCAACTAGCTACCTACAATAATCTACTTTCCACAAAAGTAGAACGTCACTCGGGGAGCGCAAAACCTTGCAAGGCTAGCAAAGTGAAAAATGAAGAAGGCACTTTTAAAAATGTAAACTGTAAGATTATCAATCAGAGAGGGTTGTGTTTGAACAAAATAACACTTTTTTTTTCTTCTTAAAAGTCCTACAACTAGCTCTGCACTGCAATCCAAGACCAACGTTTTCTATATCTTGTCTTGTAACATTAATCATGTATGTGGCCATTGTGTATTGTCAGCCAATGTTAGCTGAATTAGCTAGCAACATCTAACACTAGGAACAGAAAGCTTGACAGGCATATAAACGGTAACTATGGGGCGCAGGCATAGTGAATGCTTAGTTTTTCTACGGTTACCCTGTTATTGCTGCCACAACCAAATGTCTATCTCTCTCTCTTTCTGTAGTTCTGTTCCCCACACTTCATTTGTACGCTATTCTCAAACTTTAGCTCCTTCAATGGAGAACTGTCTCTCTTCCTCTCTCTCACTGCTTTCCCTTTGCCACTTCCACACAGTTAGACCACATGTACAGTCTGAGGCCAGCAAGCTACTGGGGCCTTTAATTATGAAAGATGTCCTCACTTCTTCCTCTCTGAAATCTTCTCTTTCATCGTACACTATCCTGTTAGGAAGAAGAACATTTGCTCTGATGGAACAACCAAAAAAGGAGCTTAAGATCTGAGAAATTATTGGTCAAATGTTTCTTTGCTGATGTTTTTTTTTTTAACAATGCATGAAAATACGTCGAACCAGTGCTTGCATTCAGCAATAGGCCAAAGCAAAAAAAGATTAAATCAAAGCCATTGACTTTGAGCTTGGTTTTTGGAAATGCGGCTTCTTGCATTAGCATGCTCTTGCGTGTCTTCGTGCAACACACACCCACGCACGCACACTCACTCTCCTCCCGTTGCCTATTCAAGTCAGTATTTCTGTCACATTCACTCACTGTTTTATATGTCTGGCATCAGTTTTTAGAGAGCCTTGCTAAAAATGTAAATGTGCTTGCCTCACTTCATCTGTGCCAACCTGTATTACTGCATTACCAGTCACAGTGATAGCTGCCTATTCACTGTGCCAGCCCAGCAGCCGGCATTAAAGATAACTGATTTCCCATTCTGCCATCTGCAAAATACATTAGTAGCAATGTAAGCAGGACAAGCCCAGTCGTTTAGTCTCATTAAATCAGCAGAACATTCGGCATAATCTAGGGTTGTCACTAAACACTGGTAATGATGTGATACATTTGATTGAGGTAAAGGAAAGAGAAAGGAAAATAATGGAATGACAGAGAATATGATAAAAGCGAGACGGGAAGATGAGCGTTGGAATTCATCCAAATGAGCTACTGCACATGTAATAAACTATAACTTCATCAAACTCTCTCTTTGCTGTCTTTGCACATATTAATGTGTATGAGCTCATGAACAGCCAGCCTCCTGTTGTGGATCCCACAGGAATCTGTAGACACCACCAGCACTTGGTCATGTTTTATTACTCAATCATCATTATAGGTGTATGGCAATTCACACAATTATAATGTAACTGAGTTGAGTAAAGGGTTGTCACAGGCTTGCTACAAGACATCCTCACTGGGCTTAATAACCACAGCAATGCATTGTTTATAATATTTTCAGCAAAAAACATATATAATCGTTTTTACATTCTGGACTGGTCATAAACCAAAAGTAGTTAGGTTGCAATTACAAGAGAATGCAACAAGAAAAAAAGTCACATTTTAAAGTTAAGGGTTTCATTTTGAACACAAACAAACAACTTCAGAGGTTCAGACAACAAAACCAGCTGGTTTGGTTTAGGAAAAGAGTAGTGTTTACATTTAAATAACCACATTTGTTAAGTAGAAGTAACATTTTACATTGTGTACACAAAGACAACAACACATTGTTAGTTTCACAGGGGACTACTGTAACAGCAAAACACCCAAACATGTTTCACTGCTTGGTAAAAGTAGTCCTGTGTTTTGAGTCCCATCCCTCCAGATGGGTAATTACATCTAGAGGTCTGATAATGCCAATTTAACAGGATGATAACACTCTGATTTGGTGGTTACATATACATTAGGCCAAAGCCTAGATTTAACTGAAGTAAAAAAGTGATTTCAGACTCAAGTCCACCGCTACACAAACCCTAAATGAGAGAAAGACAATATATACTTCTGAATGTTTGTTTGAACTATAGGTTTTCTGCATTACAAGTACTCCAAACATCTAAACTGAAATTACAGCTCTTCACTTCTCATGGGTAAAGCAATTTGTTTAGCTTTGGCTGGCATGCAGCTTCCAAGGATTTGATCCCATAATTGAATGCATGCCATCAATTCCTACCAGTGCAGATGTTTGCATAAGTAAAATTGCCCAATGTGGATTGAGTTTCAAGCCACTGTGACTATTAGAGATTAGACGTGATGAGGGATGTATATTTGGTGCGGTGACTCAAATTTGGGAATAATGGGCATATGGCAGACTAATCAGAAACACCCTTGAGGGATGGATGAACCACTCTGAAGACTGAGTTGAAGGAAACGGGGGGCCTGATTTCTATACAACAGATAAATGTAGGATTAGAGTTTAAAAAGTGGTTTCCCTTTGAGGAGACAGAATGAAGACGGTTCATACTGAGGACTCCACACATTTCCCCCCCGTACTGCAGTCTCCTTCGATTCAGGGAAGAAATGCTCGGGGATTTTCTCTCTTCTCTGCGGTTTAGGCCTCACAGCATCTTATTCAATTGTGACTCCAACTTTAATTGATGAGAGAGTAATTTGGGTTAGAGAGATTTTCTGATGCTTATGGTAGCTCATATCAAATTGGGGAACTTTCTAGGGATATGGCGTTAAGGAACTTTTACAATTGGATTTTATAACGTTGTTTTTCTGGACACGTTTCAGTGCATACTTCTTTTGCTATTTTAGACAACAAAATACCAGCCCCAGTCTGCTTTTGGACGGACCATGATTTTAAAATAGGAACAATCAAAGTTTATAGAGATGCTTGCACTGTTGCTAAATGGATGGAAACCTTTCACACTTAAAAATATAACTGCAGAAATAAAAATTAAAATAAAATAGCTCTTTTAGAAACATCCTTAACTTTTGGGGAAATGTACACACATCTGTCTGGTAGAAGCAGACTTAAATATAATGCTGCATATACAGTATGTTCCATGGTACATACCCACTTTGCCTTCCACCTGCATCTTCAAACAAAATGTTAAAACACTGCATGCAGTCAATCACTCTGAATGAAACAGGCTTGCACCTGGCCTTCATGCATGGATTCTTTTCATTTGCCAAAGCACCCATTCATTATTTTACTAAAAAGATTTACAGCCCTGAAGTTGGCATATAAAACCAAATCACATTTTAGCTCTTGATTTGCTTCATGGTGTTAATAATCCCCAACCAGCCACTTGTTACCTCAGGACTTTAGCTCATTGCACTGTAATTGTTCACATGCAGAAGAAATAGTCAAACTCTGTCAATGATTTGGGAAACGTAGGGTAAAGGCAAGGTGTATCCACTGCCAGCAATGTGTTGCCATCCAACTATGCAAACGTGAAGACAGAACAGACACACACAGTAGCCCTTCTGTCTAACCAAAAACAAGTCAAATTAATTGCCTGGCTATGTAAGTGCGTGTCTTTTGGATGTGATATGTCATATAGTTATCCTGTCTGACTCAATCCTTCCAACGGTTGTGCGTGATGGTGGTTTTATTCTAAGAATGGCCACACCGCCTCACTGTCTGATGACAGTGCAGCATGCAAAGCAAAGGCATCACGAATGGTCCTTTTCTAAACACATTGCCAAATTGTAAATCATTTTAGCATGTTGAACCTTCTTGCCATAAATTGCATGTCAAGAGCTGGTGCTTTTATCCGCCAATAAATGTTCAGGGCAAAGTGTTCTATTTTTCTTATGCCTTTCAGTCATGTAAGAATGGTATGGTGGTATGTGATTTTTTTTTCAATCATAAAACATACTGTATGTTATGCTATTTCTTCTTTCAAATTAAATAACCACCTCTTCATATAAAGATTAGCTTTACTGTATTATAAAAACATTAATTAATTTTATTATGCTTCACAATTATGCTCCCCTTCTTGATTCATATGAACCGTGGATGGCATGCCTGTAATCATGTTCAGGTTTTTTTCCATGTGAATCGAACAGAGTTGCCCCGGTGACCTCAAGCATGATATATTGCTCTCAACTTACTGATGAACTGATGGTTTCTAACTGATGTTTAAACATGTCTTTAGTAATATTTCATGTGGTATATTACATAAGGTGTAAACATGTCACACTATCAAACACTCATCTATCCCTCCTTATCCTCGAAATACCCTTTTTGGTCTATATGTGCACGTGTAATCAGTATCAGCAGGCTCACAACTTTATTTATGCACGTATTCATAAACTTGAGCATTAGACAAATAAAAAATGTGACTTTAAGGTATTGGATCACGAGAGTTACGTGATGCATTTTATTTTAACCTAATTTAATGGCAAACCATACAAAACATTTCATAAGCCACAAATGTCATCCTCATTTTAACCGTAAAAAGTCTGGAAATCAGCAAAGTTATTAAGATTGATCATCTAGGCCAATTGCTTTAGATAATAGAAAGTCTACTTTGTTATTTGTTGTTATGAGATATTACCCTCAAGTTTCTCTGTTGCAGTTACCAGCTGGCTTGATTTTATTTAACAGTTGACATCATTATTAATGAGTTATATCGGAAGACTGTGGTCTCCACATAATCCCCTCTCCCTTGAAAGCGTCAAATATACCTCCCCAGACTCCCGCTCAATGACAACACACAGCTTCATGTGATGAACGCTTAACCAGAGCTGAGCTTGAGCTTTGAAGCCATTGTTCCAAACTGTGAGTATGTAATACCTTCAGTCACATGGGGACAATGAACAGTATGATTCATAATCTCATAAAAGACGACACCTGTGTGCACATGCCACACTGCACATGGCTCTAACCCTGTTCTAAAAAACAGGCCACGACTACATTTCCCAGATCCCACATCTAATTGCATCTGTCATAACTGCTCTGGTGATGGACACATATAACCCTGGAGTCCCCTGTAGGCCAGGCTTGGGTCCTGTGAGTCTCAGAGATAACATGCCCTTAAGGTGTTGGAAGATGATGTACACTGACTCGGGTTTCAGCAGACTGGCCTGGGACAGGTTGGTGGAGGCTCTGATTGATCCTGAAAACAGAGAAGCCTGTGGGAGAATTGTAATTAAACCTGGAACAGATGTTGAACAGGCCAGGAAGAATGTGGCTGTAATGAAGGTACAGCCTAAAAGTCTAAATTAAGCGAGATGAACCAGTTTACCAGTTTTATTAAATGGCATTGGCAATGGTAGTCTTTTTGGCATGTTAGATTGTTGTCGGCTGCTAGGTAACATTTACTCTGCAGAGGCAACAGGGTTCACTGTGCAGTTAAAACATTTATCAAACTGTAATCCATAAACTTTCTGAGGAAAACACATCTCAGCTAATCCAACACGAAGCACAATGTGTTTTAAATTTAAAGATTAACCACAAACAGCCAGTGCCAAACCCTCAACCCTCCCAAACTCCTGCACCAACATGACTATTCTCAACTTCAACTCATTTGGGATAAACATACTTCACATTTAAGATTCTGAAGGGAGCACTACATGAATTCAACCTGAGCGACTTTAGGAAATGTCCTTATTAAAAAGGACACACTAACCAAAACATAGTAAAGCATAAGCAAAAATACTGTTGTTATTAATGTATTTATAATAAACAAATAATTTTTGTTCACATTATATATGCTTCCGTTAGGCAATATTATAAGGAATCATTGTGTACATTTTCATTGTTATGCGGATGATACTCAACTATATTTATCAATCAAGCCTGATGAAATTAATCATCTAAATAAAATTCAAGACTGCCTCAATGACTTAAAAACGTGGATGACCTTACATTTTTTGATGTTAAACACGACCAAAACTGAAGTTATTGTACTTGGCCCGAAGAATCTACGAAACAAATTATCTAAATATATACTAACTATGGATGGCATTCATTTGGCCTCCAGTGAGACTGTAAGGAATCTTGGTGTTATATTTGATCAGGATCTATCCTTTAACGCCCACATAAAATCAATTTCAAGGACCGCCTACTTCCATCTACGTAACATTGCAAAAATCAGGCATATCTTGCCTCAAAACGATGCAGAGAAACTAGTCCATGCATTTGTTACTTCAAGGCTGGATTATTGTAACTCCTTATTATCAGGGTGTACCAAGAAGTCAGTCAAGTCGCTTCAGCTGATTCAAAATGCTGCAGCTCGTGTACTAACCAGAGTTAGGAAAAGGGACCACATTACTCCTGTTCTGGCTGCCTTACACTGGCTCCCTATAGAACACAGGATATCATTTAAAATTCTTCTTCTCGCCTACAAAGCCCTTAATGGGCAGGCGCCATTTTACCTTAAAGAACTCATTATACCCTACTGTCCTATTAGGGCATTGCGTTCCAAGAATGCAGGGTTGTTGGTTGTTCCTAGAGTCTCTAAAAGTACAATGGGAGCCAGAGCCTTTTCTTATCAAGCTCCACATTTGTGGAATCAGCTTCCAGTTTGTGTTTGGGCGGCAGACACCCTATCTGTTTTTAAGAGTGCGCTTAAGACCTTCCTTTTTGATAAAGCTTATAGTTAGGGCTGATTAGATTCAGCCCCTAGTTTTGCTGATAAAGGCTTAGTTTGTCAGGGGACATCTTCCTTCTTCCTTCTCTCTGTCTATACCTGTGTACTCTCATGTTCCGATTAACCCAGCTTCCCCAAATGTCTTTCTTTTTGGTGTCTATATACGCTGGGATCCGGAGTCATGGATGATCCTGCGGTCCTGTGTCCTGCATCGCGAGCCCTGGATCTTGAGTCGTGGCTGTGGTCCTGGATCATAAGTCCTGGATGGATATCCTCGTGGATTCATCTTCCTATTATACACACATGCATTTCCAAACATTTGGATTACCTATGTTGCAAATGTATTATCTTTTCAATTTACACACAGCATCTATTGCACGTCTGTCCGTCCTGGGAGAGGGATCCCTCCTCTGTTGCTCTCCCTGAGGTTTCTCCCATTTTTCCCTTTAAACTGTGGGTTTTCTTCAGAAGTTTTTCCTTGTACGATGTGAGGGTCTAAGGACAGAGGGTGTCGTATTGTCATACTGATATTCTGTACAAACTGTGAAGTCCACTGAGACAAATGTAACATTTGTGATATTGGGCTATATAAATAAACATTGATTGATTGATTGATAATAAATGTCATGCCCATTATACTGTATCATTTCCATGTAAATTATGGAAGGAAACATCCAACATTTTGAGTTATTAACTATACTCAAGCAGTATTTTAAGGTACTTACCATGTACTACACATTTTCAGTGGAACATATTGTACTGATATACTCCAATACATTTAGTAGGAGGCGCTCTAGTTAGGAGTACAATTGCAGAATCTGAATATTAATACAGTATATCATTTATTAATGCTGACATATTATTGTAGACTAAGCTACCCAGCAATTTATAAAGTAGTTAAAAAATAACCATTACTAGCTGTGACGTTGAAATTATGTACACTTTAATGCAACAATAATGAGAATACTATGATATGTATTAGGCTGAATTTGCTCTGTGTGCTGTGTTTTAATTTAGATAATTAAGTCTGAAACAGTGACAATTGGTGTTGAATTATTTCCATTTCCCTGGTTTAGGGAGATAATGCAGATCACAGGTTTGTGAGATCATTCAATGTAAATAAACGGTTTACTGTACAAGGCATCAGACATATAGTTTGGTGGCACAACACTGCCATCTGCTGATCCACAAATGAAAATAAAGAAATAGTTTACAATCAGGTTGAATACCTCTCTTTTTAAGAGTCTGGGTATTTATTTTGTTTTTTTGTTTCCACTACTTTTCTTGTCTGTCCACTCTGAAGCTCATGGTGACAACGTCCTGGATCCCAGCCTGCAGCTGATCATGCTCCTGCACGGCGGACACTCCTTTAGGGGTCCCGGTCAGGATGAGATCCCCCTCCTCCAGGGTGATGAACTCGCTGATGTAGCTGATGAGATATGGGATGGAGAAAATCATCTGGGAGGTGCAGCCGTTCTGCCGGAGCTGGTCGTTCACCTTCAGCCACAGGGTCACGTTCCCCGGGTCAGGGATGCGCTCTTTGGGGATGAACTCACTGATGGGACAGGAGGTGTTGAAAGCTTTGGCCCGAGTCCACGGCAGACCCTTGGATTTACACACATCCTGGACGTCCCGGGCTGTCATGTCCAAGCACAGAGCATAGCCTGCAACATGCTCCATGGCAGCGGACTCAGGGATGGCCGTGCCCCCTTTCCCGATCACCACCCCTAACTCCACTTCATGGTGCAGGTTGTTGGAGTACCGGGGAACCAGGATGGAGGAGCCCTCTCTGACATAGGCAGAAGGTGGCTTCAGAAACAGGATAGGCTCTGTAGGAATCGCATTTTTCAGCTCTTTGGCGTGGTCTGCATAGTTTCTGCCAACACAAATTATCTTCCTCCCCCATTCCCAGAATTGAGATATATTTCGTGCCGTCATTGTGGAGAAACGTGTAGGTTTTCAGCCGCTTTGAGGCTGTCAGAACCAGTGAACCGTCAACTAAACTTTGACCGACCCTGAAACGATATTTGTTAAGCTACGGCAAGCCTGAAAGGACAAACAGTAAACTCAAATACATATTACAGCTGTTAAAACAATGCATTTTAAGTGTGTCAGTGCTCTATTATACAATAAGTAGGCTATCATTTACATCTACCTGTTTGTATTTTTAAAGAAGTATAAGTTAACAATACATATCTAAATAACACATATTTTTGTTTTATATTGATTATTCAGGATCCACGCCCCCGTACATGATTGGTGCAGCCTGTGAGGTTAAAGTTGAACAGGAAACGGACACGGAAATAAACCAAACTTTTCTGGTTTACACAACAATTGAGATTAGCCTTTATCTGCTGTTATTATGTTATTCAAGTCACTCGTAGGGAGTGCCTGCACTCTGCTTGGAGCAGCAACAGCGTTCAAATTAGGTAAGTCCCAACTACCTTACTGTCCGTAAACATCTAATTTCGCACGTTAGCTTGCGTATTTATATGAATGTTAACTTGTTACGGATGGATAAGTAGTTTTTTGTTATGGTCGAAAAAAGAGAGCTGTCAATTGAACTGAGTTACCCTGTCGGAGCAAACATCTGCACCTTATTACATAACATTATCCTTAACAGTCATGATAGGCTGTAGCTAGGTGGAAATCATGTAATGCATTGAAGCTAACGTCGTTCACTTTGTTTTGTTGTTTTGTTAGCGTACAGGTTGAATACTTGGCTATATTAGCATTCGTTTCCGGTATGTCTGGCTGCATAAAATAAACATAATTTAGTTTAAGGGTCTCTGTTATAAAATCATAGAATTGTATGGCTATAAGATTGATTATTTAACACTAAGAGAGAGAGAGAGCGTCCTCATGTCAGTCTGTCTAATGTTTACTTATATCTTCTCATGAAGCACCGTTGGAAGTAAAGGCCCAGGCAGCTGCCCTCCTTCACAGCGCAGTGAGGAAATCCTCTCTGGTGGAACAAGCAAGCATGAAGATTGAACTTCTCCCAGCTCTCAGTGACAACTACATGTACCTCCTGATAGATGAGGAATCCAAAGAAGCTGCTGTGGTTGACCCTGTGGAGCCAATAAAGGTACGTGCCTTATATTATATTGATGTTACCAACATATTTGTTATGATGTAAATCAGAATTAAATCGCAAATGCTCACATTCGGGATGTAAGAAACAACACTGTAAGAAAACACACTATCTGCTTGATAGCGGTTTTAAACAATTATCAAGATTATTGTTGAATCATTTAGATTTGAATTGATCGAATCATTTGATCACGTCTGCAGTTTAATGTTTTCAACAGGTTATGGAAGCTGTGAGAAAACATGGCGTAAAACTCACAACTATTCTGACCACTCATCACCACTGGTGAGATGCAATGTATCGTTTTTTTTAAACAGTGTTAGACAGGCTACCATTACACATGCATACGACCCTTCTGCTGAATCAAAGAGTGGTAAACAATACACTGATTATTTTCACTCCTCAGGGATCATGCTAGTGGAAATGAAAAGATGGTTAGGTTAATGCCAGGGCTGAGGGTCTACGGAGGAGATAACCGAGTGGATGCAATTACAAAGAAAGTCTCTCATTCCAAAAATTTGAAAGTAAGACAATCAAACTGGCTATTCTACACATATAAATCATCACCTGCCTGATGTTTGCTCACTGGTGTCATTCTTTCCCAGGTTGGATCACTCAATATCAAATGCCTGTTCACACCATGTCACACAACTGGTCACATCTGCTACTATGTTACGAAAGAAGACAGCACAGAGCCCCCAGCTGTTTTCACGGGTATGTCAAATCCAAGAGATCAGATAAAAGGCACAAATAAATACCAGGTGATACTGGAGACAATGAAGTCTCTGACAAAGCTTTTAAATCTGTAAAGTTGACCAATAAGTATTGATACAACAGCTTTAACAGGACAGCACTGCATCACATGTGACCTTTTTCAACGTCCCTTTTTTCCCCATGCAGGAGACACGCTGTTTATGGCTGGTTGTGGTAAATTCTTTGAGGGTACAGCAGAGCAGATGTACAAAGCCTTGATAGACATTCTGGGACAACTGCCTCCAGAAACTGTAAATATCTCATCACTAATATCAGTATAAAGGGTACTTTGAAAGTCTAAACTTCATATTATGATAATGTATACTCAAACTGTATGACTAACCTCGATGTGTTTGTGTTTTAAGCGTGTTTATTGCGGTCACGAGTACACCGTCAGCAATCTGAAGTTTGCGCGTCATGTGGAGCCAGACAATGAAGTCATTCAGGAGAAGCTAGCATGGGCAAAGGTATTTAACTGATGTGTCACATCATGGCAATTATTGCCTCAATCAAATGATCAGCCTAAGAAAAAAGTGATAATTAAAACAACTTTTGCATCTGTGTTTTGTAGGAGAAATGCAGCAACGGGGAACCTACCGTCCCTTCTACTTTGGCGGAAGAATTCACATTTAACCCCTTTATGAGAGTCAAGTATGTGCAACTTGATTAAATACTAGTTAGTAGTGATTTACTGACAACACATGTCTGTATAGTTTGTTTTGAGCTAATTACAGTTATTTGTTTAATTCAGAGAGAAGTCCGTGCAAGACCATGTCAAGGAGACGAGCCCGATTGAAACCATGAGAAGTCTCCGGAAAGAAAAAGATGGCTTCCGGGTGCCCAAGGAGTGATTTCCAGTGTACTCGTGCTGAATGGTTCTTTACTGCTTAAAACACTGCAAGCTGTCAATAGTGAAGTACAGAATAAATATCTACAATTCATCTTCAAACACTATAATCATATCTAGGACGTTCTCTCTTAGGCAATGCACACGTATTTTTTCATCATTATATTCAGCCCTCATATGGCTAGGAACTTGGTTTGTACGGATGAAATTGGTGCGGTAGTTTTAAGGAACATTTAGCTTTTAATTGAGTGCTTGAAATGAGAAAGTTTGGTCATGTGTAAATCTGAGTATAAGGGTCTATTTAATGTTATTTTATAATATTAAATCAATGTTAAAACTACAATTGTAGTTTGTTTGTACAAAAGCGTTTCAAATTAACAACTTAAATAAGACCGGGAGATGCTTGAGGAACAAATGTTGGAATGTGTAAAGTTTCTGTAAATTCATTAAAAAATGACTTGATTGGTATTAAGGAAGGTTTACTTGTGACTTTTCTTTCCATTTTGGCTTGAAAGCTATTCTGATTGTTCATTATGTAATTTTGTCAGAATTTAATTTAAAGCATTGTGAGCAAAGCATTGTCTACGTGGTATCACTACTGTTGCTTTCACATGAAGTGTTCAATACAGCGAATGCTCTTTTGCATGTAAAGTGCAATCTTACAACGAATATTGAATGAAAATGGCAACAACACATGTTTATTTGAAGTTAGTAGAAATAAAAGTCCTGCTTTCAAAAAGTACTCAATTGAAAATATTGTATTTTCATAAATATCATTTTTTGGAGTATTGCAAGAACATTTACATGTAGTTGTAAGTTACAACTAAACATGGGTATTTTAGGCCTTGAATTGCTACATTAAAATGTTGTGTATAATTAAGAATGCATGTCACCTTTTTTTGTTAGAACAGGAGTCTATAGTTGCAGCCATAAAGTAAAAATATCATACAGTACATTAATGTAAATCTTTAATTTCTTCACAATGTGATCAAATCTTCACTTTGTGCTTAAAGTTGCACAACCGATTCAAGATTATTCAATAATGTCTTTATCTAAATTCTGTTGGATATATTCCATTAAAATATATAAAACAAGTCTACAATTAAATAAAGTCTTTATTTCTCATTACACATAATCATAAGGTTAAATAAACAAGGAATGATTATATTTAGCTCTGTCATTTCAGCTGCCACAAAATGTATTATTTACTTTTTATACATTTGAATGGACAAAAGACAATCGGTCATACGATGTGAACTTAATTTGGCTCCGGCATTGTGTGTATTATCTATACCCCCTGTCTTTCGATTTGCCAAACAACTTTTAGAGGAGCGAAACAGCGGTTTGAAAGGTTATTTGCATACATTACTCCAGCTTGTATTCAACATTGCCCATAACCCTTCTGTTCTCTCTAAAGAATTACAAAAATAGTCACACATTGGGACGGTGCTGTGGTGTTTGATGAAAAACTCTGCTTATCATGGATTACACCAAAGCTTTCTTCACCACTTCATAGTAAGTCCATTAATCATCTTCTCCACCGCGTGGTAGTGTGTGTGCAGCAGCTCTTTGGCTCTCTCCTCCCCCACACTGTGCAGCCAGGACTGGTACAGCTCGGCCACACGGGTGTCCTCTTCTGGCGATAGCGTGCGCTCTTCCTTGTAGAGATCCTCAACCTTCTGGAGGAGCTCCTTTGGGTTCTGACCAGGTAAGGGCTTCACCTGTCCTCCGCCATTTATACAGCCTGAATAATAACAAGAGGAGAGGTAATGGTAAGCATGCTGAGTTTATCACTGATCATACATCTGCAAGAATCAAGTTTGTAAATCAGTGCTTATTATTTTCTTGTATTGGGCAATTTAATGGAGCAAAGGTGCATAAGCACACATCAAGGAAAAGTTTTCATCCTCAAATTCGACTTTACCTGACGGACATGCCATTACTTCCACAAAGTGGTAAGGCGACTTCCCCTTCTTTAGCTTCTGCACCAGGTTCTGGATGTTGCGGAAGCCGTATGTGAAAGCAAAGCTCAACTGGACAACTCCATCTTTCTCTAAAGTCACTTCCTGGAAGTCTTTATTCCTGTGGCAGAGGGGTTGAGGTGGAAGAACCAGATTAGACTGAACATTCTATAGACGAGGTGCACGAGAAGCAGGCCGATACAATTCATCTTTAAACAGATGATTTGCCCTTTTTTGCCTGTACATAAAAAGCATCTTAAACATGTATTTGTACTGGACCAAGGATTTACTGTTCCACAAAATGACCACAAGGCTGTTTCGGTTCTGATGGGACAGACTCACCTTAGGGTCTTGTAAGTGAGCTCCTTAACCTCCTCTCCAAACAGCTGCTTGGCAGCGTAGGTGAAGACATGATGGAGGTAACCCCCTGACCCACTCCCAGAATGGCTCAGGAACTCATCCTCACTCACACTGCTGAACCTGGATCACAAATAATATGTAATGTGAGTTAATGTATTCTTATGGAAATCTGATATGGCTAATAGAAGAAAATCATCACAGAACTTACATTGTATCTAGAGGAGCAGGTTCCACATCTTTCAGAGATACGTTTTTCTCCTCAAGCATTTTCTGCACCTCTCCTATAGGAAACATCAGAGAAGTATAATATGAGAACATGCTCCACATTCAAAGAGGCAAACAGCATCATAAGAGTAATTACTGTACCAGATGTGATGACACAGTCCACTTCTCGAGTCTCAGCTTCATTTAGGTAGAAGTCTGACCTCGAGGCCTCTAGTTTCTTGTCAAAGCAGGGCATTACTGCCACATGGTAGATCTGCTGTGGACTCAGCCCCTAACAACACACAGATCAATGTCAACTAAACATTTGATAAATTATAATTATAATCCAAATTCAAGACGTGCAGTACCTGTTGTTCAGCAAAATGTCCTTTAACCAGAGAACCCATCATCTGCTGAGGGGAGCGAGTGGTACTAATGTACGGAAGGATCATCTCCCCATGGGTCTTCTCTGCATAGCAAATCCAACCTGAGCAACACACACATACAGATATTCATACATGAGCAATGGGAGATGTCTTGAAGCGAACATTGAAATCATATAAATGAAGGTTGTATTATCTGACCAAAGTGAATTTGATCAAGCAGATAACGTTGTTTGGTCCTCAACGAATATAAAGACGATTCCTCAACACAGCTACATACGAGTGAATTGTGTTTTTATATACTTTCACATTATATTAATCAATGGAATTTCACATTGTTAGAATAGAAATTGCTATACAGAAAGGGTACACAATCAGCACCATTTACCAGCCGCATTGGTATAATATGAAAAAGAAAAGTCGATTTACTTCACCACCAGCCAAGAAAGAAAAACAAATGTTTGTACAATGCAGACAAATGAGGATGTCACGCTACAAAAGCCCTTAGAACGCCTCAGAACGCTCCAACATGATACATAGAGGGGTTGTTTTGGAATACCTGGACAGGCCGATGTCAGCATGGGCAGAGCCTTGCTGTCCTGCTCCTTCCTCTTGAAACGCTTCACAAACTCTCTCTGGCTCTCTAGCAGGCTGAAGGTCCGACTAAAGCTTGTGTCAAACACATGATGAACCCCTGCAATAATGATGACAATCTTTAGTGACTTTGTCTGCCTAAATCAGCCTTTCATTTACATTTTCCAGTTTTTCTTTGAGTTGTGTAGGACTTGAGAAGAATATAATTGTATCACTCACCAATGCCTTTAAAGAAAGAAGTAAGCCTCCTGCCTGCCTCAGTACTGCTGAGGTCAAAGTGTGCAGCGATGGAGGCTCTGGACTGTGGTGAAACGGACACCACCACAACCTTTTGCTCTTCAGCGTTGGCCTGTGGAGGATGTTATATATACCGTGAAACCAGCAATTATCACATTCCAAAGGCTGCAATGGCAAAGTAACCGGACAAATACTACACAAGCATTCAAACACATCCGTCCATCTCTACCTTGTTGTTGTGAAGCACTTTGAGGAGCTCCTCATGGCTTTGCTGTGTGATGAGGACGCTCTCAGCTGAGGTGATGCAGCCGCTGCAGGCCAAACAGTCTTCCAGTGTGATCTTTGCTTTCTCCAGCTTCTGTTTCCCTCCATCCTGCAAACATGAGGTTAATGAATTCAAGGTAAACGCTCATGCAACACCTATATTTTACGTAAAGGTAATGTTTGAGCTAGATACTAACCTTGTTGACCTGGACATAACTGCCATCATCTTCTATCTGAATTTTGGCCACCGATTTACCGAGTTTTTTTTCTATTTTCACAGGTTTGACGCATTCCTGAAAAACAGAAACCACACTTGTAAACAACTACAAAATACTTATCTTTGATTATTTGTTATGAACTTTATGAAGACAGCAATTTATACCACTATCCAAATGCCCCTATCTGAACTGAGGGAAAGCAACAAAAGGAAAGATAATGAATAATTAAAACTTAACTTAACCGAGAAAAAACAAGTTATTACCTGTTAACTAACTAGCTCCAACCTCGGTCTTCGTAGTTACATAAATGCTAACATTAGCAGCAAGCTAACTACTTAGCACATCTTTATATTTTAACGCTGGCTGGTTGTGTTACCATTAACTGTTAAACGAATAAGCCAACAGCGCTTTATGGTGAGTTTTTGTCAAGCTTTTATTAAGTATTTATTATAAAGGTTAAAAGTGGATGTCATATCAGCAGCACTGATATGACATCTAACAGATACTGATGCTCGCTATTTTCAGTATGTTTTCGCTATCTGCTGCATTTATATAGGGCGTAAATCATTAGTGTCAACGATGCTATTTTAAGATACTTATTATGAATATGTTAGAATGTTATATTAGCTCAACTACCTGAGAGGGAGTGATAAAATCATCGAGATCTGTCAACTGCAGCACACCGCTGAACTGAGAAGCCATTTTTACTGCCGTAAAGCGTCTGTTGTTTACTGTTGTGTCGTGAATAGTTATCCTTGATTCAACTCCAACCATGGATGTATAATAAGAACTCCAAGAAGACTCCAACATGGACAAACCTCCATACAAACCACCTGTTGCAGTGAGCTCCTTTAATCTTTAACAGTTTGGACTTAATGGTCTTGTACAGCCTCCTTATTTCTCTGAGCAAGTTAACCTGCAAGAAAATTACAGTAAGCTATCAATATTAAATATGTTTTCTAACTGCGAAAATATACGAATTGATGCCTGGTATGGCCTTCACCACCTATCTTTGTGTGATGGTTAACCATGTTTTTCCATTATTAAATACATATTTACATTTAGAGGTTCTTTAAGGGAAAAAATGCAATATTATCCATAAATCCCCCTCAAATCAATGTTTCTGACTGAACCTTTGACCACATCCTGATGAAACTGTATCAAGTGTAAAGGCCTGTAGTCAATATTAAATGCCTTAGGTATTCTGCACAAATAACAAAGTAAAACACTGTAAAAATATCCATCACCAAAATAGGTAAAGAGCATAACATGGAGCCTCACATCAGTTTTATTTTCTGTGATATAAACTCTTAATCTATAGAAATTGAAATGTTATCTATTTAAATTACTTTGAGAAAGTATAGACGGTTAGACCAAAATACAATTTCGTCAGGATATTTGTGCATGAATCCTTGACCTGCACAGTGGCGTTTGGGCCCTTGATAAAATTAGTATGTAATATGTAGTGACGTATCTTTATATGTACACAATGTTTCTGCATACTAGATGAAGAGCAGTTGTGCTTGAAACATCACCTTGGTGTAATTAATATTGGACTATAGAGCATGTGAAAGCAAATACATTTTGTATTCCATGGCCCCACATCTGTCCCATGCTTGAATAGATTAATTGACAGCTCTGATCATTTTGTAGTATTTTTTCTTTTGGATATGTTTTCAATGTTGTAATAAGCATTTTGATATTACCGCGTTATCCATCGTAGCCATGGCATAAAGATACAGATGCAGATAATCTTTGACAGATATATTAGTATTATCAGATACAATAGATAACGTTCAATAATAAATATGTAACATATAAAGGGATCCAAAGAAGCCATCTTTGTCATTTGTCGAAATGTATTTCAGACCGTTTTATGCACTATAAGAAAAAATGTGATCAAAGTATGTTTTATTTTTATGTGGGTTAACAAACAATATAATGATGAATGAAACAGTAATACTTTAAATCAATGAAATAGATGCATAGGTTATATATATATACATATACACGTAATTAATGGGATGAACGTAAAACTAAATAAAATAAAATGAACACACCAGAAGTCAACATTAATTTCTTGTCTTAAAACAAAGATCCATTTGTTTCTCGAAAACATTAAAACAAAACAGGATTTTCTTTAGCAGATCAACTTTAAAGAATGTAACACATCATACACAATAATATGTATTAGAATATATACTCTTACATTGTGTTAAACCTTAAACACATACACACACAATTCAAGCATATTAGTATGCTAGAAATCTTCATTAAAAAAATAGTTTCTTGTTTTCTTCCCTCTATCTATGATAAGAGGCACGCACGCGCCCTTGTGTTGTTATGACTACGCGGTCGTAAATCCGCCATGTTTTCGCTCCTTTATAGCTGCGTTGCGACAGAGACGGAGACATGAATGTAGAAAATAATCATACGGCAGAAACAGAGAGGGAGCAAACGACGGACGGCAACGAGACGATCACCATCCAGACAACACTGGGAGATGAAGGTTTACTCTCTTACTTTCGGAATCAAGACTGACATATTTATAGATATTGTATTTGGGCCTAGCTCACTTCCTCCATCATGAAATGTTGCTAGCAGCTAACTGCCATTAGCAACAACATAAGCTAGTTGTTTTCCCGCTGCAGCTGTACTCAGTTTAGAAGTCCATTCAGTGAGCAGTTTACATCAGCTAGGTGGCACAGATACTTAACAAAGTTGTCTCATGCTGTATTGTGCATTTCTCTTTGCCTGTCAGATGAAGATGTGCACAAATGTGGACGCTGTCAGACCGAGTTCTCCACGCTGGAGGCTTTCATCCAGCACAAGCTGCAACAAAACTGCAAACGCGTGGAGGCCAACCAAGAGGTATGGACTGTGGTGTGTGTGGTTTAATATCCAGTTTACACTTTAAACTGCAGTATCGAATACATATCTATATTTTACCAGGTTACTGCAGCAAATGGAAATTCTTCTTCAGAGGTGAAAACAGCTAAAGGTGCATCCTCAGATGAGCGAGTGAAGATCACTAACGGTGGGTCAACATTAAGGCTGAATCTAAATTATTGTATCATCATATATTTGACAATTATTGTGAAAGAAACATCAACATTTCCTCCTGAGGGCAAGGTGACTTATAATAATTGTTTGTTTGAACCAACCATCAGTGCAACACTAAAAGACATACTGTTCACATCAAGTTTACCTAAGTATAAATTACGTAAAACATATTTTGTATTTCTTCATTCATCATTTTGGTTCAACCTGTAAATTAGATTCTCCAGGGGGGCTACATTGTAATTTGTGTCTTTATTTCACACAGATGAAAGCAGTGGTACTTTTGGCAGAGGCCGCAGGAAGAAAATAGTTTCACCCAAAGTCAATGACCAATCCGATGGGACGGAAGGATCCTTATCGGACAATGCTGAGAGTGACAAGTCTGTTGTTTACAAAGTTAACCAGGAGGGACGCTGCATTTGCCAACTTTGTGACAAGACATTTAAAACTGTAAGTCCTAAAATGTATTTGTGTTTAACTGGCGACCTGAGATCAGATTTCCTTGTCAGAAATATCTTTCATGAATAATACCAGGCTGTGTATTTATTACACTTCATGTTGCCAATGCTTTTCTTTATGATATGTTATATTTTTACCCCACAGACCAACATCTTGAGAACTCATATGAAAACTCACAGTGACCAGAAGAACTTCTCATGTGACCTATGTGGAACCTCCTTTCGCACAAAAGGCTCCCTGATTCGTCACAATCGTCGTCACACTGGTACAGACAGTTAACAAAGACTGATTTGTTTATGATTCCATGTCTTCTAAAACACCTTTTTTATATGATAACTTTCTTCCTGTTTCCTCACAGATGAGCGGCCGTATCGCTGTACCCTTTGTGGCCAGTCTTTCAGAGAGTCCGGTGCCCTCACAAGACATCTAAAGGCCCTCACACCCTGCACAGAAAAGATCCGCTTTGTTCAATACAAGGAGATCTTAGTCAGCAAAGATGGTATACAAAAAGGTCAGATTTATACACCAGCTGCTGTTATTTTGTGACAAGTATGTTTGTGTTAAACAAAGTAGCTTGACGGTCCTTTACAATCTATTCTATCAAAGCAAATTCATGGAGTCCTTTTATATCAAAGTCGACAATGTACAAGATTGAGAAATAGATTAAGAAAACCCAATGACAGGTCTTTGTGCATTTCACAGGAGTCGATGATGCAGTGGCAGGCCAGCAGCATGAAGTGGTGGTTTTGGAGCATCAGCCAGAGGAGGAAGAGGTGGAGGAAGAGGGGATGGTAGAGGCTCAGACTGCTGTGCTCAGTGTGGTAGAGGCTGGTTCCCACGAGGTCCTCCATCAGGTCCACTTCACAATGGAGGTGAATGGAACAACGCAGGAGCAACAGGTTAGTAGAGAAGCACATTTAGTCCTGCTGTTACCAATCAAATATACACAGAACACATACATTTTCCATAATACCTTTTGGTACATTATTTGCAAAAATAAAGAACATTTCGATTTAGTACGAGATAATTAAGCCTGTAACTTTTATTTTATTTTATTTAACCAGATAAAAAAAGCATTGAGATAAAATCTCATTTACAACGCTGACCTGGCCAAGAAGGCAGCAACGTTACACATTTTTACACATAACACAGACATATAAAATACAGAGAACACAACTAAGTAAACAAAACAAAAAACGAAAAGCAGTCACTACATTGTGCACATTAGGACAGTAAGAAAGGTACACTACTTATTACTGCAAGAGCAGCTGGTGGTAAGGACCTCAGACAACTTCAATTTAAAACAGGCTATAGGGACAAGTGCCGTCAGTTTGAGGCTTGATTGAAGGTCCTTCCAAGACCAAGGACCATAATTAAAAAGACTCCTTTTTCCAGCCTCAGTCCGCACAGCAGGAACCTGGAACCGTATCCCAGGCACTGGATCTGAGTCACAAACTGGAGCAAATCTGGCACATATACACAGTGGAAGCTTACCTAAAATGGCTTCATACATTAATAAAAACCAATGCTGCATCCTACGCATACTAAGTGAGGACCATCCAGTTAGGCTATACAGTTTGCAATGATGAGTCCTATAGGGTGCATTTGATATATAACGCAGTGCAGCATGGTAGAGTGGGTCAAGTTTGGCCAAAACATTGGGACAGGCAAATCTGAAACTGTCCTCCAACCTTTCATGTTTTCTCTTGCCTGTGGTCAGGTTGTAGTAGATCAGTCTCAAGCTGAAGCGCTGGCCGCGGCTGCTGCAGCAGCTGGAGGCAACCTCATCTGCCAGGCCATCATCAACTCTGGCATCGCCATGGAGACAGAGGAAGCCGTGGAGGAAGCCGTGGAAGAAGCCGTGGAGGAAGCCGTGGAGGAAGCCGTGGAGGAAGCCGTGGTCGAGGAGACCTCAGAGGCAACGGAGGAGATGGATAAAGAGCATTCTGACTGTCCTGATGAGGATGAGAATTTCACTGAGATCCATATTAAAGAAGAGTTTGAAATGGAAACAGAGGTAAGCATGAGAGTAATAATGGTATTGACCAGTTGACTACTTACATTCTTTTAGCAGTCATGTTTTTGCAATGCTTTGTTAAAAGGGTTCAATTTCTTTCTTCTTTTTGAAATATTAGCTATTTATTATTTTTAAGTACTTAGCTGTAAATAACTGACCATATCGCCAACTGACTTTACGGACGAATGATTCATAATTAATCGTCATTTTGATTTGTTTTTTATTAAGGTTAAGAAACAGAAAAACTGAACTGAATATCTTGTTGTCTGCTTTTGATTCTTTTGCAGGAAGCAGGAGATGGTCAAACATCTTTAAAAACGCACAAGTGTCCACACTGTAGTCGCTCTTTCAAGGGACTGAATTATTTCCGCTTTCATGTCAAGGGCCATTTGGGTAAGTCCAAAGCTATAATTCATGACTCTCAGCAGCATCACTGTATGCACCCCTCCTAAAATCCTTTTGATGAACCTTAATCAATATGTGAAATCAGAAGAAAGCGCAACTTTATCTTGTTACAAACAAAAATATTAAATTCTTTTCTTTCTTTTCTCTTTGTCAGGTTACAAGCCTTTTAAGTGCACGCTTTGTCACAAAGAGTTTCTAACTGGTTACCTGCTAAAGAAACACATGGAAGTCCATGTCAGTGAGAGGAGGTACAAGTGTGGGGAATGTGGCAAGCTATACAAAACCATTGGGCATGTACGTGAGCACATGAGGGCCCACTCTGATGAAAGACCCTACCACTGTTCCAGGTGCAACAAGGGGTACAAGACCAAGGTGACTTTTTTTGTAGATTCTTTGTTTTGTATTAAATGCTCAACTTGTATTCATATTACAACATATTTCGTCACTAAGTTATTATTCACAGACGTATCTTTCTGTCTTGCTCAGAATGCCTTACAGGTGCATCAGCGGACCCACGGTGATGAGAAACCTTATGTGTGTCAGTTCTGCTTGCGAGGCTTCAGGGAGAAGGGTTCGTTAGTGCGACACATCCGCCATCACACCGGAGAGAAGCCTTTCAAGTGCCCAAAGTGCAGCCGAGGCTTTGCTGAGCACGGGACTCTGAATCGGCATATGCGTGCGAAAGGTCTCTGTAGTTGACGGATCACAATACTTGAAGAAAAAATGTATTTGCCGACACAGACAAACATAATAACAGCGGCTCTTGTTTCCCACCAGGAGGCTGCCAGAAGGACGGTTGCAGTGAGCAGCAGGAAGAGGAAACGGAGGAGCAGTCGTCGGTGAACAGCCTCGCTACGGCAGCCATCATCTCAGAGGATCCTCATGCCGTCCTGGTGGAGTTCTCCTCAGTGGTGGCCGACACACAGGAGTACATCATCAATGTGAGACAGGGAATAAGGGTTATCAGAAAGTGGTGTTTCTCCCCTTACTCAGAGTTTGTTAAAGTGTGAAAGTAATCTTTTTCTAGATAAAACTTGTTTAAGTGATCCATGATGTCACAGCAAGTGTTTTTGATATCAATCAATAGCAGAATATGTGCCATTGCATCACTGATTCAAGTGTTTTGAATCACTGCAATTTGAAGTGAATTGAATAGTTTGCTGATGAGAACTAGTAACTTTCTACCTTCCTTTGCAAAGTGCGGACACTTAATAATAATACATTTGATTTCAAAGCGCTTTTCCAGGTGCTCAAAGACGCTTTACAGTGGTTTGATAAAACATGATAAAATAGAAATACATATTAACACAGCATAATACACACATTTAAAAGCCAGTCTGAAGAGGTGTGTTTTGGTCAGTGTTTTGAAAGTGGGGGGGGTCGGTGCAGTCTCTGATGTGTTGTGGAAGGGAGTTCCAGAGGGTGGGGGCAGCGATGGAGAAGGCTCTGTCCCCCCAGGTTCGGAGCTTGGTTCGTGTGGGGATAGAGAGGAGGTTCGCTTCTGATGAACGAAGGCTGCAGGAGGGGGTGTAGTGGTGGATCAGGTCAAGGGGGGGCCTGGTGGGCCGGGGGGGGGGGGGTGGCCTGGTGGGCCTGGTCGTTGAGAACTTTGTGTGTTAGCAGAAGGATTTTGAAGTGTATTCGTTGACGGACAGGGAGCCAGTGCAGGTTTTGAAGGACGGGGGTGATGTGGTCTCTGGAGCGGGTGTGGGTGAGGAGGCGGGCAGCGCAGTTCTGGATGTATTGTAGTTTATTTAGAATTCACACTTCAAGCTTTGAACACACGTTTCAGGCTTGTTAAAGAGGGTCTCTTGATTGTTTGTAGTTTTTTTGATTTCCTCCTGACTATCATTTTTTTTTTTTACACAAGAGCTGGACCTAACCTTTGCAAAACAATGCTTATGAAGGGAAAATATCTCTTTTTACATTACATCACATCGTGTCATTTGTTAGACGCTTTTATCCAAAGTGACTTACATACTCAATACTGTGGACAATCCCCACTCTTGACTGTTAGAATAAATGTTCCCACATACAGTATGCCGGTTTGATCCATGGCTGCAGGAAACAATGGGTTGAAAGTTATTTATTGTGAAAGAGGCTCGACCAAGTATTAACTCCAGAGCTGCACACTGTTATCAAGTAACCGACTGAATACGAGACTTCTCATGTCTGAATGAAAAATAAAGGACTTCACTAGTGGTGGACTATGTAGTTGACAGCAAGTTACACTAAACTTAAATAGAATGCTTAAACAATATCTCCAAAAAGTCGAGCGGATTGTGCTCATTATATTTCAAGGTTCTAATGACTAGAATCAGAACATATTGAATCAAATGTATGTAATTCCTAACATTCTGCTCATATTTGTGATTAACTTTATTTCCCTCATTTCTTTTAGACTCAAACAGACGAGGACGTGCAAGAAGAAGAGGTAACACTCATTCAAGACAGCCAAAATGAGGTCAGTATACACAAATACACACACTAGCGCACACAGTGAGATCTGTAGAGTTTATGCAGAGCGTGAGAATCGAATGATCTGATAAGGACTGTTAATTGGGTTTTCATTATCTTACGCCTCTCCTACCTCTTTTCTACCAAACCTGTCTAGATGGGAAACACCATCATGAAAGTGGTGCAGCAAATAGTCAGCCAATCGCAGGCCGCCGGCAACACGGGCAGCCACCAGATCATCGTGCGCAACGTGGCGATGAACGAGGAGGGCACCTCCATCTCTGACTGCGGGGACACCATCACCATCGCTACACCAGAGAGCCTGACGGAGCAGGTGGCCATGACGCTGGCCTCAGCCATCAGTGACGGCACGCTACTGGCCACGACGGGTACCGTGGAGACGCCAGATGGGACAGTAACTATGCTGACAACTGAAGAGACAGTGGAGGAGGGAATACACGTGGTGCAGCAGCAAGAGGAATACGTCATCACATCCCCAGAGGAGGTGGAGATACAGACTGTCATTGTATGATCCACGGGGTCACTGACTATGCACTGATACATTTGGCTGGACTTTCCCTGTAGCCGAGAACTGTGTAGAGTTTATGTAAGCTCATGTGTGAGATTTGATAACTTAACAAAGGCCAAAGTGTTTCTAAAGTTTATAGCTACATAATTAGAACAAAAGATGTCTGTGTGAAACCTAAAGAATGAGTGGGCATGAGGACTATCATGTTTTAGTTTTTGTTCATTTATTGAATTGCACTGCATTCAGTATGCCTCCTATTTTGTTTAGGTGCATATCTCTTGTTAGGTGGTACAAACGGAACATTCTTTGCCTTTTAATCTTTGTTCCTGTCTCCCTTATTTGCTGCAGTCAAAAAATGAAATGTCTTTGTATTTTAATACCGTAATCGGCATCATTCCGCAGTGTTTCTGCTCTCGGATGTTCTTTTCACCTTCAGATTGAAATGTGATGGCTTTTTGAAGACGGACCGATCAACAACTGTGGCGTGTGCCTGCCTGCTTAAGGCCATTTAAGGAGGCCATTAACCTCCCATAGTGCAGTGTTAAAGCATAATGCATCTTTAAGCATGACAGATACACCAGAAACTACAATTTGATCAGTTTACTCGAGCAGAGTTTGCATCAAATAAATGCTATTTTCTTATACAGTTGGCTCTCATTTATCTTTGTTGCTATCATGATTTTTGTGACTTCAGTGTGAAATCTATCCAAATGATATAGAGAGAAGCAACCAAATACTTGGTTACTGTAAATGGTGATGTCTTGCTATTACCAATCTACCTTACCCTGTCCTGTCTGCAAGTTTAATCATGTTCTATTATTGTTAGCATTTGATCATCCTGGGCAGCGGTCTTATTTCATTTCTTCTTTTTGTTTAAAGAAGTGTGTAGCTGTAGAGAGAATGTCATCTTCCATCTCATCGTGGGAATACCACCTGCTTTAAAAGCACGCACACCTGCCAGGTAAAACACAGCAACCTCTGGGACACATGTACTCTCCAGGCTTGTTCTTTCTGATGTTGTGCTGTAAAGTTTATAACTAATGGCCCTGCTACACTTATTTCACCAAGCTGATTGTCTAAGCTGAAATATTGCATGCAACTTTTAGCATATATCTGCAGGCTGTAACTGGTGCTGGAGCAGCGAGGTTAAAACAGCCGCTTTAATCAGAGAAGTGTCCCCGGCTGGTGCAACACACACTGGTTTCTGGGTCACTCCTCAGCCCTCAGAGAGGGCCCTATCCACATGAGCAACCGAAGAAGGCAGAGAGAGAGGCTGGGACAGAGAGATAGGGAAAGGTATTTATAGAAAAATGGGGCTTCACAGTACCTTTTCTTGCAAAGAACCATTTCAGGACCAAGTGAGCGTGTCCCACTTTTCTGATCATCTCTCAGCCATTGGGTTTAGATAGAAGCTGAGGCTGGACTGCCTCACCCAGGTGGAGCCTTTCTTTCAGATGCTCTCCCCCTTCCTGCGGCCCCCCCGTCTCCACAGCTGCTTACCGCTGGTTTTCTGATTGAGAACAGTGGGAGGCGTCGCCCCATGATAACCTACAGATGTGACCTTTTAGGCACACTTGATTTGCCTTGCTCTGTAGAGGCTTTTGGAGGCAGGGAGCTCAGGTGAGGAGCAGCACAAAGGTGTCCAAAGACACCCTTTGGCTGCATCACCCTCCGGGCCGGGGGCAAAGGAAGGCTGGCTGGAACGTGCCCTGCCGCTAGCCGGGCGAGGATGAGGCGCTTCCTGAGCAGAAAGGGTCGCTTCTCCCTGCGCCAGAGCAAGTCTGGAACCCGGAGTGCCTCCAAAGATTTCTGTAAGTCTCTTTCTCTGAATTGTACTTTGTACTTCCTGAATTGATTCATCTGATGGAGGTAAGATAAAGAGGAGAGCTTATGCTGACATTGTGTAACTAGGTCGCAGGCTGAGAGAAAAGGACTGACAATCCTCTGAGTGCTGCATGTGTTCTGATGGGGAGGATTTTGATCCACAGCTCCATGTCAGTGACTTCCCAATCTATTTTAGATCAATAATCAGCTGTTGTTTCTTCCCTGCAAGCTGACACCACATTCTGTGACTCTTTGGTTGCCTTCAGATTTGACATGTTTTATTCACTCAGCCACATCGCTCCCTGAATATTTAGCCCTTTGCTAAACTGAGAACTGCCTTGTCTTTTTTCGCAGTGAAGCAGATCAGATATTTCTACATTTCTTCGTAAATCTAAGTCTCATTTTGTCACTTCTCGTGCACTTTTTCGTTTGTTTTCTTCCTTCCCATCTCTAATTGAGTCTATTTGTTTCTGTCTTTCTTCACCTTTGTCTGAGTTTTTTGTTTGATTTTTGACAAACATTTGATGAAGTTAGAAATGATACAATTCTGCCTTATTTAAGCTGTAATTAGCCTCTTAATGCAAATGGGAAAAGTGCAATGCAAGAGAGCAAGTCAATACAAGATAATAATTTAACTCAATTACACAGGAGTTTTTACAAGCACAAGTGTTATCATGTTTTGATCCTGAATATTAAGCGATTATGTTGTGTTTGGTGAGAAAACAGAACATGGACTCACAGTTCCCTAAAATGTTCTATAAATATCTTTGACATATCTAGATGAGTTGAGATGAAGTGAGCCTGTTGGGACTCTTCCTGCCGCAGTAGAAGGAGGCCAGTGACCAGGGGAAGGCCAGCGGTTCATGTGGGTTAGATAATAAAAGTCAGAAATAACCTTCTTCCCTCTGTTCTTTCATTCATCGAATAGAAAAACATCTTAAAATCTGGAATGTGCATTCTGTGTCTTTACTATACAGTATATGTGTGGCTTCATTACATGAATTACCGATTTACCTGCTGCTACAGCTCGTCAGTTTGCATTACTGGGATGCCCTATTTAACTGTACTGTTTGACCTCCATTTAACAGCTTGCAACCTGCTCGTCTGTATGAGCAGCTTGCTCCAGATTAACAATGTTCTTTCATGCTAGTGTGACATACATATCCTTTAAGCAGTAAAACACGTCACCTTCCAATTAAAAAAAACCCATTGAAGTCTCAACAGACACAATTCTTGCTGGCCTTTGACTGTCACTTGTTAATGAACTTGCAGCATTTTGCAATTTTCCTTTTCTGTCCATCTTCCAGACCTTGGCCTCCCAGCAACCAATCAGAACTGGCCCGAGGCGTTTGGCTTCCGACTGGGTGGCACTGGGCCCAGCTACATCTTGTCCGTGGTGGAGGGCAGTAGTGCCTACCTGGCTGGCTTGCAGCCCGGGGACCAGGTGGTGGACATCGAGGGCCAGGATGTGACCAACCTCAGCACACCGGCACTTGTCGCTCTGGCTCAGACCCTCAAGACGGTGCCACCTAGCATCGGAGTAGTGTCACGCATCGAACAGGTTTGCTCAAAATTCCCATTTTGTGTTTTAAATTAAGGGAGAGTCAGTAAAAACACACTTAAAGGTCTCCTATTATAATATTTCTAGGCATATATTATAGGTCTCAGATATATAAAAAACATGTCTATGAAGTGTTTTGCTCAATATACCAAACAGATCACCCATTCTAGCTATGCCTCATACCCCTCTATTTCAGCCCTGTTAGAGTAGTGCTGATTCTGGGTCCGTAGCTTTAAAAAAAGAAATTAAAAAAAGAGAGCTCATGCAGGAGAATTCTACCCAGATACTCAGCTAAACGCTGCCGTGATTAAACGCCATATTATGTTCCAAACCACAGCAAGGATTATTTCTGAAATGGTATGGAGCTCAAATGTTTTTTCTCTCGCGGGTTTACCACAAGGTGAGTACCTTTTTATATCCTGCTTTTTTACACATACTCTCTCCAGTAGAGAGTGTTAGCGATGCTTACTAATGTAAACACAGACCATATTACTTCCAATACACGTCGCGCATTGTTTCTGATTCAGCGATGTTTCTGATAGGTCCGTGGGCGTAAAGCCAGCCCACATTTCCGATATTACGTCATGACCGCAGCAAATCTTGATCAGCTCCGTTGTACCCCCGTTTTTAGAGATGTGGGTAAGGAGGAAACTAGAGAGGGTTGTATTTTCGGACCCTTTGTGAGTCACCTGACACACAGGGGACACATATTTATGTATAAAATACATCAAAAAGTGCATTTTGCATAATAGGGTAGTGGGTACCTTTAAGTACTTTCCCCTTCCTCAGATTGACGTGACTCCTGGTCCAGATGGCCGTTTTGGCTTCACCATCATCGGAGACTGCCCTCTGATGGTGGAGGACTGCATGCCCAACGGTCCTGCCGGTCGCAATGGCCTCAAGGCCGGGGACTATGTCATGGAGGTCAACGGCATCCCAGTGAAGCATCATGAAACGGCAGCGGCCATGATCAAAGCCGCTCAGGGGCGGCCTCTGCGTCTGGGCGTGCTCAGTATGGCCCGGCGTCCCAAGAGGCTGAGCAGTAGCATGAGGGTGTTGTCGCAGAGCGGGGACAGCATCAGGGAGAGCCGCGCCCACAAGGCCATGGAGTTCAATAAGAAAGTAGGTGTGAAATAAATGTTTGAAATTGTATGTGATTGGTGCATTTTCATTTTCTGTATGAATTAATGTACGGGCGTTGGTTTACCCCTCAGGTGGAGGAAGTGCTAGGGGAGGAGCTGGATGTGAAGGAGCAGCTGTTTGAGGTTCTGAAGCGGTACGCTGCAGAGAGGGACGTGGAGAGTCTGGCTGAGGCGCTGCCCGACATCTTGATCACAGAGGAGCACCAGCAGCTGATTGACAACGTCAGGTAGCTAATCAGAGCTTTTTTAGCTTGAAAATGCAAGATGCTGCACTGACTGCACTGCTTTGTTTTAGTAAAAGAGGCCTGAATCAGACGGAGAATTTGTTATTTTATTTTGCCATTATTCTCCCAAGTAACACACTCATTTACCACCAGGCTGCTGTTTTTCTGTTCAGGTCACAGTTAATCCCGCCTCTGAATCAATCCAATTGGATATTAGGAAAACACAAAAGCGTTAGACAAAAAGCTTCACCCACATTAAAAACAATTACATAAAAGTCATCTCCAGGCTTCTAAAACTCCCTCTGCCTGTCAAACATGTCTGAATGGAAGCTGTGTGTCTTGTTTTAACTCTGTGTGACTAAGCAGTCCTTTAGTCCTTCTTGTGCTGTGATCAAACATGTCTTGTGAGATATAAGAGAATTTCTTAAACTGTTTATCCCCTCTTCCCCCACATTAATACAGACTTCAATGCAAATTGAAATCGGATTGCAACACATTTCTGCTTTACTGGTGGCTTGACATCTTGTTTGGATATCTGTCACTACAGTGATGCAACCAGGACACTGCATCAATATTTTAGCCTGCAGTGCCGTTTCCAAAGCTGCTTCTGTTCTCTCAAAGGGTTTACGCGCTTGTTAATGTGAACAACCAAAACTCTTTTTAGATGTATTTTTTGTATTTGGGTTATACATTGGTGAACCGCTAATTCTAAAAACCTGCCTGCAGCACGTTAAAACATACAAAAATATGGAAGCAAAGTTAACTAACCACCCAGCAAGACATTCCAACAAATCCAAACTGTCAATAAAAAAGGAGTAACCTTTTAGAAATGCCGGAAAAACCTAAAAAAAAAAAGAAAAGTCAATCGTCTATACATTATTGAATCCCTTTTAGTGTAGTAGGGAAATTAATACTCAACATGCAGATAATACCCTGGCTGTGTAGTACTTTTCAAATATTCCAAACCTATTATGTCTTATACACAGTTACAGCCATAGGATTCACTGCACAGCCTTTACACAACAATCAGGGCGGAGACGTGCTGCAAAAACGTCTTCATTTCCTCATGGAATCAATAGTTTAGAAACTCCCCCTCTCAGCATTTTACTGTGAAACTTGGGAGAGGTGTACATCAAGGCACATGTGAGTAGCTGACCTGAAGTAAAGCCCTGACTGCTGTCCTTCAGTGCTCAGATATCTCTGTTTCTCCCCTCTCCGTTACAGTACACACGAGTATAGTTAGAAATTCACCACAGAATATTGCATTTCTTCGTTCTCAGCATTGATCGGAAAATCAAAACCCAAAACTCAATATCTCTGCATCCTCCTGGGCTTTCTATTTTCTCCCAGCCACCTCTCGTTTACCTTTTTTCGCTCATCTTCTCTCACTTTGACTTCCTCTCTAAGTCTCTTTCTTTCCTATTTCTTCCTGTCGCCTGTGATGCACCCTTTGATTTTTTTTCCGTTTATCACATCACTGGATGTTCCTTATTCCCTCCTCTGCATACAGCTCTTAGCTGGTACAGCCTCCAGTTTGCGGCGGCTGGTTGAGATATGCACACATACGAACACAGAGAACTGTGCAGATGCTCACACAGCACTGATTCGGACACACATGCCTTCAGTCCTTGCTTTGAAGTTCTTTCCGGTGAGAAATTATGAACTGCTGCCTCAGGTGAGTACTGAAAAACAATTTGGCATTATACATTTGCAGATGTTGTCATCAAGTTTATTCATAATTTATGATGAATAAGCTGTACTGATTTGAAAGCATTCTGTGGTGACAATCGATTAGCATTCAGTTTTCTCATGGATTCATTTCGTAAATCTCATTTTTGTGACACAGCTGTCTGTCTCACAGCTTTAGCAGCACATTTCCTTCCTTAGAAATCTGCCTGCGAAAAATGCTTTGTAATATTTGTTTTGCACCGGATTCCCATTAATTATGCATTAACTGTATCCATAGAGGACCGTTAGCTGTTTCCTCTTACCTTCAGCCAATAACAAAAGTAGAGTAACTCTCTTAATAGTAGCCTGAATCTCTCTTTAGATAAATCTACTTCAGATAGCTGTAGTTACCCATCAAATCATCCCTATGTGCTTGTTCTGGTGCACTGTAACCTTGACAGGCTTTGATATGCAACGTTTTTCCTCTCGCTTTCTCTGCCTGCTGTGTCATTGCGTTGTTGACATTATCAGTGCTGATGAGCTGTTATTTTGTGCAACAACATCTTATTTATGGCAATTAGTCCGTGCAAATTTCACTCTGGAAAGAGCTGCAAAATATTCATATTGCAGGTTGGGAAAAGCTCTTGATGTTTACAGCATAATCTGGTGAACATGTTTCTGTGATTGGAGCCCGAGGGAGTTTGGCTTCCAGGTTGTTCGTTAACCTCGGGGCGGTGATGGTGTTTATGGCTGCTGCTGGCAATTAGATGTCTCATCCAAGGAGAGAAATGTAATGTGGAGTTTATTTTCTGTTCTTGGGGAAATGTGTTGCTGATTATATTTTGATAAGGCATGTTTCAAGGCAGCTTTTTTAAACCTTGTTAGTGGTAACCTTTAATATCTCAATATCTGTCAGATGGTTTGGAAGACAATTAGAACATTCTGGGTTTTAAATGACTCCTGTATGTAATGATTCCTTTACTCATACCCAGTGCTTCCTTTAGGGGGACATTTGTGACTTTTAAAGCAATGTCTCCAAAACTTTAAATTGCCATCCCATTTTGTACACATATTCACATCCCCATCAACTTAGGTGAGCACTTCCCTTTTCCTAAATGCCATCAGGTTGAAATATTTATTTTAATTTGTCCAATGCTTTGGCTTATGACTAAATATCAGCAAAACTAATTATAGTCTAAGTTGTTTTTTTAGTGCTAAATGGCAAATATTAGTATGCTGACACCCATAACAAGTGCGAGCTGGTCTGAAAGTGTTGATGTCTGCTTTCGCCATTTTTTTTCTTCCAATAAGGGTGGAACAATTTTGAAAATATATATACCCGTGATGTTGGCTGATGTTGCAACTGTGATATTATATCCTAATGCCTTGTCAAACTTGACCAGCTGGGCCACTGTGCTCAGTCTGCCTCTCTCCCCTCGCCGATTTGCCTCACTCTCCAACAGGATGTGTTCTATTTTTAAACAGCCTATTTCTTTTAATAAATTCTCTTTTAGGTTTCTGACACATTTGCCAGTTTTGATTTTTTAACGGCTCTGAAACCAAAGGTTGGCGAGGGCTTGAACACTTCTGTATCTGGAGTGTCATTAGAGATAATGTTTGAACATCTAGTTGCTCTTTTGTTCACGCGATTCTGCAGTGTTATGGTAATTGAATGTAATTAAAGTTAACTGAAGGCCTTTGTCTGAAACTGTATATAGACTTAAAATATATGAATTAATTAGACGTGTGCACTCAACCCAGGATGCAGTGCTGTTTTTTTCTTTTGTTTTCATTATTATTTGAAAACCAGACTGTTTCTGTCTTTTACAAATGTTTTATGAATCAATCAGACAAGCTTTTGTTGGATAGATGTTGTCATAGTTGTTGCACAGACATGGCTGTCAAGGTTTTTGTGCCATCCCTTATGCACATTATCGGTTCTTACCCCCCCCAGACACACACACACACACACACACACACACACACACACACACACACACACACACACACACACACACACACACACACACACACACACACACACACACACACACACACACACACACACACACACACACACACACACACACACACACACACACAATCATTGTGATGACCTGTCAATGCAATTCCACTGGGGCTCTCCTTCTTGTCTCAACTTCTCTCCTCTCTCCCTTCTCACTTACTTCTCTGGTCCTCCCATTCTTTCCTCCACTGAGGGAAGAGAAGATTTATCACACACTCACTCTTACTGAAAAATGATGGACGACTCAGTGATGAGACTTATCTTTGAACTATGATTGAGGAGAGTACACTACCCTGCGGTTACCTGGACTCCTTGATTCTTTAGAGGGCGAAAGATGGGAACAAATGGGGAGTGCCGCTCCAAACATGAGCATGGAGAACAGCTGATGGTGCTACCTGAGGATGTTTTGGAGGTGTGGAGGTACCACTCTTCCAATGTGCTCCCTCCCTCTCTTTCATTCTCTCTCCTTCTTTCTCTGGCTGCTTTCCGAGCCTGCAGCAAGCACTTTTGAGATCCAGGACGCCTTTCTTTTTCTCATCTCTTCTGTCCCCTCTTGTCTCGGAGAGTTTGTTTATTCATACGAGACGGGGACTCACCCACATGGAGAAGAAGCATTTGCATTGCTTCACTGAGAGCAGGCACTTCCTCAAAGCCCCCAAGAACCATGGGAAGGGATAGGAGCCTTTCCAGACACTTTCGGTATGGGACTTTTTCTTTGATCTCAGCAGTGTTCGCTGTGCTTTGAGTTGTTCGTGCTGACTTGTATCTGAAGTGTTGTTGTGCAACTGTTTTCTGTGTGTGTGTTATCTTGTCTTATTGAAGATAATTTTACACTTTCTGTCAGTATATAACATTATAAAACTCTTTTCTGTCCCAAATCTCATTCCAGCATATAAAACTGCGATATTCCAGCACAACTATTTTTTAAGTTTGACATCTCCAAATAATTGCTGATACTTTTCTTTGTTTTTGCTGTCTGTGGTTTCGCAATTAAACTTTGTGTCTGACGCTATGCTTTGTGTTTGCAAATTCATAACTGGCCTAGCTGTCAAATGAGCTGATCCGAAGTGGGTCTCATTATAATGGTTATTGCAATGAGTTTTCCAGCTGAATGCAATTGTCATTCATCCCTCTGTGTGCTGTGTCCTTGATCCACCCCTCCTTTATGCCTAATTATAGACGCTTCTCGCCCTCCTTCAATTGAGGGCATCCTAAAGCCTAAATCAAACTTCATTGAACAAAGCTATGAAGTTTCTGCTCACTTGTTTTGGCATGTTTACAAGATTCAATAGGTTAAATATTCTTGCTGAAATCGTAATATGACGGAGAGACTATGTTTTTAGGCAATTAAAGTCACAGAGATTATTGCTGCCAGGCCCTGTGACTATAACAAATACACAATAAAGGGCCCCATTCAGTTCAGTTTCCCCTATCTGCCGTTTGTTGAGACACACAGGTGATGTATGGGTGCAGTTTGTGAAAGTTTTGTGGCCTACATCGCCTGAGAGCACATGCTAGCCTGCTTCATTCCCAAAAGTTACACGACCCTGACCTAGAAAGAGCTCTAGTTCTCCACTTTCTCTCTTTCCCTGCCTTTGACTCATATGTTACTACTTGTGTTTTCATGTATATCTCTGCAGCTTTTTCTTTCATGCTTTATATCCATGAACCACTCACTCTTTCAATAACTGTTTCTTTGTCACTGACTCTGTTTCTTTCTTCGAAGTGCAGAATTAATTAATTTAGTTTTGTCATGTCTCAATCTTGACTTCTTCTTGTTGTAGTTCTACTCTTGATCACACATCTGACCTAAGAGATAGCACTTCAGAGCAGTCTGGTGTTGCAGATGAGCACATTTCAGCCCTCTGGGAAGTGTTTCTTTTGCATGAACCTAGCATTTACACAGGGCTATTTTTTATATGGATGTCTTCGATGTAAGCGAAGGAAATGTTTAGTACGTAAGTGATTATCCCTTCAATATGATACTTTACGTTTATTTTTTGATATGGCATTTAAAACACTTATGTATGTCAACAAGGAGCGTGCAGGGATTGGACCAGGATTGTACACAACAGGTATGATTGTAGATAGTTTTAGATGTAGATTGTAGTTGATGAAACAATGTATCATACCACAAGAGACTCCCAGGCACTTTCTGAATGATTGACAGTTTTACATTTGGTATGGTACTCAAGAATCCGAAGGATGCACAGATCTTTTCAGGCTGTTGTTGCTCTGGTCAGAGATCTCAAGTTAGTTGTTGATTTAAGGGTAAAGCTAAGGTAAGCAGGAGCATCCATATTGTGTTTTTTTTAAAGCAGCTACAAATATTTACTTTGAGTTTTTTGTGTAATATGGCCTGTTGTGGCATTTGTGGCTGTAACTGCAGTTAACTCAGGATTCACCTTGTGTGACTAGTGTGAGTTATGACTGATTTATTGTAGGGAGAAGCTGTGCTGTTGCTGCGGTGCTGTTCACTTGATACTGGTTGAGACAATTTCACTTGCAACATACACCCATACATAACGCGCTATTATTGGACACTAGACTGACTAATGGTTTACAAAGCAGGACAACCTAAAACCAGTGCAATAAACCAAACGGTTTTCATTAATAGTTTCTCTGAATAGTCTTAAATCTAACTTGCATTACTGAAATGGTAATGTATTGCATTTCTTATCTTTCAAGCACAGACTGTTAGTTGTGAGGAGTGGTTTAATTGTGATTTACAGATGTAAAGCTGTTGACCTTATAAGTAAAAGATACAAAGTTACAGAGTGTTTTATTACATCTGTACACTGACTGGCTTTGGATATAGTCCCAGGTTTTATTGGATCAATGTAAAGGTGTCTGCTGTTAGCTGTAATCAAGTCATTATCTGTGTGTGTGAGAGAAAGCTCTGTGAACTTTAGTTTGTCCGATTTTGTTTAGGTAAGAAACTTCCAGAGGGGAAATATGTGCAAGCTTGCATACACTTTGGATAATGGGAAAGCGCGGGTTATGAGTCACTCAGAATTCAAACCTAAAACTTTTCTGTACGTTTTTATGAAACTACCAAAATCATCTAATCCTTGACTCCTAACAATGCTCCAAACGTACCTGCCAAAGCACTGACGACTTACCGATGGGACTAATTCTCAAAAGTAGCTGTTGAGTTGTGCCGTGTATCTGGATGCCTTTTAGAACTGGAGCACTCTGAAAAACCAAAGCACTCGTTTCTCCTCTGCACAGTAGAAGACCCCAGGAGATTCATGATGAAGACAGAGAGATAGAGAGAGGATGGAGTTGAGATGGAGGCAGCATCATTTTGTATCTGGATTGGGGGGGGGGGTATGCAAAATAGAAAAGGTACAAATGAGGTGTGTGTACATACAAGGAGATGGAAGATTTTGTGTATGTGTATGCAGAACACTTAGATGAAAGAAGAAAGAAAAAGTGAGAGTGTCCTATATAAAGAAAAATGGCAGCCTATAACACTTTTTTCACAACACAGTTATTGGCAATGATTCTTCCATTTCTGGGTCATTTCTGTTGTTTGCTACCGTTTGTTCCTGCAGATAATTGGCTTGATATAAACGTCATGCAGCAGAAAACACAACTAAGAGAGTTTGATGGAGTAAGACAGTTTAAGCATAACAAAACATCAGTGGGTAAATGTCATGTTTTAGAAAACAGACAGAAAGACTGCCTTTTTTCCAGTTTTCCTGATGTTGAACAATCCTAGAACAATAAAACTGTCACAAAAGACAGCTTCAATTCAAGCCTTTAGTGCCAACACTCTTTATTTGATTGCCTCGGCACTTTTTTTTCATCTTTGTGTTTGTGGCACTTTAAGCAGACTGGAAGACAAGGGTGCACCACGCTCACAAAACACTACTAACTCTCACTAGCTGATCTTAGAATATCCAAGGGTGGGTTATTTCTATAAGAGCAAAGGGGGGATAATAACACTGGTAGGAGGAGAGCAGCTCTTTCTCCCAGATGTATCTCTGGCTCTGAGCTTCCTCCTTTTTTCGCATATTAGCAGGAAGCTGTCTGACACTATAACCTGCAGCTGATGTGACGGGACAACACAGACAAAGCTTGTCTTTTATCCCTTTGAGTCTCTCACACACATGCGTACACTCACAAACAAATGTTGGACCAATCCTTTCTGCCTACCTCGGCCCTCCCATGTGACGATATGGACTGAACTATTTGTGGCCCAATTAAATGGAAGCTGCAGCTGGAACAATATGTAATCAGAACAAGAATTGTTTTCCTGATACATTGGACGATGGATGTTTTGAGAGATCAGGATGAAGGATTTTGGATTTGAAATGCTGTTCACGTGTGATTTTGTGGGTGTGAATCTGAGTTTGTGTCTGATTCCACAATGTTTGCCAGGATCTTCATTCCCAAGAAGCACCGGGAGCGGTTTGACGAGGTGGTCAACCAGAGCCTGATGAGCCGGATCAAAGGGCGGAGCTTCAGCGACCCCAGCCGCCAGCACCTTCGCCGCAGCCGGAGCGAGGATCACGCCGAACGCCTTCTGGTCTCCACCCGAGCCAGTTCAGTGCCACGCACCCACGCAGAGGAAGGCGTGGTCCCCCCCGCCCGCGGCATGCGCAAGACAACCTCCCTCATAGCTGGGCACTCCAGTGGCAACACCACCAACTGCAGGTCTGTATTTAAAGATTAGTTTCTTCACTCATATTGACTTCTTTAGCTCCTGGGTGCTTTGGCCTTGTATCAGCAAGAGTCACATCATCATCATCCCATTTTCACCTGCTACATAGAGCCAATCCATTTTTAGCTTTCAAAGAAAACCAGTTTCCTAAAATAACATCTTCTCTCTCCTTACGTCTGAATTATACCCACTCTACATGAGAACAGCTGTGACGGGTCTTTCTGTGTGAGCACGGAATTTATGTGAATTAAGAGGAGTAGGTGTATAGATAAAAATACACGGTTCAGTGGTTGGAAGATGAACGCATGTTTATACATACACATTTTTTCTTGCTCTTTTCATCTGCTGTGACGTTGTTTCCTGTCATGTCTTTTGATAAAATTGATAAAACTAATCCTCATCAGATTTGGTTGGTTCATGCTGACGTGATTTAGAGCCCCTGGGATATAGTGTCCATATTTGGGTTTGTTAATTCATGGGAAGTTAAAGCTGCTGAATATGAGAATCTGCAGGGGGTCCACAGTTGGACTCTCGATTAAACTCATTATTTTTCTAATTGCAGTTAACTTTTTGAACAAATCACAGCTAATGTATCTTTGAGTTATAGTTAATAATGAACAACTTAAGTTTCTTTGGTAACCCATTCAATTATAAATGTTACTTTTATCATATATTACCACCAGTGGCGTTTTTATATGTACAAAAGTGGTGGGGCACAAAAAACGTAGATGTCTACAGTATATATAAGCTTCTGCAGTGAGGTTCATGGCTGCTGAGGCACTGGCTCTTCAGGTTTACAAATATTATATTTTGACCTAAATCAAAATATAATATTATTTTCAAAAGCTTTTTTAGTCTGATGCTTCAATTAATTTTAAACAGACAGTTCAACAAAAGGATACCCAAAAAATGTAATTTTATCATTTAAATATTGAATTGTTCTCTCTTAGTAAGATCCCATTTTCAATCAAATTGCAGTCTTACCTTGACTTGAAGATGAAGTCCATTTATAATAAATCTAATCTAATCAATAGATTTATGATTCGAAAATGATAAAAGTAGGGTAGACATGTGGATATTATCCGGCTGAACAAAACGTGCATTTATCTAACAGGTTTGTTTCCCACAGATCTTATTTTGAGCTATTTTCTAAAATCCTATGGAGAAATATCATTGCTTTTTTGTGGAGGGAAGCCATGCGCAGCTTACTTCCTGGTTTTAGGACGCCTCACTGCAGCTCTCTCGTCTCCTCTTCACACACCACACTTTTCGCGGCACACGTACTTACAGCCAATCAGCTCTGAATGATGTGAGATGACGTATGGTGGGGATGGCAGCTCTATGCCCCTATGGTCATTATTTTGTTGCCACACACATTAAAAAGGAAAATACTCTGAGCATGCGCAGTGTAGTTTTTACAGTCACCATTGACTTAAACAGGGAGAGGGAGGGGCAGGATCGGGTTTTGTCCCACATGGCTCTAAACAGCTCAATAGGCACACACTGTAGACACTAATTAGAAGAACACAGACTAAAACAGCAATGAGACGAATCAGATGATTAAACATGATCTTAAAATATATTTTATATATTTTTTAATTTATTTTTTGCATTTTTTTGTAATCATTACTTTTAATACATTCTGCTGACACTAGGTGGGGCTGTGCCCCACCTGCCCCTAATGACCAGTCGCCACTGATTACCACGCACATTTAGCAATCACTTGATCCACTAGAGCTGAGTATTAGTGCTTACCTGCTTTTCTTTCATTTATAGAGCCTCTGTTCATTCTTCAGTCCTGCCACTAATCAAAGCTCAAATTTGTTAATTTAGGACGGTGAGAGTGTGTAAGGGTAACGCGAGCTTTGGCTTCACTCTAAGAGGCCATGCTCCTGTGTGGATCGACTCTGTCATCCCCGGTAAGTAAAAAAAAAAGTGTTTATTTGATTATGAATAGTAAATGTTACATGTCATATTTCTATTGTACTATTCTTGAAATGAGGAAACGATCAAGTCAGATGTCTCTTGTACTCGTTCTCTGTTCTGCAGGAAGCCCAGCAGACAAGGCAGGACTAAAGCCAGGAGACCGCATCCTGTTCCTCAATGGACTGGACATGAGGTTGAATTCTAAATCTAATTAACACAACACTGATTATATTTAGATGAATGTGGTTATCTGGTTCCTCTGTTGAAAGAGTTTTGTTGTTTGTAGAGCTCACACAGTTATTGACAGGAATAGAAATCTAATGTGATGGATTTAATAGAAAAACAAGTTCCCAAAAATAGCTCCCCAGAAATTGTGATACTGTGTTTTAACCTTGGTATATTCTCTGCAGAATACAGAAAGCATTGTTTATGTCAGTAAAATGTCTATTTTATTTAAATAGTAGGATTTCTTTCTAGTAAAATGAAATAATTGGTTCATGCAGTTAAAGGATATAACAGGTGTCTCCATGTGTACCATGCCTGTAGGACCTCGTCCCATGAGAAGGTGGTGTCCATGCTCCAGGGCAGCGGTGCCATGCCCACGCTGGTAGTGGAGGATGGTCCGCCCTCTTTCAGCCTGTCAGAGCAGGACCTGGCGGGGGCCAGCGTTCCCACAGAGGGGGCCCGCTCCCCTGTCCTCAGCTCCCTGCAGTGGGTGGCAGAGATTCTTCCGGCCAGTATCCGGGTTCAGGGACGCACCTTTGGACAGCAGCTCGAGCACCTGCTGACCATCCAGGAGAAGTACACCATCTGCAAGGCTCTGGAGAACTTCTTCCAGCACAGGTGAGCAAGGGTGGGGAATAAGATCAAAAGAAAAGCATGAGGAATGGGGTGAGATCAGACGTGGACATCTCTATAACTACTGTTCGGGCTGTTATGTGCTTTTATATTCAACCATAATTGGAATTCCATTTACAGTGAAAAGTGCATTGTGGAGGTATACATTTGTTCAAATAAGGTGGTTATTGTTACAATTAAGCCCAAGGTGCAGGTTGGCTCTTATAGTATTTAAGTTTGAGGATGTGCAAGACACAGATTAAGGAAATCTTTTTTTAAAGGACTAAATATGATGAATATACATACAGTATGTGTGTTTATAGCCATTTCCCTGTTGCCTTGTAAAGTCTGTACTACAGGCTGTGTGTTAATAGTTTTTTAGTTCATTAGCCAAATCAGTGGAGTCGCCTGTTAATTTAGTTTCTAGTTTCTTGCACAAGTGGAGGACTTCACCCACAACTTCAACCTCTGATTGAACAGTGAGGCAATCGCTGACCTATCTTTACTTTGTTTCCATGACAACAGGAATGTGGACACTCTGATCGTGGACGTGTTCCCGGTGCTGGACACTCCTGCCAAACAGGTGATCTGGCAGTTTGTCTACCAGCTGCTGACGTATGAGGAGCAGGAGCACTGCCAGAGCAAGATCTCACGCTTTCTTGGATACAAAGCGCCAGGTGTGTGGCACATCTGTTTTTTCAAATGTATGAATGAATATAAAGAGTTTTTGTGTGTGCGAGGTTGGCGCTTCATGGGGATCATTGGCTCAGTAAAGTGCAATTAACTCAGGTGTCGCAGCCCTTCATACACCTTTGCCTCTTCCTCTGCATTGCCAATATATGTGTGTGTGTTCTAGTTCCACCACCACCACCTCCTCCCCCTCCTCCGGACCCCGAGGTTGCCCCCGAGCCCCATCGGCGTAGCAGCTCCATGAGGGTGACAGGGACCACGTACAGGAGCAGTGTGAGGGGACGTAGCTCTGATGACCTGGTCATTGGCACACACTTGGGCATGGGTACAGATCTTTATTGTCTTCATTATCATACATACTAAAGCAACAATAACACTCCATGACACCCTTCTTCCAGTGTTAGAAGAAGTATAAAAGCATTTACAACCACGTATCATAATCTGCGAAGTAATTAAATAAATGTTTATAAATCAAATGTACAATAATTACTTCTGAACTGTTCTGTAGTAGAAGTATAAAGATTCAACACATGGAATTACTCAAATACTCAAGTACCTCAATATTGTACTTAAATACACAACTTAGTTTAGTGTTCTAACCTTCACCATTGCTTATATATTCAGCATTCACATTGTTCTTATTGTGATCATTTACAAAGTCCTGTTAAATCCTAGTTGCATTTCTTTTGTAGAATCCTTTGGCCTTTGTTTCAAACTTCCAATTTCCCTTTAAGAGGAAAGGGTGGCTGATGCTAGTTCAAGCGTTTATATACTGATTTGATATAAATCGGAATAATTGTTTGACATGCTCCCATGTAGCCACAATTCTTTGTTATTGGCCCAAAGCCCAATTTAACTGGAGCTGCCCATCAGCCCAAATTGTTCTTGTCCACATCCTGAGAACCTGCCCAAATCTGGAAACCATCAGTCAAACTGATTGGTGTATTGTAATAGGCTTCGGTGCAGAGGCAGTGCTGGATGCAGGGATGAGGTTGGCTCCAGGAGAGAGACAGTCGGGAGATGGTACCTCCCTTCCTGAGACTCCCAACAACCTCACCAATGTATGTAGCAAAGTCCTCATGGGAAATAATAACTATAAACGTTGGACTCACTAGTGCAAGAGGACTTACTCTGGTTTCTTTGTACATTTCCACCATGCAAGCTGTCGTCAGTGTACGCTGAACTGGAGAACATGTATTCTGGCAAGAGGTCCAAGTCTCTGAAGAATCGTCCTCTTCCTGCCCCCGACAGTTTGCTGGAACTGGAGCCTCCCTCACGCACAGCCTCCCCTACAACACATGCTAACACAGGTAGCTAATACGTACATACACACTAAACTCATAGCAGCTGGAATTATATTTAACTGATTTCCTTTGAAGAATGACTAGCTTGCAATTCTATTGTGTGTCTGCCTGTGTGACTGCATGTGTGTTTCTATTGTAGAAGAGGTAGGATAACAAGTGTCAATTTCCTTTATTCTTAGATTGGCAATCTTTTCTTTGCCAATATGATTGGTTTAAGTGTATTTTGTCTGATTAGGAAGTAGCCAGCTTAGACTTCATTTGATCTTCCTTCAATGGATACGGATGCATAGTGAATCTATGAGGGGAAGATAGGAATATCCTAAATCTGCACCAGGCAGAGCAGCCTCTCAGGTTGCAGGCATGTTAGGTTGAAGGACTAACATACACCATCTCAATAATACTGCCAAGAAATACTGAACCTCATACAGTTAGGAGGATATGGTGATGGTGGAAGTGGAACAAGAAAACACACACCTTAATCAAAAATGTGTTTTCAGCAATGGTTAGCTCCACTGGGAAACTGGCCTTTTGTTCATAACCTTTTTTCAAATGCAGGACTTCCAAAGGTTTTATACATTGACTTTCATTAATACTGTTTTAGATTGAATGCCTTATGTTTTCTATCTGAAAGACTGTGCACCTGACATTATGTTTTAGAAATGTACCCTTCATTTATAACTGTAGACTGTGTGTTTCCCCCTTATCCCAGGTAGCCGTAAAGCCCCGCCTACATCCTGGCCGGAGCCTCTCCCCAGTCCCCCTCAATCCCAGTTCTATTCATCAGGGCTTACGAGCCAGACCAGTGGGGAGTCTAACCCCTACATCAGCCTGGACAGTCCCCCTGCATCCCCTCCAGAGCCCCCTGACTTCCCATCCAGCCCCCCTGCCCACCGCAACAACAAGCGGCGTTACACCTTCTCCAAACCACCGCGCTCAGAAGACACAGATCGCTTTCTGGACGCTCTGAGCGAGCAGCTAGGACAGAGGGTGGCCATCATCGATGACTTCCTGACTCCGGAGAACGACTATGAGGAGGTAGAATTACATGAAGTCTAAAGCTTGATTATAAAATCTATTTTAAGTGTATTATATAACTATCAGATGACTATTGATGTTTATTCAGTAAATATGTGTTTATAGTCAGATAACATCAGTCAACATTAATGATAATCTGAATAATTAACTGTTTGTGTGATTATTTTCTTTCAACTCTACTAAAATAAACGTAAGACAGTAGATACGCTTCAGTGAGTTAAAGGTTAAAATTAATCTATAAGTATATTGTTTGTTGTAGAACAATATATATATATTTTTTAACAAAAATCCTAAAGGCCACCATGTTCATGTATAAACTGACATATTGTAAAGGGTTAATTCGGCTGGGTACACTTATTCCCTACAGGCAGTTGGCCTTGTATCAAAATGTGAAATAGGACAGACCCCTTGACACACATGGACTTACAGAATGGGTACAGAACATAGTCCCCTAAAATAACAGGGACAAAGTGAAACACATAAGAGAAACTATTGCAACAAATGGCCTCACATACAATGTAACTCTGTCCTGCAGAGTTACATGTCAGTATTGTTTTCCATCACTTGGACCTCAAAGAATCATTAAAAATGCCTAACTGTGATCTCATATTGACAAAGGAGCAGCCCAACCATCAACATTCAAGCCACGTCATTAAAACATGCCGTCATGCCCGAATACATTGAAAGGTTAAACACACAACAACTAAATGGAAGTAAGTTTAAAGAAATGTTTTTCCACATAGCATCGTGCTTACTACTTTTGATGTGAGGAGCCTTTGTAGGGTGAAATTCTCAATCTGTCATTAAAGTAAGCTTTAGTGACAATCCTGCTAGTGCATGTCAAAATTGTTTAGCACATACGTATATTGCCAGTAGATCCTATAGAACCTGCCCAGTTTTAATAGACAGCCATATTTGTTATAAGTGTAAAAACTCCTGTTGTAATCAATTTGACATATATTGCTTGACAAGTTTGTCAAAATATTTTACCACGTTCCACTTTGACATTAAGGGTCTAATGAATTGTAATTGGTGTTAATGCCAGGATATTGTGCAGATGGGCTTCCCAGATGATGATGATGATGATGATGAGGATATTGAAGAGGACTTGGGGGTGGACGAAGATGAAAATGAAAATGGAGGATTCGTGGCCCCAGAGCTCAGCAGTCCGAGTGATGTTCAAAGCAGCAGTGGAGAAGAGAATGCTTCCTCCCTCACCTACTCTTCCTGCTCTGACCACATCCCTCCACCTCCAATGTCCCCTCCACCACCTCCGCCTGTTCAGTTCAATGACCCGCCTCCCCCACCCCCCCCTCCAACACCTGCACAGACTCAGTCTCAACAGCAACAACAGCAACAGCTCAGCTACACCCCTGAACAATCCCCAAGAGCATATGTGCCCATCCGCCGGAAGTCTGGCCCTCCTCCACCACCTCCACCTCGCAATCACCTTCCACCTAAACGACACTCCTTACACAAAGTCATGCCCAAAAGAGATGACCTTCAAGTCCAGGCTACTATACAAGAGCTAAAAGCCTTCCAAGGGCAAAAGGTTTTTCAGCAAAGACAAGTATACGAGGAGCAACAAGCCTACAAGGAGAGGCAGGAGTATGAGGAGCAGAAAGCTTTTGAAGAACAGCAACTTTTACAAGAGCAGCAAGCTTTCCACGAACAACAGGCCTATCAGGAGAAAATGTTCAAGGAGAGACAGGCGTATGAGGAGCAACAACTTTTTGAAGAGCAACAACTGTTCCAGGAGCAACAAGCCTACCAAGAAAGACAAGCGTATGAACAGCGCCAAATCTACCAGGAACAAAAAGCGTACGAACAGCGTCAAGCCTACAAGGAGCAAAAAGCTTTGGAGGAGCTTCAAGTCTACAAGGAGCAAAAAGCATTGGAGGAGCTTCAAGCCTTCCAGGAGCAAAAAGCTTATGAAGAGCGTAAAGCTTATGAAGAGCGAAAAGCCTACGAGGAGCAACAAGCATATCAAGAGCAACAAATCTACCAGAGCCATCACTCCATGCCTAACCAGCCAACACAGCAGAAAGCCCACTCACCGCTTCCTCTCCAACAGCTCCACCAGTCCTTACCCCCACTCCCCTCTCCAGACTCCACCCATCCCCACGCTAACCATCCTCTGTATATGATGCGCCAAGCACAGCAGCAACAGGCCCACCAAAGTCATCTCCACCGACGTCTGTCACGATCAGCCCCACCTCCACACCAGCCGTCGCCCCAACCGACCGGCCATCCTAACCAACATGGTCAATACTCTGAGGGTATCTACCAAAGCCATCAGGGCATGCGACCCCAGGCCCACCATTCGTCCACAGAGATGCTCAACCAGATGCAACAAGCCCCAGCTCATCATTCCTCTGCAGAGATGCTCCATCAGTTGCAACACGCCCAAGCCCACCACTCATCCACTGAGATGCTCCAGCAGTTACAACAGGTCTTCTCGTCTTCAGAAATGCTCCACCAAGCGCACAAGACCAAGGCCCATCACTCCTCCACAGAGCTTCTGCACCAAGGTCACCAGATGCAGCAAATGCAGCCCCACCACTCCTCGGCTGAACTTCTCCACCAGGCGCAACAGATGCATCGGGGTCAACCCCACCACTCATCTACTGAGATGCTCCAGCAGTTACAACAAGCCTTCTCGTCATCAGAAATGCTCCACCAAATGCACAAAGCCCAGGCCCATCACTCCTCCACAGAGCTGCTCCATCAAGCCCACCAAATGCACCAAACAAAGCCCCACCATTCCTCCACGGAGCTTCTGCATGAAGACTGTCAAGAACCTGCCTCCCTCCCTTTTCAGCTGAACCGGGACAGCCACTCCCACCAGAGTCGGAGGAGTATTAAAGGTCATCATCAGACCCCGGTGTCGCCACAAGGGAGACCCCAAGATCAGCAGCTCCACCAAACCCATCACCCCCAGCCCACCAAACATTCTCCCCAAAGACCCCACTCTATACAGCAGACCCACCACCACTCCAGCTCCCCTCAGATCCACCACATCCACCACATGACCCCACAGCCGCCTCCGAAGGACTACCAACACCAGATTCACGTCATCCACCCTCCCCAGCAGCCCCACAGTGCTCAGCCCCTTCTCTCCACCTTTCAGCCACTCCAGCCACACCAGACCACCCTCTCCACCTTCCAGCCTCTGCCCCAACACCACCAGTCCCAGCACCAGGTCCAGCCCTCCCCCCAAGCTCCCCGCCCGCAGTCCCAGCCTTCACATCACATGCTGCAGTCGCAACACCAGCCCCAAACCCAGTCCCATCAAAAGCAATCCCACAGCCAGAGCCAGCCCCATTCCCTCCCACACTCACTATCTGACCCGTCAGAGCACCGCGACCCCCCTCCCCCTCCCCCCTCCTCCTCCTCCCCTGCCTCCACCCTGCACCCCTCCACCCTTGCCAAGGCCTTCACTCTCCAGAATGGACTCCAACCACATGAGTGTGAAGAGGCTGCACTGGGAGCAGGTGGAAAACTCAGAGGGGACGATCTGGGGACAGGTGAGCTTCAATGTTTAGATTTCCACATTTCTGTCACAAAATTGTAATTCAAATAGTGACATTTTTGCATGATTTTATTAGTTGGGAGCAAATTCTGACTATGACAAACTGCATGACATGGTGAAGTATCTGGACCTGGAGCTGCACTTTGGGACACAGAAGAGCTCCTGTGAGTATGTCACAGATCTGCAATGCTCTAAATAGAAAGCATGGCTGAAAAACATCAAATGAAATGCAAAAACCTGAATGACAAATTATTATTTCTCAGCACATCATTATTCAGGTTCTTGCAGAGTGATTATTTAGGCATTAGGTCTACAGTATTTCACACACAAATAATGTCTGCATGTTCTAAAAATAGAACAACACACTTTTTTTTATTACTTTTCCTCGCATGTCTCATATTTTCGACCGTAATTGTGGCATTGAGTTTCTTCTGCACTTATTCTACTTCCTTTAATTTGCTTTAAACCTGCTGCAAACAATGTAAAATGTAAAAAGAATCTTTATTTCCATTCATCTCTCTTCTATCTACTATGTAAATCCATAACATCTAGGCATTTCACTTACACTGATCTCATTTTAGTGCCTGTTCCAGAGCCATGCCTCCTACCGCAAACCTTCAAGAAGAAAGATGTGATTGAAATTCTGTCACATAAGAAGGCCTACAATGCCTGTAAGTAGACGCTGATATATATTGTATGTTTTGTTTACCGTTTGGCTCCCGATGAATGCTGAAACAGAAATGTATAATCCCTGTTCATCTTCTTTATAACATTTAGCGATCCTGATAGCCCACCTGAAGCTGTCTCCTGGTGAGCTGCGTAAGGTGCTGATGAACATGGTCACTGACCGGCTGGAGCCAGCACACATCCAACAGCTGCTGCTGTATGCCCCCGATGCAGAGGAGGTCAAAAAGTATGAAGAGTACACAGAGGATCCTAGCAAACTCAGTGAGCCGGACCAGTTTGTGTTGCAGGTACAGTCCTCCCAGAGTGTGGACGAGTGGGTTGGTTGTGTGGTTTACATACGTCTATGTGTTGTATGTATGTTTGTTATCACTCGCTTCTTTGCTTGTGTGTGTGTTCTCCATCAGATGTTATCAGTACCAGAGTACAAGACCCGCATGGAGTGCCTCCTCTTCAAATGTTCACTGCAGGAAAAGACAGAGGAGATGAGGGGAGCGTACGACTGTCTTTACAAAGCTTCCATGGAGCTGAAGACCAGCAAGAAGCTGGCTAAGATACTAGAGGTAGCCTACTGTTCAGTGCATTCAAAAAAATATGTTATACAGTACTAATATCTCTGAGTGATTTTGAGAAAACCCACAGCAACACAAACCTCCCCACTGCATTTATAATCATATACTGTAGTTAAAAAACATTATGCTGTGATTACATCTATATAAGTGTGTATTCAGTTTGGTTGTTAAACATTCTGTGTTTTGTTAGTTTGTGCTGGCGATGGGGAACTACTTGAATAACAGCCAGCCTAAAACCAACAAAACTACAGGCTTCAAGATCAATTTCCTTACAGAGGTACATCTCAACCAATCAATCAATGTTTATTTATATAGCCCAATATCACAAATGTTACATTTGTCTCAGTGGACTTCACAGTTTGTACAAAATATCGGTATGACAATATGACACCCTCTGTCCTTAGACCCTCACATCGTACATCTTACACCAATACATTTAAATCATGTGACCAATTTATTTTCAAAGCAGTCTGTCCCAACGTATTATGTTTATATAGATTATAATTTAATGATTTCCTCTGCAGTTGAGCACAACCAAAACAGTGGATGGGAAGTCGACATTTCTACATATTCTGGTCAAGTCGTTATGTCACCACTTCCCTGATGTGTTGGATTTTTCCAAAGATTTAACTATGGTTCCTCTTGCAGCAAAAGGTAGACACATGTTCCTAAGACCTCTACATCACAGCTTAAAAATTGGGAACTGGGAAATGTTTTTTTTAATATTGAGTTTTTTTATTGATTTGAAGGACACCTTCTTCTCCTTTTTCTATCTCTAGTAAACCAGAGGATTATCACGTCAGATCTGAATGACCTTCATACAACCATACAGGAAATTCGCTCAGCGTGTCAGAAGATGCCTGTGACGGCTGAGGACCGATTTTCTGTCGTAATGAGTGTATCCTTCACAAAATTAACAAAGAAAGTGCTGAGATGTGTATTCTGCTAATACAAGAAAATAAAAGTAGAGCCATTGAAGATAAAATAAAACTTTAGTGATCCTTGACTCCAGTATTTATAGAACTTCCTGGAAAACAGTCATCCAGCTCTGCAGTCTCTGGAGTCTCTGCAGCAGAGAGCTATGGAGGAATTCAGCAAAACTGCCTCTTACTTTGGAGAAGACGGCCAATCCACAAACACTGAGGCCTTCTTTGGTATCTTTGCGGATTTCCTTATCAAATTTCAGGTAAGCAAGAAGCATTTGATTATTAAAAATAACCCTACTGGCCAAACTTTACAGCGTTAAAGTTAAAACTATATATTTCACACAGCACAGTAAGCATGCAATCCCTGTAGCTCCTTTCAGTCTCCCACCAAACAATTTAACATAATGGTTTGCTAAAAAGAAAAATCTTCACCCAGCTCCTTCTGCACAGTTGCAGAAAATCACACCTCATTACTTAGGTCTTTTGTTTTGAGCACTGCTCGCATTTCATCAAATATGTATAGAGAAAGTCTGCCCGGCTATGGTACTAACTAACTAACAAATGTTCTAAAAAAACACATTTAAAAGTTATATATTAAAAGATTAATCATAAGCTACAATGTAAGCTAAACAATACAAATGTTGCATTTTTGACGTGTTCTGTATGTAGTCTTAATGGACAAATTAACCAAAATATTCACCTTTAAATGTTATTATTGTTATCCATTTTATACAGTAAGTGATTTTATTGTGAATCAAGAGCAACTTTATATGTTCATAAAATAATGGAAACAACAGGGCTCAAATCCAATGCTGATTTAAAATATATAAAATATAAAAAACCCAAAGCTGAAAAGAAAAACATTAAAAAGATACATGCAACACAAAAACTTAGAAAAAGTATCTTAAAAACCCTGTTGTTTCTTTACCACAGAGAGCTCTCAATGATCAACAAGCTGTAGAAAACCAGAAGAGCCCCAGAAGTCAACGACTGGCCTCTCCACTGGCCTGGTAACACACACACAAAGACACACAAAGACACACACAGTATGGCGAGGACAACATAGTTCATCGTTCATAAGGTGCATATAAGTACAGACACAGATCCTAATATACTGTATATACACACATAAAAAACTAATGAGGGAGAAACTTTAAAATGAGGCAAAAATAAATGTATTTTGCATCAAAGATGGACGATCAAGCCTTATACCAGTGGTATAGTATATATTGAATATCTTTTCAAAACGAAACTGAGTTTTTGTTACGTCTAACACTTTAATGACTAAGACTGCTACATAGGAAACCATGTTGTTTGGTTGTCCGTTACTCAGTAACATCCTGTAGTTGAAGTTTTCTTTCTTTTGGCCTCAACCTAAGTGTGTTACTACAATTCTACAGTGACATATTGATGCTATATGCTCTTATAAGACTGAAATGCTTTTAATTGATGTAATTAAATGTTTCATTGAAATGCATTCACATTCTCTTTGTGGTTAGGAAGAAAACCACAGAAGCAGTTTTCCTGTTAGTTTACGTGTTGTATATGTTTGTAAGCCGCCCACCGCACTGAATGTAACATTAATTCTCTACTGACTAAGTGTATATTATTTCTTCGTTGATCTCATTTGCCCTGATGACTGATTGTTTCATTAGCTGCTTTGTATCTTTGCCTCACTGTCAGACCATTTTCTGAATTCTTTCCATGTCAGTTATAGCCATGTATGTGTGTTGTTAAAACTTCTGATGTTATTTATATGTATACAGCTCAGTGTTTCCCCTAGGATGGAGTCATAGCAGCGGTGCTAAGGCACGCGGGCCCAGCGAAATGTGAGTGCGGAGCGCGTGGAATCTTTTAGTGTGTGCGCGTGCGAAGTGCGCCCCGCCAATATGTTTCTATGTGTCTGCCAGCTCAAGAAAGGCTCTTGAGGCCTAGTACATACAGTGGCAATGTCTCAAGATTTAGCAAAATACACCTTTATTGAACATACATTAACACAAATACTACAAATCCACATAAAAAACAATAAAAAAATCAAAAAGGGTCGCCACTTATTATTATTTTAATGAAAAAAAAATGAAGACATTTTTATTTTTTATATAGGGGAAACACTGCAGCTCTGGAAAAAATTAAGAGACCACTGCAAAAGCATCAGTCCCTCTGGTTTTACTATTTATAGGTATGTGTTTGGGTAACATTTTTTATTTTATTCTATAAAATACTGACAACATTTCTCTGTGTTGGAATTCAACACACACTGGAGTTGAATGGCTGCCATATATGTAGAGATTGACATTTAAGAAAACTTTGGAGTGGTCTCTTAATTTTTTTCAGAGCTGTATTTGAGATATTGAGAAGTTGGCACTTACTGTTTGTTTTTTAAAGGCAATATGATATGTTCCAATGATCAATTAGAATCGGTCTGCAGTCGTAGAAAAATGGGCAGTGTGCAATATGTGAATGTTAAGCCATGCTTCACTGTTGGATATTATACAAAAAATAATTATACTATATGAAAATATCACTGAAATATATTGTGTTTGTACTGTACAGAATAAGAGTAAATGCTATATTATATGAAGCACTTTGTTATGTTAATGTTTTACATTATTATAATGTACCAAATATCTCTTATATTGTGTTATATGGACTAATCATAAAATGATACCACTAAGAGGACATTAATGACATTAAGGTTAGTGTATCAGAACAACAGTTAACAGCTTGTCAGAGCTCTGTGAAAAATAAATCTTAGCCTTCAAGCGATATTCTTTAGAGGTAAGGCAGGAATAATGTGTGCAGCGAGTGAAAGCCTTATTTTCTAATAATGGTCTAGGTTGTTTTTCATGTAAGTTACATAATGCCAACTTCTAAAGCATTGCTCTCAATTTAAGGCCTATAAATGGTTAAGTCTGTATTTTGTATTGTATCCTATCGATGATATATAAAGAGTGTAATTAAATCTACTTTGTGTACTCTGTGTTTTTAGGATTTTTGTTTAAAATACTATGGAAATAAGGTCATTTTACAGAGGAATAATACTACAAGTACTATTGATAGGGACAAGTGGAATCACATCAATGGCTTCACATACACTAGTGTTTTTACATATCCTGCAAATGTTACGCAGTAAACACTTCATCATTATCTTTATAACAGCTGCTGACTCATCTGCTATTGCTAGCAGTGTATCTGTCCTGCTGCAGAAACAACTCAGCTAAACATTTCTTTTTGTGAAATAAACTTGTACACAAACACACTCGCAGTTAGTATGCTCTTTAATATAATGTCTTCTTTGTAAATTATATGAATTTAAAACGTTTAAAACAGTAATAATTTAGCGTTCCCATTATCATCAGCGGAAGCAGCCTTTATTACTTTGTTACTAGCAATAATCATTTACATTTTAACTAAACCTTGTCGTATGCAAGGTTAAAGTGGAGTTTGATCTTTTGGCAAACCCAAGGATACTTGACAAACATGACATTCCCGGTATCAGCTGTTTTTGTTTGGACCAGTCAACTTAGCTCAAGGAAACCCAGTGTGAGAACGTACTTAAGGTGAGTTTATTTACCAATTAATAACACAATACACAGCCTGAAGGTAGTAAGGGACTGAGTTGCAGGTTTTATTGATATCTGAATTTCTGTAAAATGTTACTACATTCATCAATTAAGATGGAAATGAGCGGCGTATTATTTAATATGTTTTGTATGTATTCAGTTTTATATGTAAGTCCCACAAGGTGCTTCACAGATCAAAGTGCAACACCACCAAGTGCAAACCGTGTAGTTTACAAGTCTAGAGTTAACCTTAAGCTGTGTTTCACTCGTCAGCACATGACAACAGTAGAGCAGGTTAATAATCCATGTCTACAGTAATTGACATTCATATATTTGTCTTATAAGAAAACTCTGGCATTGTTGTTTAGATATGAACGATAACTCTCAGCTGGTCAGTGTTGGAAACATGGGATGAGATTTCCCTCATGTGATTGTTACTCCAATTAATAATGACTATTAAGAAATCACTTTAGGAATTTAATTGATGAGGGATACAATCCACAGTCCTGATTCTGTTTAAAAATACCTTCCAAAAGTTATTGTGACACTCACATGTCCTCACATTATGTTGAATAAAGTCATGTTTTGTACCTCAAACTTAGACACATTAATCATACTTAACTTTGTTATTATACAGCTTTACTCATATCATGACTTTGGAAGCTATTTAACACTAACTAGTCTTACCACTGACTGCTGTAGATGCTACAAAGCAGGAGACATCATTTGTTTATTTCTTTGACTTTAGATGCACTTTGACCTCAGAGAAGGCCGCCAAGCGACCAGCATGCCCCCGTCTCCCTCTCCTGCCCCAGGGCGCAGGACTTCCCTCGATACAGTGGATATCGTGGTGCTGGTCATCTACTTTCTGCTGATTCTGGCTGTTGGATTCTGGGTAATTACTGGTCTCTGTTTTAATTTGTTTACCAACCATTTTACATAGTTATTCTGACTCAACAGTGACACATTAAATATTCAACATTGAGTGGATAAACAAGCCTTTCTCGAAGCAGACATTTGAATTTGTCATACTAGGAGAAAGTGTTGCTGTTAACACGACGACTTGATGCAACACTTGATATCCTATCATTCTTTTTATATGTAGTAAATATCCTATACAATAGGTCAGGGATCATGATGTCTATTAAGAAGCTAGGAATCAACATTTCTTCTGCAATTGTATCTTTAAGAGGTTTCTTGTTTTGTTCAAACCAGTCAATGTTGAGGACAAAGCGCAGCACGGTGAAAGGATACTTCCTGGCTGGGAAGAACATGACCTGGTGGCCTGTGAGTCCAACACACACTTCTATCCCCTGTGCATTTTAGCCCTTTAAAAATGTGATGGAGGCTAAATGTTCTGCACTTCAAAGTAGGATACTGACTCTGGTATCTATATTTAGGTGGGTGCCTCGCTATTTGCCAGTAACATTGGCAGTGGACATTTCATTGGCCTGGCAGGGTCAGGGGCTGCAGCAGGAATTGGGGCTATTGCATATGAGTGGAATGTAAGAGATCAATGTATGCTTTTTAAGAGTTAAATACAAGACAAATTGTGACATAAAATATAAAATGTAGTTGCTGTTTTGAAGTGTAAAGAGTTTCTATTTGGTGTTGACAGGGTATGCTGATGGTGCTGCTGCTGGGATGGCTCTTTCTCCCCATTTATATCGCCTCTGGGGTAAGGGCGTCTAAACCTAAAAGATTACACGCATGCATGATACATTTAAAAATATTCCTTTATACATAATCATCTTTTAACTCTTTTATCTCCAGGTGATGACCATGCCAGAATATTTGCAGAAGCGTTTTGGCGGTAGAAGAACACAGATATTTTTAACTGTCCTGTGTTTATTTATTTACATCTTTACAAAGATATCGGTAAAAACAAAATTCACAACAATATGTTACTATGCTGTAACAAATACCTTTATATTTGTGTATGCATTTGAAAGCGGTAGAATTTTGTATATTGTCTGTCTCTGTTTTATATTTCCTGTCAGGTGGACATGTATGCCGGTGCTCTCTTCATTCAGCTCGCCTTACAATGGAACATCTACATCGCTGTGGTGCTGCTGCTGTCAATTACTGCTCTCTACACTGTTGCAGGTGACCTTTCTCCCTCTACGCCTCTTTGCTTAGACATTCGACATCAACGTGCATTTACTGTTTGTTCTGTGTGTCGCTGGCTGTTGTTTCCCAGGTGGTCTAGCTGCAGTTATCTACACAGATGCTGCTCAAACTGTTATAATGCTGGCAGGAGGGCTCACCCTCATGGTCTTCAGTAAGTCAGATCCGACTGCATTAAACCTTCCCATCACCAGCAGTTTGTTTCCAGTTGATTTGACCCTGTTTTTCCTCTGTTAAGGCTTTGCGGAGGTTGGAGGCTGGGATGCTCTGATGAGCAAATACCCCAACGCCATCCCCTCGGTACGCGTGCCAAACTCAACCTGTGGCATCCCTCGAGATGACGCCTTCCACATATTCAGAGACCCGGTGAACTCGGACCTGCCTTGGCCTGGGATCATCATCGGCATGTCCATCCCCTCCATGTGGTACTGGTGTTCTGACCAGGTACTGTAATAAATATAAACGTTTTAGTGTAGCACTTTTCTTAATAATTGAGAGCTGATTAAAGAATGGGGAATTAGTCGTGCAGTGAAAAAGCCTTTAATTTAAACTATCATAATGCTGGCACACCTGACCTCTAAGGGAAGGAGTGTTAGACATGATAGGGCCCAGAGTTGCCAACATTGCTTTAAAAACATTCAATTTATTTGAGAGTCTCAATGTCTTTTAACTATGAAAGACGAAAGTGTTATTCAGTCCCTTTACATCTTGTTTATGCCGTGTACAAAATTCCTTTAGCGTGAAAGCGCCTTCATCTGAAAACCTTCATCTGAAAACCTTCATCTGAAAACCTTCATCTGAAAACCCCCATCTTGATGATTTGGAATGTTTTGCTCTTTAGAGAGGTTAAAAATTCCTTGATAATATCAGTGATAATCTACCAACCAGCCCAAATCTGAGACATCAGAAGACACGTGACATTTTAATGAGCATTTCCTGCCTTTAAATACAGCACATAAAACCTGTATCCTTGATACCTGCCAGGCGCAATAATATCTGCAAGCTATGAGATTCTTATCTGTCGGATAAAATAGACCTCCATTAAAATCTACATACATACTGCAGTATCTCTTCATTATCAACCATCTATCCCTGTGAGGTAACTTAGGGTAACTTTGATTTATTCGCAGGTTATTGTGCAGCGATCCTTGGCTGCTAAGACCCTCACCCATGCGAAAGGTGGCTCATTAATGGCGGCTTACTTAAAGATTCTGCCTTTCTTTGTTATCATGCTGCCGGGCATGATCAGCAGGATACTTTACACAGGTACAGTGTGAAATGTATGTTTTCATTCATCAAGCCAGAAACTGGAATAATTTACTTGGTATACGCTTAATGAACAACCTTAAATTACTAATGTTAAATAGTGATTGTTATAAATTGTATTAATATCTCTTCAAAACTAGATAGATTTGTTGCTTTCAGGTTAAGAGTTTCAATGTTTAAATTGAGCGTTGTGTGTTTTAATGAAATAGATGATGTGGCGTGTGCAGACCCTGAGTTGTGTAAAGAGATTTGTGATAACCCAGTGGGATGCTCAGACACCGCCTACGCCAGACTGGTGATGGAGCTGCTGCCTACTGGTGAGACTGCTTCCCTCCCTACACCACCTATACTGTCTTTGACTCGCTTTAAACTATAGTCTCTTTTGCCAGTCACTCTGTTTTTCTCTCCCAGGCCTGCGAGGTCTCATGATGGCAGTAATGATCGCTGCCCTCATGTCCTCTCTGACCTCCGTCTTCAACAGCGCCAGCACCATTTTCACCATGGATCTCTGGAAGACTTTCCGAACCCGTGCATCTGAGTGGGAACTTATGATTGTGGGAAGGTATGTGACCACCTGGGGATAAGCAGGCATAACCCCAAAAAATGACCTGGTTGCAGCTTGTATGGTACAATTCAGTACATAGCCTGCAGTTACAACATTTTTTATCTAGAAAGTTAAACATTTTCAGCTTTTCCACCAATGTATAAGGCAGAGGTTAAAAGTTTATACATCATGAATAATATGTCATCCCACTAAAACCACACATAATTCATTTTGGATTAAATCACCAAACTGCATATTAGATCATTATGTTATTCTGTCAAGCTTAGCCAAAAACATAATCCGTCTTTCCGACTAGATTCCTACTGTAATGACTCAGATGTTCCTTTCCAGTCCACACACACACACACACACACACACACACACACACACACACACACACACACACACACACACACACACACACACACACACACACACACACACACACACACACACACACACACACACACACACACACACACACACACACACACACACACACACACACACACAGTTCTCCATTACTTACAAGCTGTATTGTGATCAACTGCCATGTCTTTGAACTTCTGTAGTTGGCGTTAAAAACAGATGATGTGTTTCATGTGTGTGCTACAGGTTGTTCGTGCTCGTGCTGGTGGTGGTGTCTGTGCTGTGGATTCCTGTCATCCAGGCCAGTCAGGGGGGGCAGCTTTTTATCTACATCCAGTCCATCAGCACCTACCTGCAGCCTCCAGTGTCCATCATCTTCCTCACAGGCTGCTTCTGGAAGAGGACCAATGAGAAAGTGAGGTGCTGCAGCCTCAGGTGGTGTCTGTTCGCAGCTGTGACTGATTATTAGACGGATTAAATATACATATATATACAAATAATAGTATACTAAGAATCCCTTATGAAACCCACCATGTCACTGTTGAACTAGACAATTAAAAGGATTACCAAAACACATTGAGATGGCACAATAACACAATCGGTTTAGCTCTGAAAGCTGCATAGTCAAAGCTTATGTTTTAATGCAGGCATGGTCATATTCATTATACCTAATTTTCTTGATGTGTTACAAAACACCAGTAATCATGTATTTAATGTAGCATTATTAAATGCTAATTGTCGCATTGCATTAAGCAAAACCTAATTTGGACAGCAATGTCCTCTCTGTAAGATAAGATAAGATAGAGCTTTATTGTCTCCCTTAGGAGAAATTTGTCTTGGGCATTGAGATAATACACATAAAACATTCAGGTCAATCAGTCATAGATACAGAACAGAGATTACATATCACATGGCAAAGAAACAAACAAGAAACATACAGGTACAGAACTTTCCCTATTGCACATACATAATCAAATATTGCACTTTTCCCTATTGTATTCATACACAAATTAATATTGCACTTTCCCTATTGCGCCTATGCATAGTGTCCATCAAATTGCACATCCCTATTGTGTCCATACCTATTTACACATAATGCACTTCCCCTATTTAACCTTCTCGATTGCACAAACTACACTATAAACATTGCACCTCCCAACAACTCCTAACTCCATAATCACAATTGTTTCTGACTGTTCAGCAGCTTGATTGACAGTGGAACAAAGGAAAACTTATACCTGTTCAATTTACAGTTTGGTAATCTATACCTTCTGCCCTCCGAGGGCAGCAACTCAAACTCTCTATACAGGATGTGTTTGGGGTCGCATGTGATTTTACGGCCTTGCTTTCTCACCATCTCCTCAAATATCTCCTGAAGACAGGATGGTGGAAGCATGCCAATTATTTTTCCAGCCCTTTTTATCAAGTTCTCGAGTTGTGATTTAGATTTAACTGACAAGTTACCAAACCATGTTGTGATGCCATAACGAGTAATAGACTCAATTGCTGCCCTGTAGAACATTAACATGATGCATTTATCCACTCCATGAACCCTGAGCCGACGCAGAAAATGCAGGCGCTGGCTTATCTTTGAGGCAAGGCAAGGCAAGGCAAGTTTATTTATATAGCACTTTTTAACACAAGGCAATTCAAACTGCTTTACAAAAAATGAAAGACATTAAGAAAATGGCATTTAAAATGAGTCATTAAAAAGAAAAGCTAATAAAATAAACATTAAAAGAAAAAATACATGGATAAAAGTTACAGTCTAAGATATGAATAGTTCAATTAAACATTAAAAGAAAAAGTACATGGATCAAAGTTACAGTGCAGTCTAAGATATGAATAGTTCAATTAAAAGCAGCGACAAAAAGAAAAGTCTTCAGCCTGGATTTAAAAGTAGTCAGAGTTGCAGCGGACCTGCAGGTTTCTGGGAGTTTGTTCCAGATATTTGGAGCATAACAACTGAACGCTGCTTTACCATGTTTAGTTCTGACTCTGGGGACAGAAAGCTGACCAGTCCCTGAAGACCTGAGAGATCTGGATGGTTCATAAATTAGCAGGAGATCAGAAATGTATTTTGGGCCTAAACCATTCAGTGCTTTATAAACCAGCAGCAGTATTTTGAAATATATTCTTTGACACACAGGAAGCCATACCTGATCCACCTGATGGGTCCAGCCTAACTGAGCATCAAAATAAATCCCCAAATATTTAAAACGTGTAACCTGCTCAACTCCCTCCCTGTTGATAAGGACGGGGCTGTGATCACCTACTGACTTGGGGTCAAAGATAATTTCCTTTGTTTTTTTAACATTTAACACCAGGTTGTGCGCCTCACACCACTTCACACCACTTCAATCTCAAGTTTATACATAGAAATGTCTGAGTCTTTAGTCAGTAGACTAAGTATGGCTGTGTCATCAGAAAACTTTATAATGTGGTTGTGTGTGTGCTGACTCCTACACTCATTTGTGTAGAGTGTGAAGAGAAGAGGAGAGCTAACGCAGCCTTGTGGTGCCCTTGTGCTTATGACCTGTGTGTCAGAGAGGGTCGAGTTTACTTTCACCTGCTGCTGTCTTTCAGTTAGGAAGGAGTGATACCATCTCATTAAGTAAGGATTCACATCCATCTGTTTGAGCTTTTTTAACATAATTTGGGGAAGAATAGTATTAAAAGCTGAGCTAAAGTCCATGAACATTAATCTAGCATAAGCTAAAGCATTGCTGTACGTAAACTGGTAGGACATATAAAACACAAAATAACTATCGGGGAACAACAGAAGAGATCCTGCATGTTAGAGCATACATAGACTGTATTCTAATTTATAGTTGTGATGTTATTGGATTATGAAAGATTCACTAAAACAACTCTGGCTAATTACTGTGTTATATTCATAGTCTAAATATTAAGGTTATCTTGCTAGCTTCCTTTCTCCCTTCATACATCAGGGTGCATTCTGGGGCCTGGTTATTGGCCTGGTGGTGGGCTGCATACGCATGCTGTTGGACTTCATTTACCCTGCGCCCCAGTGCTACGAGGAGGACGACAGGCCTGCGGTGTTGAAATACGTCCACTACCTGTACTTCTCCATGTTGCTGTCCTTCATCACGCTGTTTGTGGTGGTTGTAATCAGCCTGGCTACAGAGGAGCCCAAACCAGAGCAGGTGGAAAAAACTGAATCACATCTACATTTCAGTTATAAGGCTGTTTCATGTGTTTTTCTGTCTTTAATGTATTTGTATAGTTCTGTTTGGATGTCGAAATAATTGTATTCATTGTAAGCAAGCCAATGTCTTTAGAGTTTTTTTTATATAAAATGTTTTTGTTTGCAGCTAAAAATAGTGACTAACATAAATTGCATTTCTCTCCATATGAACATGCTCTACACTGCAGCGCCACTAGGGGTCAATAACACCATAGGGAAACTTACGATACTAGTTTGCAGTACACCGATTTAAAACGAATGGATGATCATTTGGGTCCTTTGGAAAAGTATGTCTGCCTATTTTAGCTTTAATTCACACAGACTTAATAGTAAAAACAGCTTAGGGTGCTGGATAAACATGTACTACTAAGAGAGTAATTTGTTTCTCTTACATTTTTGTAACTTTTCCATGTTTCTTTTTAAATAACAGATTACTCGCCTGACCTGGTTTACAAGGTTTGACCCAGTGGAGCCCAAAGAGCAGGTGTTCACAGTGGAGGGCAGCACTATGACTTCAGAGGTGAACAGCAGTCCGACAAATGGCATGGGAGTCACAGGAAATGAGCAGGAGAACAGCAATGGAAAAGCATGTCATCACAGGAATGGTGGGTTTCCCATTTGTCTATTAATTTAGCTGTAGATCACATCTTCTCCACTATTCAGTGTTTTCTCTCTCCCTCCTGAACTTTCCAGACTCTTCATCCTCCGTGTCCAGCATCCAGAGAACGTCTAAGATTATGTCCGCCGTCTTCTGGCTGTGTGGGATGGAGAGGAGGAAGCGAGGCGATGATGCTCCTGCGATGCCTCCTCCACTTGAAGAGGCTATCTGTTCTCTGGAGGAAAAGCCACTGCTACGACACATTGTTAACGTCAACCTGCTCATTTGCCTCTCTGTAACTTTCTTCATCATCGGCTACTGGGCTTGACAGACAGGTTGTGACTCAATGGACACCTGGTGTGTTGGGTTGGTTAAAAGTTGTGTATAGATTTTTTTTCTTCAAAGAATGAGAAGAAATTCCACTTTTTTGTTGTCCTTAAACTGACAGTAAACATAAATATGTCCATACAGTGATGCTTTTTCCCTTCTTTAAAAGACAAAGGTGCTTGCTTTACTTCCCACGCATTTGTAGCATGATTTTACTACATTGACGTTAGAGACTAGGTTTTATTCTGCCAACATAATGTCATATATCTTAAGATAAACGCTTTATTTACATTGACTATGTGAATGAATTACAGCCAAATACAATCAAACTATTATGGCTGATGCAAGCAAAGTATTTTTCACGATTTCATCCACCTTTGTTTTAAGGAACAATTACAGTTGGACAGAATGAGAAATAACTGATGAGCCCGCAACACTTTAAAATGTTGAACACCTTTAATTATAAAGAGTAATGATGCATTGCAGGATGCATTATGTGCAGAAAAGCCATCATTAAAATGCTTAGAAGAAGTAAAAAAGTATAATCAAAGAGCTGAAAATCACCCCATCAAGGTAAGATTGTCAGCCATGGTGATAATTATACACAAAGAAATAATTGGCTGTATTTGGTCTTAGCTTTGAGCGTAAGTTGGAGTGATCAGTTACAAGCTATGTATTGAAAACATGTATCACATCAATCTGTTAAAAAAAAATCCCTTTTAATGATAAAAATATACTCATTGAGCTTTAAACCCATTTTAAACTTAGTCAATCTGGTCATTTGGAATCGAGTTATATTCAGATAGAAAACAAAAAGTAAAATCCTACCCCACTGGATTATTACAATTACAAAAATGACAGCATATTTGCTGTGGAGAGGATACCATTGCAAGACAATTTGTTTTTATATTGCACAACACATTTGGTCATTAACAACCATAAACAGAGGCTGGGCAGCTCTACATTTTCATTGGCCCATATTTATTTATTTGGTTCTTTACACTGGTATGTTTAATGGAGACCTGAGGTGTGTGAACATTATTAAAAAGCCTCTGGAGCTTGACAAATTGGAAACTGATAAATAGATCACTGGCAATGACTGGCTCACACTACAATCTCTCCCCACAACTATGCTGAATAAAAAAAAATATTCTTGACTACTGTATGTTGTGCTAGAGTGAGGTTCTCAACTTTAAGTTGTAATAAAAGAGTGAAGAGAAAGCTTAGCACCCTTTCAGTTTAGCTGCTACAGTATGCGTTTATATTTATAAGTATAAATTGAGGCTTGATGCTATTGCTCAGCAGTCCAATCTTAGAATACCCAGCAGTTTAAACGAAAGGAGTGCTTGAAATGCAGTGTACTAGCTGAACAGGCGTTTTGTGGTTCTGGTTTGAGCAAAACAGAAGAAAAGGCAGCTGTTTTTACACGAGTGGAGCTGGGGTAACCAATGAGTTCAGTTACCTTTCTGATATTTTATTCTAAACATTAACATATTTTACACGGACCAGCTGAGTGAGAGATAATTTGGATGACAGCGATCCCTCTTTATCTTCACAGAGCTGTGTACTCTGTCTGGAACTGAGGGTCTGGTTGCGGCGCTGGGGTGGGGGCGGGCTCTTGACCAGCAGAGCTCTCCCCTGGTTGGTCCGCAATCACCTCAGGGATGAAGGCTCGTCCAATCCCCTTTAGGAAAAAGTTCCCGTCTATACAGGACAGTTAAGGGGACAAATAAATCAGGTTAGAAATGTTTTGAACTTGAGCTAAAGCTATGAACCAAGCGTGTAATGGCAACACACGGTTTAACACTGGGGAGCGCACACAACACCTTCTCACACAAAGTAAGACACCAAGGACCGATCTTTCTATCAAGTCAATATTGCAATTACAGTGCCAGTCAAGTAATATTTTTAGAGGTAGGGACAGTATCCTTGGTGTGTTAATCATTAAATGCAACATTTTTCACATAGATCTGTTTAAGAAAATACAGACACAGCAGCAACACCAACAAGTATTACTTTAAAGTCTGTATTAGTATTTTTAAGAGCAAGTTAGTTAAAACAGAAAACTGTTAGCAGGGGATGGCGTGGAAATGTAAAAGCGTGTTAATAATGCTGGACAGCAGGGTGAGTGAGACAAATGCATACTAATATACATGAAAATATGTATACAGTATTTGCACAGCAACACACACATGCAGTGGACACAGACAAAGGCTAGCACGTCAGCCAATCAGATCCTTACCATTACCTGCCTTGCAAAGCTCATCTGACCAGCAGCTCAGACATCTGTAATATTTACACATTTCCTGTCATGCATCAGATCACCACAGTTATATATAGGTGTGAAGCTCTATGACAGTGAAACCAAAAGCCAGAGAGCTAATTACAGCAACGGCCTGAGAGGAAGCTGAAATCACGCATTACTGAAGAAAGTACCAGCAGATCATCAGAAGGTGATTTCAGCCGTTGCAATGCTAATACAGAAGAAGAAATCATAATTAAGAATGTTAAACATCGCTAAATATCTTTACCTGTTGATGAAATATGCATCTAAAATGTGTATAATAGAAAAGACTGCAGAAGGTGCTCACTCCCCAACAGTAAACTCCTTTATTATTTGGCTGTTTAAAATGGAGGAATGTAGTATTTACTCAAGTACTGTACTGAAGTATCATTTTGAGGTACTTTAGTCAATTTACATTTCTGTTAATTAAGGGATTCAGGAAACAATATTGTACTTTTTACTTCAATTAATTGAACAACTAGTGACTTAAAACATATTTAAAATTCCAAACAAGATTAATAATAATGACAAACGCCTTACAGTTTATCAACAGTATATAAAGCAATAGGTAAGCTGCACCTCAAAGTTACAGTAACAACATTAAATGGGTCTTGAACAATAAAGGAATATGATACTAATAGAATCCTGTCACATAATGGGTTTATTTACTTTTGATAACTAAAATTGCATTTGCTGCTAACAGGTGCTTTCTTTCACTTACTGTAAGTGGCATTTTGAATACAAAACGTACCCTTGTTAAAAATAATGGTTTGTCTTACTGCTTTTAGTATAGTAAACACACTTCTCTGTTCACCCCGGCACTACACAATTAGCCAGATCGAAAAATCCATGTGCCATTTGAAATTGGAAAAACGTCATCATACGCTACACATGTTGGGCACACAAACAGAGATGCTTCTTCTACCAACATTTTAGTTACAGTACAACTACCCTTTCTTGATTTCTTTATACAAAAAAATCTAAGTCTTAAATGTTTTTTTTATGTATTGCTGGCACACAGTTTATTTTATAATCTTGTATAAAAATATTATTAAACAGAATTTGTAAGGCACAGATTGCTTACCTGTTATGACCTTGGAGGCGGAGCCAAAGATGCCATTCGCGTCAGGTTGTGGGGGTGGTGGCATGTTGGGTCGGGGGCGTGGCTTGGGTGCCGGCCTGGAGGGGCGAGGGAGGGACCCAGAGTGGTGGAAGGAATGCTGGTTGGAGTGCGGCCCTTCATGATGTGGACTGTCAGGGGGGGTGGGAGTCCTGGGGGGAGAGGGCTCCGACTCCCCCTGTGCCTGCTGGGCTGGAGGAGGCTGGGGGGGCGGGTGGCTCGGGGCGTGGATAGGGCTTTCTTTGACGGTGTGGCGTCTGGGGGTGATGGGTGGATGATGAGTGGAGCTGGATGTCTGTGTGTTGCTAGGCTGGGAGAGGAAGGGGCTGAATTGTTTTGGTGGGGCGGGGGCCTGCTTCTTGGTGCCTTCAGATGAAAACATAATTATTATATGATATGAATTACATTGATGGTAATAAATAATAATAATAATAATCCAGAATTGGAGTGTATTATCTCACCTCTTCGAACCATGTGCGGACTAGGCCCCCTGGATCCACCCTGGGAATGAGGGGTGCCTACTGAGAGATGGACCGAACCATTCCACTGGGGAGGGGGGGTGGACATGAGCTCACGGGCTGGGCTGTGGGAATACAATAAACCCAAATGTTAGTTATTCAACACATATTCTGTAATTTAACAGATTTTCACAAGCAAGTGCTGCAAGCACTCATGCATGCTACACAGAAAACATATTTCACTCAAGCTAATTTCATTGGGTAAGGGTTATCAGACGGGGAACAATAGACAAACATCATAAACACGATTTTCTGAACAAAATTCAGAAAATCGGTTTGTGAGTGTTACATGCAGAAATCAGACATTGCCTCAAAATACTCAAACACTCAGTCAGACAAGCAGGCAGGCAAAAAGGGAATCTTTAAAACAGACTGGTCGATCATCACAACAAGCAGAAGGGAGGATAAAATGTGCCTGTAATTAAAGCAACACATGATTCTTGTTGCAATACATTCTTAACTTGTTAACAATTAAGCCGAATTTAAAAGAAAATGTTGACTTGGTTTTTCTCCAGACCAATCCAACACATGACAAACATAAAAGGACGGGGGGTGCTCCGGATTGGCTGATTGGCTGCGAGCAGACGATGGAGTAATGTTGCTACGCTCGCTTCTCCTTACCTGCTTTCCTCTGCGCTGAGCTGGGCTACAACCTGAGGTTGCACTGTAGCTACCTGGAGCCCACCACCAACACCACCACCACTACTACTAGCACCACTCAGGCGGGGCTGCTCAGCCTCTGCAGCCGAGGACAGGAGATGGGGCGGGGGCTCAGGCTGGGCAGGACCCCCGGCTTCCAGAGGAGGCAGTGGGGGGTGGAAGGTGGGTGAGGTTAGCTGTGGCTGCTTTCTAATTACAGTGCCGGCTCTACGTGGAGTGGGCTCCGGCTGTTTGTTAACAGTGCTAGGGAGGGGGAGAGGGGGAGAGGGGAGAGAGTTCAGGAGGGCAAACCACACGCCATCAGACAGAATGAAGGAGCAAAGGAGTGAGACAGAAAAATAGCGAGAGCAGAGACAGACAGAGAGAGATGATGCGGAAGACAGAAAGAGACGCCCCTTCCTGAGTTCAATGAAACCAGTGCAGGAAGAACCCAATAAGGACATGAAACCGCATGACACTGACTTTTTAAATAGAACTTTTAACTGCGACATCTCTGCAGGGACAGAGGAGACAGATGTCGCACCGTACGAACAAAATGCAACAGAGGAAGCCCACACAAACATAAAACCAGCAACCTACAGTGAGTCCTAAGCTTTAATTGGGAAACAAAGGAGATTACACAAAAGTACATAAAAGTAACACACAAGAAGTTAAGCTCTCGACAAAAAGTAATCCCAATAATACTGAAAAATATTCAAAATGGTTTGTGTGACATTATTTTTCCATCATGTTCAGTACCAATCTTGAGGAAAACATAACTGATAAGCCTTTGCTGAAATGACCTTAATTAACATAACAAAAATTTGCAAAAATCACAAAAACATTATTTGCTTCTTTTACTCATCAGTAGCTGGATTCATGGGAGCTACATTGGACTGTGGCACAGCTTTGAAGTCTGGACTGGGCAGATCTTCAGTGGGTGTTTCTGTGACTGTGATGGACTCGTTGGCCACTACATAGAGGGCCGATACAACAGGGCCCCGAGACTCCTGCCTGCTCGGTGTCTTGGGACGGGACGGGAGGGTGAGGGGCAGGCTGAGGCTGAGGTGGGGGCGAAGCAGGTACCTGTCTTTTCGGGGGGTGTGACTCTCCCCTTCCTGCCCCTGCAGGCTGCCGGGACGTTTCCTATCCAGGGCGGGCTCAGGGTCTGGGGTGGGTGGGTGGGTTGGCAAGGCGAACATGCCCGACACGTTGAAGTCCACCTCTAGAGGGCAGAAGATGGATAGCAAATAGAGAAGAGATGAGAAAAAACATGATAGCTAAAATTATCTTCTGTTTCTTGTAATAATTTGGAATAGTAATGGGATGATCAATAATTACATTTTTAGCTTTTTTTGCAATTTAATACAAACGGTTTGGTGATCATCCCACTCCTCCTTATACCTTGTAAACATCAGCTAACGTTAGCATTGTCCTTGTGCGTGTGTTGGCAAGCGTTGGCATGCCTATATACACCCTCAAAGAGGCAGTACCACGGTGGTAGACTCAGAACCTCACCTTAGAGAAGTTTCACTTCATTTAGTGATTTCCCAAAATGCTATTTACCAACATACTGAAGACAGCAAACACAAAGTAAGAGGAAGATAGATTTTTTTGTTTTGTTAGACAACACATTTCTTACTTCTTTTTTGAAAACTAGTAGAAAGAGAATTTTCTTCTGAAGATATATTAAAAATATTTAGATAAAACATGATATTTGTTTGTTTGGGCTGTCGGGCAGGTATTACTATACTACCAGACAACATTCAAGCATTTAAATTGTTTTGTGTTTTTCAGTTTTCAAGGTAAGACAGAGAGAAGAATATGTCTGTTGCAAATTGTGAATACAAAAGACGGATGTTTTACCTTCAGGGAAGAACCAATCAGCATGCTGAATAATGGGCTCGATGATGGCGACCGCGTGGATAGATGTTGCTGCTGCCATCTCTGCCAGCGACCTAAACCACAGACAGACAAGGACAGACGGAAGCTTCATCAACCTCAGCTTCAATTTGTACTCGGACATGAAAATGAGGTAACAGTTCACAGTTCTTACCCCTCCATCTTTGCCCAGAGCAGGTTGGGCCCAAGGACAATGGCGATGTTGCTGGGAGTCATCTTATTAACATCACTGTCCTGAGCCAGTTTAGCCAGAAACTTCACCAGATACCTGAAACAGAGATTTAAATGTATTTAAAAATCTCTAAGCTACTGCACCTGGAATATGGAGCCGATTAACTTAGTATTTTGTTATTATTAATGTGTTCTATTTGAGGATATCGAAGGAGTCCTTCAACGGTAAAAAGTGTACCAGTATTTTACAAAAAGAAACAGTACAAATAAGAGAGAACTTAAAACCATTTTGTGTAAAATTTAAAATATGTTCTATTTTATTTTCACATTTGTAACCGTACAATCTCGAGACCCCAGGTTGCGAATCATTATTTCAAGTAATGAAATGACTCATTCAACAAGGTGAAATGTGAAGCATCACTTTTGAAAGTGAAAAACAGAACAGAAATCACCTCCGTACTTTCAGTCATGCTGTTGTTGCAAGATACTCTTACCTGAGGTTTGCCTTGTGAGTCTTTGGCAAATGGTCACATGCCACCCACAGAGCCTGAAGTCTCTTGTCTGAGTCAGACACACTTAAACACATAAGAAATGTATTTGTTACACAAGTAGTAGTACCAGAATATCTCAAGAAAGCTGTAAGCAAACACTGATTCATGTGTGTATGCAACACCTATCAGCAAAGGGTGAGTTTGTTTACAGGATATTAAAAGAGCCATATCTATGAGTTTTCTTACTTTGAGGCCTGTGTCCACTCATCGTACAGGCCAAAAGTCATTAGAGGTTCAGGAAGTTCCCTGAGGTAGGACTTCAGGGCTCCTGTGTAATAAGAGAAGAGTTATGAGAAAATAATATGGGCCAGATGGTTTGACTTTGTGGATTTGTATATAGTTGTACCGGCGACAGCGTGGGGATCGGAGTAGAACTCCTCGAGCTGCGAGGTGGAGCAGTCCAGCGCCGCTTTTAGCTTCTTCAGTTTTGACGCCCCGGCAGCTATTCTAAAGAGACCCTGCAAGGAAAATGTAGAGACAATTACTGACCAGTAATTGGTCGGGGACTGGAACCGGCAACCCTACAGCTCCCAGTCCAAGCCCCTACTGACTGAGCCACTGCCGTATAGGTCTTTGCATTTGACCCATCCTAGTGTTGGGAGCAGTGGGCTTCCATTATGTACGGCGCCCGGGGAGCAGTGTTGGGAACGGTGCCTTGGTCAGGGACACCTCGGTAGCACTTGGTCTATCCGGGACTTGAACTGGTGACCTTCCAGTTGCCAAGTCAAGTCCCTATTGACTTTGCCACCACCGACTGGTTACAATCCTAAAATGTAAGAAGTGAGTCTAGGTTGGTTCAGGAAAGGAGGCAAACCATGTGTCATTCCACTACATGACTGAGAGTCTAGTTGAATTGTTTAGGGTAGCAATAGAGATGCGGCTCTTTCGGGATGAGTAGTTAGAAATATAGCAAGAGTTTTGTTTCTGTTAATAGCAACATCCTCCTTAGGGAGTCTAGTTTATGGTTACATTTGATGAGTGAACATTTTAATGCACAACATATGCCTGCACACACAAATAGACGGTGCGTATTCCCACAGCCTCAAGGCTAACTTAACTGACCACAAGTTGGCCACAGATATTTCCAGACAGTACGTGCCATCACTTCTGAAGAGCATCTCCTTCCAGCTCCAACTGAGTGGAGAGATTAAGGTTTATGTGGAGATATTTATGTACCTTAATCTTTGCCCTATTTTTCTCCTAAGCTTTCGTCATCCATACCTCCTCCTTCATGCCGGTCTCCAGAAGCATCATGACGCAGGCCTCGAGGGGCAGAGCGATCTCACGGCTGCTCCTCTTCAGGTGCTCCTCCAGCAGCGTGCCGAACGCTGGCTTTTCCATCCAGGAATCTAGGCAAGAGGTCAGTGCCTTTTAACTTATCTGAGTGTTGGACAGTATTTCTGTTCTGTGTCTGTCAACAGTTCTACTTTTTCTTAATGATCTCTCCTTTAATCTCTCTGCGTTGCTGTCTCATACATACTTCCCCTGTTTGAAGTCTTTATCATGCATATGCATATACCGTATGTTCAAGGTCAACAATGTTCTTTCTTTCGGAGAAAACGAGTCTGGGAAATGAAGTTTCTTCTATAGACATTTACAGAATTTACACACGTTTTTTTCCTCCTCTTTAGCTGGCTGTGTTTTGAATAATTCTATTTGCACTGTCAACCAAGACAGTTGCAAGAAGCCATGACAAGCCAGTCTACATTTCTCAACAGCACATAGCAACTTGTTTATTGTTCAAAATTAAGGAATACAGCTGCCAGCTCTAAAACCATATGAGGGTTTAATGAATAATGCATGCAAAGCTTATGTGTTTTTCTATTGTTTGCAAATGTAGTAAATGTCTGTTTTTCTGTTCACCTTGCTGTATTTGGATAGTCGGTATCGCTGCCTCCAGAGTTGCCAGAGACCTCCTGTGGTAATCTGCCTGGGCCTCTAATAACTGTTATGTATACAAAAACACAATCACAGGTCAAATAAACAAACCATTGGCATAATATAGTGAAGCAGGCATTCAACAAAGCATACAGTTATAGTGGAATGGACCATATTTGCATCATATTTCCATTTCCGTTCTAGGTCATTTAAACTAAACTGAAGCACACCCACCATGACATAATAGCGTGCGTAATCTCCCTCTTTGGAGGCGAAGTTGTACAAGTCTGCAGAGAGCTGGTCCTGTAGGATGACAAAAATACATGTATTTCCATACATGGCAAACTTCATGGCAACCTAAAACCTTCTGCTTTACTTTGGACAGTAACTCCAGATGACAAAGCAATGACCTTTAATTGCACGGTCTGAATATTGAGCATAGTGTGTTTGTTCCTATTACAAGGCTGCCTTTGTTTGCCAGTTCATAAGATATGATCCGAACCTGATGAAGAGGCCCTGACTGGAATGTAAAGCTATTAGATTAAATGTGCCTCTATTAAATACTTTACATGATGCATAACGAAACCTCAGTCTTTGGTAAAGCAAGTTGTGAAACAACAGCACAAATCTTATTTTGAGTCATACATAAAACATGGTGCATTATGAAAAGAGAAAAGTTACCTTGCATATTTCTACTTTGTTGAGAGCCTCGTCCATCTCGTCTTTGAGAGAATCGGCTTTAGCTGCCATAGCCTGGTTGTTAGACTTTGTTGCCTGGTACCACCTGGAGCAATAGTAATTATTTAGGCATTGAAGTGCATCAGATAATCACAAAACAAATATATTATACAGCAGTCACTTAAAATGTTTGTTATCCTAAATATGACTGAAGAGAAACAAGGCGGCAGGCCCAGATAACATCAGCCCTGCGGCACTCCATCACTGTGCTGCAGAACTGGCCCCTGTTTTCACCAACATCTTCAACATCTCTCTCTGCCAGTGTTCAGTTCCTCACTGTTTTAAGGAATCCACTATCATCCCTGTACCCAAGTCTAATAAAATATCCTGCCTCAATGACTACAGACCCATAGCCCTCACATCTGTGGCGATGAAATCATTTGAGCGCATCATTCTCAGGCACCTAAAAACCAGCACCTCCCCCCCCATGGATCCATATCAATTTGCGTACAGAACCAACAGATCCGTGGATGACGCTGTCAACCTGGCAATCCATCACACTCTACAACACCTGGAATCCCCCAACACCTACACCCGCATCTTGTTCCTGGACTTCAGCTCCGCTTTCAACACCATCAACCCGGAAAAACTCTTCAATAAACTAATGGACATGAACACTGACCCCTGCATCTGTCACTGGATCCACAGCTTCCTCTGGAACAGACAACAACGGGTCAAAATAAATAACTCCACATCTCTCCCTCTGCACCTCAGTATAGGAGCTCCACAAGGCTGTGTCCTATCCCCCTGGTTATTCTCACTCTACACAAACCAACTCACATCTCAGCACCCCACAGTCAACATATATAAATACGCAGATGACACAACAATAACAGGACTCATCTCAAATAATAATGAAACACAATACCTCACTCAGATCCATCAAGCAGTCACCTGGTGCTCAGAAAACAACCTCCTACTTAACACAGCAAAAACCCAAGAAATACTCATCGACCTCAGGCGAAAGCCACAGCCCAAATCACCTCCATCTATCTCTGGCAAACTCATTTCCACCACAGAATCACTCAAATTTCTTGGCACTCACATAAGCAATAACCTCAAATGGAAGACCAACACAGACCACATCTACAAAAAAGCCAACCAAAGGCTATTCTTTCTGCGGCAGCTCAAGAAATACAGAGTGAGGAAACATCTCCTAATCCAGTTCTACACAGCCATCATCCAAAGCATCCTCACATCATCCATCACAGTCTGGTACAGCAGTTCAGACAACCTCTCCCGGAATAAACTTCAACGTATCATCAATAAAGCATCAAAAATCACCTGCAGTCCCCTTCCATCACTCGAATTACTTCACCACCAACGAACTGTCACAAGGGCAAAGAAAATCATTTCTGACCCCTCCCACCCAGGTCACCATGTCTTCCAACTTCTGCCCTTAGGGAGGCGCTACAGGTCACTGTCCGCCAAAACCACCCGCTTCAAAAACAGCTTTTTCCCCCTTTGCAATACGGACACTAAATGGACTCTAAATAACCCCAATGAACAATAACAATCCACCACACCTTGAACTTTATGTTATATGTCTTTGCCCTGTGCTGTGTGTTGTACTTTTTATTGTCTGTTTATTGTATGTTGAATTGTATGGAACAAGCTGTAATACTCTGCACTGAACACGAATTCCACCAGCCTGGCTGTGTGGTCATTAAAGATTATAATCTAATCTAATTTAATATGCAAATTCAAGAAAACATGTTAAAGTGATGTTGCTAAATTAGTTAGTTTTCAACCTCTATTTTAAGACTACAGGCCAGTGTACCTCGTCTTGGCAGAGTCATAATCCAGAACCAGCTTGGCAAGTTGTTTCCTCTGTTTTAGTATATTTGGAATCTCGACCTGTGGGAAAAGCAGAGGGGATTATGAGATCAGCATGACCACACATGCACTTGAGTCAAAATGGAGGATAACACCTTTCCTGTGAGAACATTTTGTCAATATGAATCACTGAGAACGGCAATATAACACAAAAAGATGCCAAAGGCCATGTTGAATTTGGCACATTCATGAGACACACGCACTGTGTACGAATCCGCTACAGGCTTACTGAGTGTTTCCATCAATAGTAAATTGGCTTATATGCTAACCAAATGCTAACCCCTTGTGCCTCACTAGGGCCTTTTTAGGCTTTTGTTTGTAAATTATTTTGACTGGGTTATGCATTCGGCATACATTTTGTCATGGGTATGAGTCATTGTTGTTATTTAGAATAATTATTTAATAAACTACATAAAGTACAGGCACTCTGACACCTTAGAATACAAATGGCCCTATAAACAACCCAATAAAACCACAGTGTTTGATCCCACAGCCATTACATCATAAAAATGCAAGCTGTTTTTCAAATTATTAAAACAGCGGCATTTTGTCAACAAACTGGCATTTTAAAAGGCTAAAATCATTGAAATGATTGAATATTTGGAAGGGATTATCACTACTGAAGTTTGATAAAAAAATATAGTTTAGTGAAATTGACAGTGGAAAATGATGCATTAATAAATGGATCACTAGTATGCAGAGAGGTTCAGTATTTTTCACCGTATTTTTACCTCAGCCAGCTGGTTGAGAGGATCCAGGATGTCTTTCTCGATCTGAACTTCATGCTGCATCAGCTCAGTCGCTAACCTGCTCTCAGCCTCTCCACACACATCCATCATCTTGCTGCTCACACACAGGAATGTTCACAAATATTGCTGTTATCAATACTACCCAGTAAAACAATTTACATACTCAAGAAGCCCCTTGTGAGGTATTCACATTCCTTTTACTTAAAGATCACTTTTAATGTTGATTTTTGGTCATTTAATCAATGGAGTTTATTTTTGGGATAGACAAGCATCTCACCCAATCAGACCGTCGTCTCCAAGCTGACTGCCTCCCTCCTGCATGGCCTGGGACAGCGTTGTCAGGGGCAACTTTTTCTGCAGACAGACCAGCAAACAAAGTTAATTTACTTTAAAAAGTAAGTGGTGAGTAAGTGTGGTGATCAAATATTCAAAGTGATCAGAAAATCTAAGATAAAGTTAAAGTACAACACTGATTTGTTAGGTTGTGTTTTGTTGTATATGGGTGGTTGATGTAGGTCTGCTGTTCAGTGATAGTGAAGCGGGCAGGAGGCCAGCGCTGAATATTTGTCTCCTGAGTGCCTCTCATATCAATGTGTTACATAAGAGGAGATGGTATGTGTTCATAACACATGATAGCCAGTCTTTGCTAATACTTAATAATGGAGTCACAGTGATTCACCTTTATTCAATTTCAAAGTTGTGAGTTTGTCCTCAAAGTAAAGCTGCAGTTTAGAGAAACGTACCTGTCTCTTCTCTGTGTCCGTGCCCAGCTGACCCTGCAGACATGACACCAGCCTCTTGTGTGTGTTGTGCGACACCAAGCGCACCAGCTCCAACCGCCTTTCGATCTGTTAATTCGACACAAAATGTTAAACAGGAAAAAAAGACAATCCTACTTTGTGACTTTCTCAAAGCAGCCCGTGTGAAAGCTACAAATCAAAACATTATCAGTTGTACCAGCGCACATCCATGACCAAACTTTCCATCCCGCTCTTGTTGTTGAAAGATGATGGAGGATGTCGGTGCTGTTTGTACAGCTCTGTTCTGCAGCGTGCTGTTACAACAGGCCGCACTGACAGCCAGATGGAAGGAATCATGGCCGATAAGTAACAGACTGACGGATTGTGTTCTTAACTGCGAACAGGGAAAGTTTTCTTTGTCTTGAAATATGAGGACTCCATGTGAAGATATTATCGGGGTTAACAGATTAATCATTCTGTCGGCAGGCCTGAGGGGACCTGATCTACTGGTTGTACTTTATGACCCGTAAAGTACCATATGGTGGTTACGCATGTTAAAGCCACTTATCTACAAATCATGTATGCTTTTCCTGACCACAGCCCTTTTTCTGGAATGTGATTTACATTTTGAGATTGATTGTCTACCTTACAGGCAGCCAGCAGTTTATTTCACTTATCCGTCCTCTTAAATTTATACCATTGTAAAATATATGAGGATCCAATATTGCCCTGTTAATTGATTAGCAACATTCAATCAATCAATCAATCAATGTTTATTTATATATAGCCCAATATCACAAATGTTACATTTGTCTCAGTGGACTTCACAGTTTGTACAAAATATCAGTATGACAATACGACACCCTCTGTCCTTAGACCCTCACATCGTACAAGGAAAAACTTCCGGAGAAAACCCACAGTTTAAAGGGAAAAATGGGAGAAACCTCAGGGAGAGCAACAGAGGAGGGATCCCTCTCCCAGGACGGACAGACGTACAATAGATGCCGTGTGTAAATTGAAAAGATAATACATTTACAACATAGGTAGTCCAAATGTTTGGAAATGCATGTGTGTATAATAGGAAGATGAATCCACGAGGATATCCATCCAGGACTTATGATCCAGGACCACAGCCACGATTGGCCAAAAACTAAAATATGTTACTGCTGTAGAGCCCTCTATCAAAGTGTCCTAAAATCTAAAAGTATTTAGGTTACAAATCAATCCCATAACATCAAAAACCATGACATTGTTTTGAATTTGTGTAGCACAAAGAAGGCTTTGTTTTGGCATCCAAATGATATCAGAGCATCCTTGAATCCACCACATGCGAGAGTGCGTATTTTTATGACCATGTGACAATGACTCGGAAGTCTCAGTCAAGGTTACAGTCTCTGCTGTTTTATGTTTTCATACATTACTGAAATGAACTGAAGCCAGCGAGTTAATTGTGAAAATTGTCAAATAACTATGGGTTCCTTTGGAAAATGGTCATTAGTAATGTTAAGTATACAACTACTTTATAAAACCTGCTAAAGCACGCAATATACTGTACCAGTATGATCTTTAAAGCCAATTAACTCTGTAAGTGTTGCATGTTACAAATGTTATCACTTCCTGTTTCAGTATAAACATCCAGCCGTCTCACATCTAAAAGCCCCTCCTTTGCTGTCTGTTCCTCATCTTGGTCTCAGTCTTCTTCCTTTACTTTTATCCTCTCTAATTCTCTGTACACTTCACAGCATGCCTCTCTCTCTCTCACACACACACTTTCCCCCCTTTTCTCTCTCCTCCCTCTTTCCTGCAGCTGTTGCTCAATGCCAGACCACAGCTGGATTTGGCTTCTTTGCCTGGATCCGATTGACTCGCTCACAATTCAGTTGATCCCGAGCTCTGATTAATGTATGGAAGTCTAGCTCTTTCTGGCAACGGCTAAATTATTCCAGTCCTCGAAAACACTTGTTCCAAAAAGGAAAGGAAAAGGCCCGACAGACTTCAGTGCAGGCAGAGACTGGATACAATGGGTTATTGCATAGTCTCTGCTGAGTTCTCCATGAGCTACAAAAGACCTTAGAAAAACAACATAATATCATGTTTTAAATTGGAGTCCGTTTTGCACCACTTACATTTGAAATGTCTCAAAGTTGAACCATCTTTCGCCATGTTGCTTTTTTTAACCCATTAAGTAATGATACACTAATGAAAAGAACATCATGACTCATTACCAATTAAACATCCTCACATCTCAAGCGGCGAGCTTTAGGCCTCAGGGAGAAACTGAACTATGGAAACAAACACACAGAAACCCTCTAAAAAACTAAAGTCAGAGTCGTGGACAGGAAAAGAAAGCAGGAAATCTCCCTGATCATAGGCACAGATTAGCACACATGATCCTTTCGCCTGCTTCTTAAGTTATGAAGCTATCCAAAGGTTTACAGGACAGTAACTGCCATCTTTTCTTTCTCCAGACAGCAATGAAAAATGTGAACAAAGCGAGCTAAAGACCTCTGACCTGCCACAACAACAAAAAAGTGGAACGTTTAGTGAGTCATGAGGAACTGAGAGGTCGGATAGCATTTTGTTTTCTTGCTTGGAGCTACTTTGGCAGAGTGGTTAGCTCGTTGACTGAGGATCTAGCTGGCTGACCTTGTTGGCAGGATGGCTAACTGTATGGCGAGATGATTGTAGAGCAGAAACAGGATATTCTAACAAAAGAGAATAGTTTGACATTTTGGGAAATACACTTTTACAATTTGTATCCCTCTCAAGGCAGTAAATATGAAGCTAAAGCCAACAGCAGGTTAGCTTAGCTTGGAAACAGCAAGCCTAGCCCTGTTTGAAAGTAAACACATCTGCATCTCAGGGCCTCTAGCGCCTTTTTTTCTCATATTCCAGCACATCACCCTCTTTAAAACCACAACGTTACAATTCTACATCTTGTTTTTTGTGCTGATTAAACAAAACAGATATAACATAATCATTAGCTAGCAGTTTACCCCTGTCTTTGTGCTAACCTAAGCTAACCAATTCCTGGCTCCTGTAACATATTTAGCATAAAGACATGAGTGGTATTGATTTGTTCATCGTACTTGACGTAAGACTAAGCATATTTCCCAAAATGACTAATTCTTCCATCGACAGATCGATCCAGTGTTCTTACAGATAACAAAAATGAACTGTGTATTTGTAGGCTAAGCTCACTTGTCGGTAAACTGCTTTACATACAGTATCAGATATGAAAATGCTCCAGTAAGCACAACAGAACATTGTGTTTCCTAAGTTGTAAGTAATTTAATACTGATCAATGGGACCATTTCCAGCCTAAACTGTATGAGAATCTCCTTAGCTCCCACCGAGGCAAGACGTGTCCAGGCAAGACAAATGCCTTAGCCAACTATGGAAAAAGCAGGAAAAAGACTACTACCACTCCATGGAAATCCGTGTCAAATTTCAAGTTGGACAGTACAGAGAAAGGGGTGTGGGAGCATGTTGGGGAGGGGGAAAGGAAAAACTATTATTTTCCCTGCTTATGTTTGGAGAGATGAAAAACTTTCCCTGCTCGTGGGATTGATTTTAAATGTCAATAATGATTTGTCAGTCTACGAAACAGTAAGCTACACTTGTTGACAACATGTCTGTAATCAGGTTGCAGATTCTGACTTGAAGCTTGAGCTGTTAGGCCCAAAAGACATCCAAGCCACTTCCACTATGCTGACCGCTTGACAGTCACATTCCTCACTGAGAGCTGCAGCTAAAGGAATGTCTAACGCAGCACAAAGCTCCTGTCGCTCATGACGAGGACCAAAGACGAGAGAACGCATTCTCTGAAAGGGCTGGGTCGGTCTGTGCGGTGCTCTTTTGGGACAATCGTGTGAACATACATCACTTAATTGAACTATACTGCTGTTAAAGCTGTCTGTCGTGATTACAGCAAAAACATTGAGCTTCTTTAGCTTATTAAATAAAAAAGTAATGAGTTTGCTCACAACCAAGTGTTTGAGCTGAGTGTTGTTGTGTTTGTAAACCACACAGGGTTCGTAGTTCACTTCTTCATGTCATAAAACTTCCATGACTTCACCTTTACTCTTCCTTTCCCACAAGCTTCTTTCTACATTCAACAACCTCTGTTTTTCAGTCTCCTGTTTTTCTTCACACACTTTTCCTAGCAGTGATCTCACAGTTTCACCACACACACACACACACACACACACACACACACACACACACACACACACACACACACACACACACACACACACACACACACACACACACACACACACACACACACACACACACACACACACACACACACACACACACACACACACACACACACACACACTACACACACACACACACACACACACACACACACACACACCACACACACACACACACACACACACACACACACACACACACACACACACACACACACACACACACACACACACACACACACACACACACACACACACCACACACACACACACACACACACACACACACCACACACACACACACACACACACACACACACACACACACACACACACACACACACACACACACACACACACACACACCACACACACACACACACACACACACACACACACACACACACACACACACTATTGCCAGGGTTCGCCTTGAGCGGAAAACCATGAGGCACTTTTCCTTCAGTGGCAAACCCCTGAGCTGGAGAGGCGTTCCTGAAGGTTTTATGCCGGCAGTTGTACTCCAAGACTGCAGAGAGACTTGGCCTTAACATGCTCAGGAATGATGACTTTAGCAGAGCCTGTGAGTAGAACTAGTGAGTCCTTTAATTACCCATGCATTTTACTGATTCTAAAAACACGAGATATGGTAAATGTTGCTTTTCAGTTGTATTGTACAATGTGAGGCAACTGTTTGTTCCTAGTATACAGTCAACACTTTACCTTGAGATACAGTTTGTGTCTAAAGAGCCCCCTGAGAGTTGATTTTAAAGAGAAGAAAGATGTCATATTTACATGTAGGAGGTCATCACTCAGCACCTCAGTTTTCTCAGCCCTGTTGAGGGAAACACAAACAAGAAGGCAAAGGTCAAACACTGACAACAAATAGAGAAATAAAACACAGGCATTGAAAAACACACCCTCGACATAGAGATAAGACAGGAAACCATGAACCCCCAAACAATGTAATGCAATCCCAGAAGAGACACATCTGTCTTTGGTAATGAATTTGAACTAAATGCTCAAAGAATATATAAACCGGTATTTAAAAATGTCTCACTCACACACTTCCCACTTTCTTTTAAATAGACCACGAGAACTGTATTTTAAATTTAGCAAGACATTACTTGCTCTTCAAACTCAAACAGACAGATGGCATCGACACCATCAAATTAAAGCAGAAGACTATTTCCAGCCCAACCTGTCTGCAGTTAGTGCCTGCAGCAAATTATAATTTTAAAAAAGCTCATAATTCCATTAAATCAACAAGCTAATGTTGTCACACGGTAGACCTGCCTATGTGAAATACTGGGTATCATTTATGCACACATACTCAACATGTTTTCACAAATGCAGAAGCCCATGGCTGTTTTCCATGAGACCTGACGGATTCCTCTACCCTGTCCGAACACACACTTCCTCTTGTGTCATTGGTACCTTGTTTATTATGGCAACAGGAGAAGGTGTGCGTGTAGTTGTGTGGAGAAGGGTTGCCAAGTGGCGAGGTTTGAAACACACTGCAAATTGTAGCAGAGTCAGCAGAAAACAGGATAGTGACATCACTCTGTAATGTTGATCAAACGCTAAAAAATAACCTCTGAAATAAGACACGCATTTGCTTCTTTATGTGACTTCAAACTTTTAAAAACATATTTTACGTTTTTCATATTCTTGCTGAGCTAGCGAGACTAGCAAACAAGCATATCGTTCATCCTGTCGATATCCAAGAAATGCATTGACCTCCGATGTATAACCTCTACACACATCCCTGAAGACTTCTCCACTTCCTCTACCAGAGCAGGCCCACAGTATAGATTTAAATCTCACAGGAATCAATTAACCCTCTCCCAGACAGGAGCTATTACCTAATACTGCTATAAATGACACCCTACGTATTCAGGCTTACCTCACTATGACTTAAACATAATTGGAAAACGCCTTTGGCTTCTGCAGAAAGGAGCTTGTACCATAACTACAAATCTTCTTTTCGACTGGTCACAGACTCTTATACATATTTTCCATTATGTATGATCAATGATTTGCTTTTTTGGCACACAGTATAAGTTCTTGTATTCATACTGAGGATACACTTTTGGTGCACAAAGTGTAAAAGTGCCCATTTTCCTTGGTCCTCTAGTAAATAGAAATTATTTGGGTTTTTGACTGTTTATACAATGCAAGACATTTAAAGACGTCACATTTGGTTCTAAGATATTTTGATGGGTATTTTCTCCTTTTGCTGACATAATCTGGATCAAATTATTAAAAAAGAACATCTATGGATTTATTGATAATGGAAATAGTAGTGTTTGCATCAAATGCCTGGTAAGATTCCTAATCCTCCATACAGTTTTATTTGATCAGAAACGTTACAAATTCACATATTGTTACGTCAACAGTTCATATGTACTACGTGCTATATGTGATTGAATGATATAGGACCTGCAGCAGAGAACCTACACTTATCCACACAATCACATTACACATGCTTTACTGGATTTCTACAGCAATCTTTAGATTCCTATCAATATTGAATCACCATTGATTTGACTGGAGTGCAGTTTAGCTCCAGCTGGCAGCTATTGTTCTAAGAATAGACTCCCACAATGCCCAGACCTTAAAAGAAAACTTTGAGCAAAAAACACAAAAAGGCATAAAGAGTAGAAATGGTAACCGTGTGATCATTAACTTTAAATTACTGATGCGAAATCTAATCAAACAGAAAGAATAACAAATTGAAAAACGTGTCTGTGTTCAAGTATTATGAGTTTTGTTGAAAGTGTTCTGTGTGAGCTTATCTCGCCAAAGTCTCCAGAGGTATGCAGGAATTCACAAACCCTGCTACCCTGCAAGCTTGAACCACAGTGCAACAACGACATGTAAATCAAACTGCTTCTTCTTTTTTATAAAAACACCCGTCTGTGGCTGTGTGACGTCCCCAGCCCTCTGCTGTGTCCCCATCAACAAGCGTGGAAATGCTTACTCCACAAAAACACTCAGTGCCAGGCCCTTCCTGTGCGAAACACACAACCATGTTATCACATATTGTCATGGGGTCCACAAATTCACTGTTTTTTTTAATTAAAAGTGGAATAATCCTAATGCTTTTGTGGCAATCAATCTAAAAGTCTGTTATTGCTTGTATGTGTTGGATGGTATTCTGTATCGGTTTGCCCTAACAGATAGAAAACTGTGTATTAAGGGAAGGGTTGTTGTTGTTGAGAATAGACACCACTGAAGCCCGATGGATTTATGAACATTCATAATGATGTGACTTTATAATTTCCTTTATTTTAGTCATGTACAGCAACAACAACGTGTCTCTTAATTGAGTAGGCGATCAACAGAAAAATATATCGGCAATCATTTTCATAACGGATAAATCAATTGGTCTTTAAGTAAATATTTGAGTGTTTGATGTTTCTATCCCAGAGCCCTAATCACAAATAAAAAGTGTCTCATAAGTCTTAACAAAAGTCCTAAATCTAATGAACTGATTATATTTGGGTTTGGGACAATTTTGTCAGACAAAATAAGATGTTTGAAAATGTCATTCTAGGATCTGGTAAGTTGTGATTGGCATTTTTTCGTCTATTTGAACTAAGAAAAACACATGTTTAGACATTTGACACACTGATTTGACCTAGCAGTTACTTGCACTGATCACTGACCTCATAGTTTGACTCAACCCGCCTTTAACAACGCTGCTAATCTCAACCATTTATTCGTATAACACTATAACTTACTTGAGTCATGCAGAGCTTCAAATGGCACTCAGTGGGTGTGTGTGTTTCTGCCTCTCAGTAACCAGTCTGTTATTCTGCTGACTTGAGTTTATGGCTCTTACACAACATATGGAGGAATGCATGAGGAATCCTAGGCCAATGGCTACAGGGCTATTGGTTAGAAGGTCATTTTGAAGGCATCATCTGTAGTTACCATTAATGCAGTAATAACAAGAGACTATGGTCTCAGTGGTGGCTGGTGATAGAGAACAGGGCGGGAAACCCCTGTGGGGACGAAGATGAAGGGGGAGAGGAGATGGTATAGATATGTGTGTGGGTGTGTGTGTCAATTAACAACCAGTGTCACCACACTTCAAGAAGTATGTGTTTGTGTGCACACCCTTATCTACAGAAATAACAGTAACTGAAAATGGTAATATGACATCATCTACTGAAGGGTGCACAGCCTGTCCGTCTGTATTCTGACACAGATAGATAGGAATACATTTTAAATAGTGACATTAATCTATCTTAATAGGACTCAAACAATTGATCAACTGAAGAAAAATGAAAAGGGAACTGTTTAGATAATCAATTATTGGTTTGAATTATTCTTGGGAGCACAAAATTGCCAAAAATACCCTTTAATATACCATCTTAACTGAGAGCATTTTATTTTCTTAGCTGTATTTTATTATAGTATTAACACATAATATGAAATTATGTTATTTTAAAATGGATGATTTTGTGTTTTAATGTTCTGGTCAAAGGCATTTAAAGAGATCATCTTTGACTTGAAGAATGTATGATGGGCATTTCTTCTACTTTTTTAGGGTTAAATTGTGACTGACTTTTTAACTAGACACACTAGTCTCCACATGGATAGAATGAGAATATAAAGCCTTTAATATGCTACTTTATTGAACAAAATATGGATAACAATCCACATTTTGAAGAGTCTTGTATTGTTCATGGTATTGTTAAATAAATCAAAGTTCATGTGACCTGTGGGGGGGCAGGTTTAGTTTATTTTTGACATTATTCACCTGCAAACGAATGCTGTATTCTCCTAAAACAACCTAGGCCTACCCAGGTATTTATTACGCAAAAACGTAGTCCAGCCCTTCCGACACCAAGGGAGACGTATGAAGAACAACACTGAATGTTGAACAACCTTAAGAAGTAACAGAGTTTGCCTGCCAGAATAAACATGTATGACATCAAGTTGCAAACAACCCTTGTTGTTGAAACAATCTCTCACCTTCCCACAGTCTGGTTGGCGAGTTGCCTCATGCGATTAAACTGTTTCTTCATGTTTCTCCTCCTCTGTGTCTCCTGCTCGTGTGTAAAAGTCACTGCTGTCGATCATCTAGCGCTGATCCAAAAGTTGCGCTACGTCGCAGCCATTGTGGCAGAAAGGTCTGCGCTCGGATCACTTTAACGCACCACAGCTGGATGCCTTTTCCTGATTAAACTCGGTGTCATTGGCCCTAGAAAGAAACGCCGAAAAGTCAGTTGAAACAGTCACTTCAAAGCTTTCGAGATCCACATTGCCACGATTATCCGGCTTCTTCCTTTTAAACTGACTGGTTTGTCTGCAACCAGTGCGATAGGAACGAAGGAGGAAGTGCCTTTACTTCCCTACTGTAAGCTGCACAGCCCCATGGTGACATGTGATACCTTTACAAGAAAAGGGAGAAAAAAAGCCTTGACTCAGCTATTGGTCTCTCATGGTCGTGGCAAAGTCATTTTCGTTTTAGTTGGCTATAGAAAGTGGTTTTCTGTAGAAAATCGTATCTTAGTGTTACGGTCTGCTGGATATTTAAAATAAACTGCTGAATGTATTGGGTGAAATTGGAGAAACTTGAATTACACAGACTAAACTTTACCAACAAAGATAAGTTGCAAAAACGGACCAAAGTCTTTTAATGGCATACATAGCACTGATCCACGGTCAGTCTTCGTCAAGGTAAGCAGTTTAATGTGTTTCTCTCATAGGCTTTGCTTATAGACACATGATACGCACTCTGCTGCCCCCCTGTGGCTCTTGCTCTGTAATGACAGGCTCTATCTGGAAATATAATTCATATAATATCATTGGAGAATAATTCAACTCTAATGGTTATTATCAGTACTCAAGTTGTAAAAAAAAATCAGGGGGGATGGTGGATTTTATCATATGGGGACATCATTCATGCTGATAACCCGCAGAGGGTGGGAGACCAACCAGCACAAAGATAATTATTATACACTCCTAAAACAACATGGATGTTCAGATACTCCTTTCATTGCTCTTGACCAAGGCACCTCAGAATTAGAGTCGGTCCCGGGCTGCCATGGCACCACTAACATTTAGATTCAAATGCAGAGGACAATTAGTGCAAAATCTTTTTTTCACTTTAATTTAAAGGGGGGGAGGGAATACAAAAATGTGGTTATAATGGAAGTATATGTGTTCTGACATCTTGTGGTTAACAGTTCCTCATTTATTATTCAGATGGATCAACTGATTACAGTAATAATAAAGTCAAAATAGTTTTTAGAATATTGAATTATAGTGTATTTTTTCAAAAAATCAGTTACTGGTATACGATCAAAACTGGTATCTAAAGGGTTACATTTGTATCTTAATTAATTAAATCATTATGTAAATTCTTCATGAACAATTTGAGGAAAAAAATTAGAAAAATATTGATCGGTAACCTTTTTCTTGCAGTTCAAATACAAATATTTTATGTTAACATTCCCAATGTTACTTTTTTTAACAGGGCATTAAGTGCAAATTGAAATTGTTTACAAAATATATTAAAAGATTATACAGATAATACAAAATAGGACCAATGTTGTCAATGGCTGCCTACTCCACTCTCCCCCATCTCATAGAAGTTTCCAAAGATTTTCATAATCATGTTTTTTGGTCTCAATTTTTCTGGCTCTTGCTTTCGGATTGTTAGCTAAGCAATGGCTTTGAAGCCAAGTCTTGACATATACCTCTGGTCTGAACTTGTTCAGTGGAGGGCCAACACACTTGATGAAAAGCAAGGCTGACATGCTTTTTACCTCCAGGGAGCTTCTAGTTGTGGTTCAAATGTTCATCTGACTAAACCCACGTTCACACTCAGCTGTGGAGATGACCAAAGTGTTCACTGCTTGAAGGAGGGGTTTCAGCTCTTCTGGTGCTGGTGGTATCATTTCATCAACAGTTTTGAGTAGGGGTGCACCGAATGGGAAATTCTTGGCCGAAACCGATACCGAAAATAGGAAACAGTTGGCCGAAAACCGAATGCCGAAAGGCCGAAAATGATTAATAGAAATATATATATATATAATGTATACATTTTTTACCAATGTTGTTCAGCTACCTGATTATGGAAATAGACATGATTATGGCAAAACTTAACTTAAATAATAATCACTCTTATGGGTCCATAAAACATTTATTCAGCACTTTTGAATGCATACAGTACATTTATATATGTCATGTATTATTGCTAAAAAACATGATATCGCAGTCTTAGTGTCGCCAACTCGTTTCTAATATGCAAAGACAACAAATGCGTCTATGATGTATTTTCGATCAGACGAGATCTCTCTCCCCCGTGTGTGTGCGAGGGGGCGGGGCAGTTTACACACACGCAGCTGCTACATGCAGCGGAGCACACTGCGGAGATGGCGGAGAGAACGCGCTCCGAGGTGTGGTTAAACTTTACCCGTCTCGATGTGGAGAATACTTGTTACCATAAGTGCAATAAGAGTTTAGCATGTAAGCACGAGCAATTTGTCTAAACATTTAGCAAAAGTGCACCGCATGCAGACGGAGGAATGTGCCGGGTTCGACCGTCTTTCTAGCAGCTCTGTAGCCCCATCCAGGAGTAACGTTTCCACGTCAGGTGTTATGTATGCTAGCAGCAACACACGGAGTTAACTACATTATACAAACATGGGTTAATGATTAGAGGTAACTGAGTTATTTAGTTTGTTAAAATTTCAGCTATTCTGTTTACAGTCTATCATCAGATTATTTAATACGATTTGTTAAAGGCTCAAGGCAATCTCGATGACAAAGGTCAATGTCCCCCCCCCCTGTGAGCCAGCCGCGAGCATGGTCGCCGCGTCTTTATTACGTCATCACAACAACACGTTAGGTTACCAACGTAAGCCTGTTCTGACATTCGGTGATATTTTTTCGATGCTAAAACCCTTTCGGCCGAAAGCCGAAAGGGTCTTTTTAACCATTTTCGGCCGATAATTTTCGGTGGCCGAATATTCGGTGCATCCCTAGTTTTGAGTCTTACCAGCTAGCTAACACGAGAGAAAAACGTAGCTAAACTCCAAACTAAGTTGTTATTACTGCTTATGTCCATAGATTCCACCTTTGGTGACTAAAGTAGTGAGTAATGACTGAAGATTACTGACTCTTGACTTACCTGAAATGTTATTTTTAGTATTTTTAAATATGAAGTCCCTCAGATCGCGTTGTCCTCCTGGTTGCTTGGCCATTGTGATGACCGTTACCTGCGCTAGTACTAGTACTTCTGGCATCGATCAAACAGGCGCATCACGGCGCTCTGGCGCCCTCTAGGGCACTCGCATAGTATAGCGTCAGTGACTTGGTAAAAATGTCATTGCGTGTGTGCGTGCTCCCTCGCCCACGGTATTTTACTGAAAATGTGCAAAATTAATGTTGAAATAGCAGTAATACCAGTGCCACGTTCATTGATAAAATTACATAAGGGATGGAAAGCGGGAATGGCAGTTTTAGAAGGGGGATGATTTTGACCGTTTTTATTTCAGGGGGGATGCCATCCCCCCTCATCCCCCCTCAACTCGAGTACTGGTTATTATTATCGGAATGAAACACATTCAATATATATCCCTAGTAGTATCTAAACATACAGATAATATTGGTTTTATAATATCCACCTCCTATTTTTGCACCAACCCAAATTCAATAGCGATTGGAAGTCAGTTTCCCTGCATTAGAAGTAATAGTGAATACCATTTATGGACCTTTGAGTTGAGTTTGGTTGAGTTTATGATATTCTAGCCAATAATAGCTCAAATGCTTGTTATTAAGACATAGGGCAAACCTTTGTTTTATCTGCCATAAAGAGGGTATATAACAACATTGTAAAGGCGTTCCTGTCTGCGCAGCATAATGCCGTGGGACCTATGAACTGTTTGTCATAAGACTAATAGTGATAGCCTATATGATCCCAATAAATGGAGGTAAATGCGAGAAAAGAGGAACGTTTTGAAACTTGGTCAAGGAACTTTAACCCTGGCTTGTTGATGTTAAAGACTAAACTATTGGCACCGTTTAACATCTGTCAAATAATGTGAGGCTTGATTTGTTCCTGTTTTAGTTGGTATCTAATCCTTGTTTAGCTATTACATTTTCTTTCACATTTTACTTAGTAGGGCTGCTTTGAAAGTTTTGCCACTGATAGCAGTTAATGATTGTAAAGGGGTTTGCACTCTTGTATCCATGCTTTTCAAATGATAGAATGAGATGTGCCGCTCCAAAAAAGGTTGAAATTCAATTTTAATGTGCTTCTCGTTAAGAGGCTCTTTCAAATGATTTTTGCACAGGAGATGCTGATCTTCTGATGATGGTGCATCGACCAAAACATGCACGTCTTTTTAAGCAGTGTGTGACATTTGTTCATAGATAACATTGACTTTTTTGGTCCTCAAGAAGGACACATAGCAATACATACAAAACGGCCTAAAACATAGACAAGCATACTCAGAATGGATTTCTTGTACATTAAGAGGAGTTTACTTATTCAAAGCATGTGTGGCTGTTGGGAAACAATGTTTGCTCTAACAGGACATGGGACGTCTATACCTGCGTCCAGAGGGAAGTTGGCTCAAGTGCTTTATCTTGGCTGTGTGAGATTGTGAGGGCTTTGCGGGTCAGGTGTATGACAATCATTTGCATCTTAAGAGCCTTGTTTACTTTATCTGTTGGTGCGCAGGAAACTTTTCTGAGATAAACAAAGGTTTCTATTCACAAGCTTCTGTAGGTTTATAGTATATAAACCCAAAGGATCTTGAGGAGTGGTGGATCTCAACCCATGTGCAGACATATTTCCATAAGAAAACCTTCAAATATTTGTATAAGCCTACACCCTTTACATTAAAACAATATTTAGTATAAAAACAGCAAATAATTGAAAATGGCTGTTCACTCATGTGTTTTAGGCCATGTGTGCTGTGTTAGCAGTCTGTGTGCAAACTCTGCACCATCTTCTCCATTATTTCATTTCATGGTTTGCCATGGACACTAATGTGTTCGGCTTTGACCCTGCCATAAAAAAGTAGCATCTGAAAACATGTTTTTTTTGCATGTGCACTAGTTATGGGAGGGCGTGAGATGACCAGACTATGCTGGATTAATACGAAAAAAGAGTCGTTGAGTTCATGTCAGGTCAGTGGAGCTATTCTAACTAGACATTAACCTCACGCACCAAAGTCCATGTGCAGGAAAAGACATATTAGTAATCTCACCTCAGGTCAGTACGCTCAGTGTAACATCCTCAGCTCGTACAGGCAGACCTCCCTGAGACTCATGGCTATAGAGAAGATGGAGATGGGTGAAGTCGGGACGTCTCTTATGTCCTTAGAGACTAAGCCTCCTCCAGCGAGACCTCCAAACAAATTTGAGAGGTTATTTCAGCCCTGCCTGGCCGAGTTGGTGGGAACTACTTTCTTTGTGTTCATCGGGTGTGTGTCGGTGATAGAGAATGTGGAGTCTGCAGGGAGGCTTCAGCCGGCTCTGGTGCACGGGCTGGCTGTAGCCGTCATGGTGGCCTGCATGGCTGAAATCAGGTGAGGGTCATCGGGTGTTTCAGATACATTAAGCAAATGTATGTGCATGAATAATTCATGTTTTCTTTAGATTGCATGGAATGAACTCCTGTATGTTGGATGAACAATGATGCATTACACATGTAAGTACAGAAACAGGATTTTTCAACACTTCATCTGGTGGCTTTGAGTGCCAATTTAGTAAGTCTTTTTTATCCAGGTGACATTAGTCATTTGTAACTTCATATTTTTTTCACATGATTCTGTTCATCACATTACAACAGTTTTGTTAAAAGAGCAATGGTATTTGTATATAAAAGAACCATCTGAAACAAGCACAGGCTACAACCCACTCTGCCCTTATATCATTCACAAAAGCACATTTGACTCTCAAAATATGTTTCCAGTTTCATTTATTTGTTCTTGATACATTTACTGTTGTTTACATTTGAATTATACTTGCATTAAATCTAAGTATTGCCAAATAATTGCATTTTCATCATCACCAGTAAAACGTTGATTTTGTTTTCTTTCTTTAGTTTTTATGTCTTTTCAAAAACTAAAATATTGCAAAAAGAAATTAAGAAAAGAGCCATTTAAGTGAATCAGCCCTGATTACCCATGAACTAATCAATTGCATTTTCAAAATCACTTGTACCACTTTAAAAGCTTGAAGACAACATGACTAAACAACACCAAGAAGTTTTCCTGCATTACTGAATTTTCTGTCCTGAATATGTTCTCTCTAGTGGATCCCATTTCAACCCACCATTCACCCTGGCCATTTATCTCTGTGGAGGGATGGAGTTGAACATGGTGGCTCCTTACCTTGTATCGCAGTTGGTTGGAGGTGTGCTTGGAGCTGCTATGGCAAAGGTGAACCTAATGTCATTTAAACATCCATCTTTGACTGTTTGATATGTCCAAAATAAAGTTCTTAATTGTGTTGAACTGATGCCAACAGGTGATGACCTCCAGGGAAAACTTTTCCAAAGCCAGCGGGGCTGCGTTTGCTCTGCTGCAGACGGACAGTGATATTGGAGCCGCTGTGTTTGGAGAGGTTGCTATGACCTGCCTCGTCACCATGGTGGTGCTGCTGGGGGCCGTCAACACCACCACCAGAAGCCCTATGGTGCCATTTATGGTGGGCTGCACTGTTATCATCAACATTCTGGCTGGGTGAGTAGTAGAAGAAGATAAACTTTATTAATCCCTTACAGGGACATTTCTTTCCCCACTCTGTTGTGTTTACACACATTACACACACAGGGGAGGATATACATGCACACACACAACCAGATAGGAGAGGTGGCAGAGCAGAGAGGCTGCCAGGTACCCGGCGCCAAGGGAGCAGTTTCAAGGTTAGGTGCCTTGCTCAAGGGCACCTCATCAGTGGCCTTGGAGGTGAACTGGCACCTCTCCAGCTACCAGATCACTCCATATTTTGTTTTGGTCCGATCGGGACGTGAACCGGCGACCCTTCGTTTCCAAGACCAGCGACCCTTCGTTTCCAAGACCAAGTCCAAGTCCCTACAGACTGAGCCACTGCCGCCTCGAAAGTATTACTTATTGAAGAGAATTGTGCATAAGAAGTTCCTTTCTACAATAAAATGGCAGAGCATGATATGTTGCAGTAAAATCCTTTAATTTATGACTTAATATCATGTAAATATGCATTCATTATTTTCAACAGGTCTGCCAAAGTGAGACATTTTGAAATATCACATCTTGTTTGCATTTTCATGTTTCATGTTTATGCTCCAGTAGTGATGCAAATGCAGCATAAACACTTTATTTTCATATTGGGGAACTTATTTGAAAAATCCAATACCTGTTTCTTTTCTCAGTGGAGATATTTCTGGCACATGTCTGAACCCAGCCAGAGCCTTTGGTCCGGCCATAGTGCACAACTACTGGGTTTATCACTGGGTGTACTGGGTGGGTCCCATCACTGGAGGCCTGATTGCAGCAGTACTGGTTCGGTAGGTGCAACACAACATACACTTTATACAATGATCCCGGTTTTTGTATTTTGATTAAAGATTCAATACTGACTGAACAGATTACAAACTATGTATCCTGTTTTTGCAGACTGCTACTTGGCGACAGGAAGATTCGACTCATTCTGAAATGAGACTCAAGTCGGTAAATCATTAGGTGGATTTATCATCTAAAGTCACAATATAACCCTTTTTTATGTGCCACTGATATGCTTGATATGCTTTGCTTTACAATAAAATTTGACTTTTTCATATAATTTAAGGTACTTTTTTTTTTTAGCCACAGTGTGTAACTTGTCTCTTGATTCTCTATGAGTGCTGGATTTTGTTTTTAAAAACAAAGTTTGTACAGAATATAATATTATGCTTAGCTTAAAGGTCAATTTAATATCAAACCAAGTTGTAGATGATTAGTAAACTGAGTCTCTAGTTTAGAAAAACACATTCTGGTTTTGTTTTTGTAGTTCCTTGATTCTGTGTATTATTTAAGAACACAAGGACATTAGGAAAATTGAGTTTTCCAGCAGGTGCATGAGTCAAAACAATATTATAGAGCTTTAGATAAACTCTCAAACTAATTAACTTTTGAATTGAGAAGCACATTTACAAAAAAAAGCCTTGAGCTGAAATGTAATTACTTCAAATGTCCAAACACAAATGGCGCCTACCGTCTAAAGGAGACCAAATGGCAACCTTTTGAAAGCCAGGAGACATCTCTGCTCAGCTTTGTGTCCTGCGGACCCTGTCCCTGTTCTCCACAGCCGGAGCCGTGAATGCCTGTTCGGCACTGGAGGGTATCATGCTGTTTCCATATTGTACCCCTGGGCCTCCCCACAGCAGTGGCCCACATGGGAAAGCAGGCCAGGCGGCGGGATAAACCAATTACCCCCCCCGAGTCTGGGTGGACTCCTGCCGGCGCTCCACGCAGCGGCTCCCGGCCCGGGCCCTCCTGGGCTCCTTCCCCATGAGAGCCAGCTGGAATTCCCAGAGATGAGAATTGTGCGGTCTCAAAAGCCGGCAGAGAGGGTATATTTTGCTTGGAAATTTGACATGCTGGCCCCCTGGGACAATAGTGAGGGAGGAGACTTGAAACTAAGCTTTTGCAGAATAAGAAAGGTTTAAGGAAAGCTTGATTTTTGTCTGACACCTAAGAAAATAAGATGTTTTTGCAACCCTTGTCTTTTATGCTTAAAACTTCACTCTCACACTCTCATGTGTCCAATCTAAAACGTTTTGGTCCAGAAATAGCAGTGTCTAAATAATAATTTGTCCATAATAAAACTATGAAATGCCTAAAAACAGTCCCAAAAGTTTGTGTTTAATGGCTGAGATTCCTCAAATATATTTTATGCTTGTCTATAATCTGTTTTTTCCTAAAACTGAAAGACATAAAATGCATTAAAAGAGGAGCAATAGAGATAAATATAAAAGATAACATGGATATAAAGCAGTAATACACAGAGAAAATGTGGCCGGAGTGAGATAAAGAGCAATGATCACGCCTCCTCTGGCTTCTTGGATTCATGAGCCCTGATGGTTTCTAGATGACAGCAGCCGTGACAATGGTCATTATGTCTGTCAGAGGCCTTGTCACTGCAGAGTCATTGTCAGGGCCCCATTCACCACAGCGTCATTTACACTTTCATTGGCAGCTATTTAGTCCTCGTAAAAAGTTCAACACACCAATTTGTGAGCCCTGCTCAGCCAGGGAGAAGTGTGGAATAGGCAAAGAAAGCAGTTGCTTTAAAAGTCATTTAATTGTTCCCCTTCTGGGAGGGGCTGAGGGGGAGGATCCCCAGGCTTTGGGGCCCCACATCTGGCCATCCGTCTTCTCGCGCTGTGATGCACAATCAAAAGTATTGTCCAATTCAGTCAGCTCAGAGCTTTGCGCCATCTAAGGAGATTTGTATTCCATTTTATGGTAGAGCTATCCTATTATCATAAGAATATGATTATAGGGGAAAAGATGGGATGCAGAAGGAAAAAGGCAAACTTAAACTTGTAGGATACTTCAGTTCTAAATCTCATTCTCCTAAATAAAACACAGAGTATGCAGCATGTGATGGGCAATGGGGGTGTAAGCTCATTTAAGCTTTAACTCAGTCTCTTGAGGGACCAGTGTATTCTCGTGAAGCGGAGGGCCTCATGAAAATTAGATTTGTATGCACTGTTCATGAGCTCTGTTCACTACAAAACACTTCATCAGGCACACAGCTAAATGATCGGTTTAGATTATCTGTTCAAATATGTAATCCACCAATTACAAAGATTTGTAGACAAGATTTGTATCTGACTAAGATATCCACAAATTAAACGTTCATTTTTTTAATAGTTAAAACAGTTTCGGTAAATCAGAATTGGGAAATGTTTGATTTGGTGTTACTGCAAATGCAACAAAAATGTATATTATTAGTAAAAATATTAAAATATCTAGTCTTAATGAAAGAGAAAACAGAGACTTAAAGACATTTCTGATTTATAACATCTAGTTGAATTTCACGGGCCTCTGATTTACATTTGTAAAATAACTACACTGATACTGAAGAGATGTAAAAGGAAATTATTTTTCTCAAATTAAAAACCAAGAAATATGCAATTCCAAACTGAATTGAACATTGTAGCAAATCATCATTTGTATAAATGCAAAAAAGGTGATCACTAATGTATTAGTTTTATTTTGCATATTAGTGGCAAAAACATTTATTTGAATGTGTAGAGCACAAAACATATAAATAGACAAAACAAAACACATTTGAAACTTTTTACACATATTACAGCACATATTCATCAGAGTAAAAAACAACTAACACATAATATGTACAAGCATATTGAACAAACTGGTGATTAGGAAAAAACAGTCCTTCAGTCTTCCCTCCCACTTTAGTTCATGGGGCAATTGTCACACAGAGCCAGCAAAGTGAACAACGGATGATGTTGGGAGACGCACAAAGAGGGAGCAGCAACCCAACCCCTTCTCAGCCTCCCAGGACTGAGGGCAGTGATGGGGGGGGACAAAGGCCGGCCCTCTGAGTCCCTGCTGTTTGCCCCTGCCCTGCTCCTCAAAATGTGCTTTTTAAAAAAACAAAAACACAATTAAATTACTTGGTCCCTGCTGGTGATGCTGGATGCCACCTTGCTGGCACATGAAAACATATTCCCACAGTGCCAGTACTGGCGTGAGGATGCCTGTGGATAAAACAACACTTCCTCAGTCCAAAGGGAAGTCGCAGGAATTCCGCCGCGCTGCCCAGGCAGTCTTGTAGACAGACAGGAAGTCTTTGTAACGCGGGGCACACCCTAGCCAAGCTTCCCCAAAGTGTTCTGACCCTGTGAAGAGAAACTCTCCGTCCCCAGGCTTCACGTGGCACTGCAGGAGTGTGTGGATGTGCCCGGAGCGGGGGGACCCAGGGGCCGCCGCTTGGTGCTCAAACACTCCACTGCGCTGCCAGTACACCCTCACTGCTGAAACCTCCAACAAGGAAGTCTGATGCTCAGAGTCGTGGGAGACATTTTTGATGTGCCCTCGGACCACTGGAAGAAAGAGCAGAGCCAGTGTGCCATGTTATTTTATTTTCTCTCCTTCCTGTCTTTCTCCATTAACACCTTTACTATGCATTATCTTAAAATGGACATGGCAGGAGTGTAACATTGAGGCACAGAAATGAGGACCTATTACTTCTGCTCTAATGAACTGCTTTCACCCATTCTGCAACGCCCCCCGACATCTGTTTGACCTCTGCTGCTGCGGTCAGGGCATACAGCGGACCAGCTTCAGACTTTTATATTGGTTTCATTTACCAGGGGTGGAGGAGGGTATTTAGATCACAAATTCAAAATCTTCCAATCTTTAAAGTACAACAATAATATAATCAAACAAATGAAGGACTTAATATGTAGGATGTATTTTAGTGTTGCAACATGTAAGCAACATGTAATGAGGTAAGAGGCTATTGTATCAAGTTGATATTGAATTGGTGGCTAGAATGTATTACTCTGAATCATATTTTATAAAGTGATCTGCAGTTTTGTATGCAGGCTAAAATCAGGAACTAGTAAGTGTGGCTGTGTAAAGTAAAAACGTCAACATTTGTCACAAGTAAACTTAGACGAGCAGAAAAAGAGCTATAGGGGAGAAGGGGGTAAGTTGATTCAGTGGGTAAGTTGAACCACCCCCTGTAACCAGGCAACGCCTTATAGTTGTAATCAAGTGACCAGAAATTATGCAAGCTCCACCAATTTCTCATTGCCTGTGAAAGAGAGATACTCATTGTGGTCTGGTAAGTAAACATTTTTACAAAAAAACGTTTTTTGCTTGTCAAAGTACATTTTCTAGATGTCAGCTATATCGGCTGTCATGTAAAATAAAAAGTATCCAGGTTTAAACACATATATTGTATATGTTGATGTGTTGGTGGTGTATTAAACCATGTGAATCATTAAGCTAAAGATGACTCTGAATTTTAATGCTAGGCTATTTTTTATAAAATGGTGGCTATGGGGTAAAGTGAACCATGGGCCTTGGGGTAAGTTGAGCCAGTTTTTCAACGGAGAAATGAATGAAAGTAGGCCAAGTTGATAATAAGAGCTCATTGTAGGCTACATTTAAAGTTGAATTTACCCGGTGTTTGATTGGTAAGATGTATGAAATTGTATCACCATTTGTATGATTACTTTTCCTTTTAACATGTTAAAAATCAATTAAATCGAAATTTATATTAAAAGTATTTGAAAAACTAAGCTTGTATTTGGTTTGTTATTTATTGTTTATAGTTACCTTTAAGATTTGTTGTAGGTATGCCCAGGTTTGAACAGTGGTTCAATTTACCCCCTGACCTGGATCAACTTACCCCTACACTAGGGCAAGTTGAGCCACAAGACTTTTTTTTTTAAAGAAGTAATATTTTCACTGCCCTTGATCAAATATTAATTATTATCATTGCCATTGATAGGAGACATCCTGAATTATAGGTGTGTGTTTTCATTTTTACTATGTGTCATTTCTCCTTGCTTAGAGGACAGCATAACTAAAAAATGGCTCAACTTGCCCCACTCTCCAGGGTCATTCATTGCATGAAATATAACACTTTAGTAAAATAGATGCATGCTTACATCATTTACATTACCCAAAGGAATCTATACAAGTTGGGTGTCTGGTTGCCCAGACGAAAATCAAATTCATATTATTAGGTTTTTTTCACACTTTGACTAGTATTCCCTAATTG